AAATGTTGCTGGGATTGCTCAGCGCCTTTCACTGGTCCATGTAATATGATGACTGCGGAGAGCAGCACTGCTACTGGATCCCAACCTGTTCAAGTACACTATAGCTTTCTCAGTTAAAATAATATGATTTTTTTTTCCAATACATTTTGAGTGGATAAATCTGGAACGGTATTATTTTAGCCGTGAAGTTAGACACATTGTATCTGCTTTAGAAAATGCTTTCAAATGCTGACGCCTGCATTCTACACACACTTTACCTACTTGTAACTCATTTCCTCTGAAAGCTTAACAAACAATAAATGTGTCACATCATTTAATTAATGCCACTGCGTCTTACAAAAAGTATTCTCCAAAGACGGCACGTGACTCTCTGAGGCAACGTATCAAACAGAAGATACTCGTGCCCTAAAGCAGCTTTACTGTCTATTTTACTAAAAGGTGGGCGCATGTTTGACAAACTAAATATCATTTTTAGAATAATTGTGACTTGACACATGGGGATTGTGCCCACAGACTCAACAGGAAAGTGTTTCCTGATGTTAAAGAGCTCCTACATTTCTTTCTCATCACGCTGCTTGACATTAATTCAGTTCAATTCATTCCACTGTTTATAGCACCAAATCGCAACAACAGTCCCTGAAGGCACTTTGTGCTGTAAGAGGGCAATACAGAGAAAACTCCAACAATTCGATCTCTCCCTATGAGCGAGTACCTGCCTACAGTAGGAAGGAAAACTTAACAGGAAGAAACCTCCAACAGAAACAGGCTCAGCGAGGGGCGGGGCCATCTGCCGTGACCTGATGGTGGTGAGGGGAGGGAGACAGGACTAAAGACACGCTGTGGAAAAGAACTAATGATTAAATGCAAACACAGAGAGTGAAGAAGAGGCAGTGCATCATGGGAAGCTCCCAGTACCTAGCGCAGAATAACTAGGGGTGGATTCAGGGTCAGCAGAATAAGTACGAGCCTTATCAAAAAGAAGAAAGAGGGTACGTGTGCTTCACCAGAGCTGATCTGGACAAGCAACTCCACTTCCTCTTCATGACCTTGTAGAGAAAATTGGAGACAAGCCTAAAAAAAGTGAATTTTACACCTGCTTCAATACAAGAAACTTGCAAGATGTTCTTAAATTGAAATAAACTGATGATAACGAATGGAAGCCAGTTTCACACATAAAAAGCTAGCCTTCTACTCGTGCATGCTAACAGCTCAGTAATACGACAAACACTCGATGCAGGCTTTAACAGATGATAATGACACTTTATGAGTGTAATCAAAACCCAACAGAAACGTTAATGTGCCCGAACATGAATATTACTCACAAAACCAATATAAAACTCTGACAGTTGAAATATATCGATTGTCTCTTATTGTTTAGAGAAGAAGTTTTCTCTTTGTAAGACCCCAAAGCAGTGTCCATCTTTTATTTACAGCCTGTAGTTCTGCAAGGCCGCTTCGGTTTTGACCTCATGCCGTCGGCTACATCCTGGCATTAATTTATCTCTATATTCTGAACACTGTCCAAAACATATTTCCTGCGGTTTCACAGGTAGATCAGGGACTGATCCTTCAAATACATTTTGTTCCGTTGGAACTGCAGCCTGATTATCCCTGTTTATTGTCATGTAACACTTATATGCAGTAACAGACAAAAAGAAATATAGATCCAGATGTGAGGTTCTCTGTGATGAGAACTTCACATCTGGATTTAATCTTGTCGGATTAAATGCCTCCTGTTTAAAAGATGAGCAGTACACTTTTGATTTCACTAAAGAATGTTTGGTAAATGAAATTCTCAATATTTATGTCAGGTTTTCCAGTTACTTGAGATTTCACAGATGCTGTTTCAATTTCAAGTCACATTTTGCTTCTTCTCTGCTCAGTTATTGCTTCTTTCTACGTAACAGCACGTTTTGTGCCTTTTCTAGATTTGTGTTACAGTTACATGAATTTGATTAGTGCTCTGATTAGGGACTGACCTGAAGATCTGAAGAGTGGAAAACATCCCAGTGAAGTAACATAATGCGATAGGGTTGTGTTCGGACAATGAAGGGGTTAGAGTTCATAGATTCATCTTGTCTGCCCAGAGTGATGACATGTTGGCTCAGGGTAACCTGACATTTTAAACCAATGTTTCTACAGACCTGCTCAACCAGCCACAGCTAGCACAGGTAAAGGTACAAAGACATCAGTGAAAGAGCTCTGTTTGCAACGCAGCCTTTACAAATACACTGCTTTGTATCTCCTGCTCGTCAAACCAGGTAATATTTTACCAGATCCGATCTTTCCTCTGTCAAAAACCAACGAGCAGCTGATGTCAAAAATAACTGCAGTGACCGAGCAGAACTTTCACTGTCATCTCTTGTTCAAAGATAATTGGTGACTGCATCTGAAAACTGCACTTTTCTTCCATGCGATCCATGACGATCTTAAAAACTGTCCGGCACACACCTTTTCCATCGTTTCCAATTTATTGTGTTGCTGTACAGTGGATACAGTAATTAGAAGTTATTTCAGGGAACAGACATAACTGACAGCGTAACTTAAACATGCCAAGAAACACACAGGGAGGCTGGTGCTTTCCAGTAAAGCTGAGGACCTCAACTCTCTGACCCATAATCACAGAGTTTGATGTATGACTTCTGCAGTATATTTAGCTTCTTGTTGTCCTGATGGCCGGTCAGTTTTGGCCAAACCAAACTGACGCTGTGGTAACATCGCATTTTAGACAAGATGCATGCATATCGCAGATTAAGTAGTAAATGAAACAACAACCACTATCCTGAGCAGAGATGGGCAGAACAGAGAAGTCCAGGAAAGGAAGAGTAGCTGGCAATCTAATGGACAGCTACTCTGTCCAGGCTTCCTCCTCATAAAGCTACACTGTGTGAGAGCATGTGTAATAAAGAAGTGTTGACAGGTCCTTACCTTTCTCCTTTTCTCCTTCAGCTGCAACAAGCCAATGATGAATGCGACTCTGCTGGGAGACGCTGAAGAGAGAGGACGCCTGGCTCGGCAGTGACAGTCCTCCTCCTGGTTGGCAGAGGGTGCAGTGGGAGTGTCAGGGCGGCCTTTGTAAACTGTGGCCAACTCCACCACGGAATATGACACAACTAAGACCAACGTATATCCAGTGTGGATCTACTCACACACACTTACATGCACGGTGCTACTAGATGTGTGAAAAAGGCTTACAAGTCTGACTATATAAATGACTCATTTAACATTCAATGTGAAATAAACAACAAACAGTTAATAAACTTAACTGAGCTAAGTGAGAGTAGGAGCCTCATTCAGTGAAGGTTGTTAAGTTAAACAACAGTTTCTCTGAGTCTGAGATAAAGGGGATCAAGTGTTGAGCCTGTGATCAGCAGTCGTGTAATAAAGCACGGCAGCACTGTGGTTTCACAGCACGCTGTTTTCTGCAGCTGTACAGGAGATGAGTTCAATTAAAGGGTTACAGAAGCTCTGCAGCGAGAGATGAAAAAGCAGCTGCGGCTCACGTTGAATCACTGCGATAAGGTCGCGATCACTGACAAAGGGAAATGACACGTTACACTCCGTCTGCTCCTCACAGACCAACCCATGGGAAAACTTGGATTTTAGCATCATTTTCTACAATAACATTTGGATACATGTGTTATCAAACCATATACTGTACTTAAAAATTAAGCTGAAGCAAAAGACTCAACTGTGTGTAACAGCAAACAGCAGAGCGGGGAAGGTTGAGGTTACCTTTGCTCAATAAAAAAGTAGAATTATGTTTAACATGTTTCTGAGAGAAACTAATGTGTTGTCTCTCTGTAATCTCAGCCCATTATTACTAAAAGAAAATCGATTTAATTGAAAATTCACAATAAAATTGTGAAAAGTGCAAAGTGGAGGCTGTTTATAGTAGTTGACATAATTTTTTGTAGTATAATTTGTTTGTTTTCTTTATTTATGTTCATATGAGCACAGCAGTGAAAAAATAATGTGTTAATATATATATACCGAACACATTATTAATGAGCTTGAAGTTCAAGATTCAACATACAGCATTAGTTACATGGATACCGCTGTCACACTTTTGTATGGGAGGTGCTGCTGGTAGTTACTGCCACTCTTGTAATTTCCAGATGTTTCCTCCAGAGGGCGGTCTTGCCTCAATGAACAGTACTGATGGCTCGTGATCTTCGCTTTAAACTGGAAAAACTGTCCAGGAGATATTAACCTTTTAGCATATTTTGCCCCTAAAATAGGGATTGGAACACATTTGGACAGATACAGATTAATTAAAATAAATACTTATCCTTTGGGTTGCTGATCAATTTTAAATGTGAGGTGATCCTATATTTTAAATAGAAGTGTTTTAATGAAGTCTTGTTTTCAGCACTTCAATAAAGTTCAATAAAGTTTCATCAGTAAGTGGAATTTAGAAACGAATCATCAGCCTCCATGTTTTACAAAAAGAATTTCTAATGTAGGTTCGTTTCACCACAGAGCAGTTTCTCTCTTTGCTTCAGTTCTTGTTTGACCCAGAGAAGATAGTGGCGTTTCATGTTCATATGTGTGGCTTCTTTTGTGCATCATAAAGCTTTAACCATGGATTTGAGGATGGCACAGCAAACTGTTCACAGACAGTGATTTCTGGAAGTTTTCCTGAGCCCATGCAGTGACCTATAGTGGAGAACTATTGCTGAAGATCACTTTAAAAATGGGTGATGGGTATGTCGGCTGTGCCCACGAAGCATCTTTTTCTGGCCCTCGATTTAGTTTAGTATTTCATGCACTACACTAAATCTCACTGAACAAATTAAGTAGCAGAATACGCTGTTTTGCATTAGAGTATGCCTATTACAGTAAAATTACAGGCCTGTAATTTGATTTTACGTTTGAGTTTTTCAAGTACAGTATTTCATTGTGCCACTGTAACTCCAACACCAGTCGCGCGGTGGCAGCAATGAGCTAACAGTAGTTGCCACACTGCCGTTAATGCAGAGTAGAAGAAGACTGTAACTTCGTGAAAAGGGCTTCTGTAGTGGCGCCGCGTCAGATGCTTAGCTAACAGTAATAACACGGTAAAACGACGGATATTCGGTTCTCGCTCAGTATTACGAGGCAGTGTGAGGTTGTCAGTAATGTATATTGGTCCGTCGTCTACACTTTGAAGGCTCTCTCGTAGCACTGATAATGCTGAAAATGAAGCTACCGACGAAAACGGGCGAGGAAGGAGGTAACCAAACGGCTAAGAACGATTCATTGGATCGGCCGAAGCACCAACATGTTCTCGGGGCGGCATCTCCCTCCGTGGCGTATGACAAGCTGGGGGACTCGCCCAGACCTCCGGTGCATCCAGCACAACTGGACAAGGAGAGCGTCTTTGAGTGGTTCGGCCTGCACCTAAACCCTGCTAAGCGTATCGAGTTCATGTGCGGGCTGTTGCATATGTGCCAACCCCTGGAGCTCCGTTTTTTAGGATCTTACTTGGAGGATCTCGCTAGAAAAGATTACCATGTTTTACGGGACTTTGAGTTTCGAGCAAATAGTCCGAGCGATTTGGGAGTGTTAACGGACGTGGTTGACCCAGTGATCAGGTCTAAACTCCTAGTCTGCCTGTCCCTCCTCGGGTCTGACAGCAGGGAATGTGCTGGAATACTCTTTCGGATACTCAGCCATGTCAACCCGGCCTTGTTCTGCAGAAATTACGACTGCCCCCTCCCTCCATTTAGGGACTCTCACGTTCACTCGCCGTGTCAGGCCGACAGTATGTACGGAGATTCAGAAGAAGACTGCGGCTTCTCTGCAAACGACACAGCCGGAGGACCTCTGGAGCAGATTGCGCTGCTTTTTACTATGGCGTCCCTGCACCCAGCCTTCCACTTCCACCAACGCCAAGTTGTTCGGGAACTGCTCGACAAAATAGAGCTTGCTATGGAGGAGGGAAAGCGTCAACGCCAGCGTAGATCAAACGTCCAAGCAACGGTAATGAGCAACAAACCAACTTTAGCCCATCTAAATCCTAAGCTAGCTTGTTAAACTCGCCCAACTTTAAAATGTGTTCTTCAGCAGAATTGGTTAAAGTGGGGAAAAACGTTAGATACATGTATTTCAAACTACGTAACATGAAAATGATGTCACATACTGGTAGAGTAGGCTCAGAGCAAACATTATTCTGCTAGCATTAGCTGCCATTATACTATGCTATTACTAACATGAAAGCCAGCCGGTTACCCTGCTGCTAGCTACAGTTTGGGCAGCTGTTACACGCTGTCGCACGCTCGGAGCTGTTTTGTAGCCTGCTGTTTAACTGTATGGGTTACCATCATCTGTCTAACCGCCATTTACAGTGTAAGTCGATAACAAGCTTATTGGAGGGTAAGTGGTGCCCTTATTAAAGCTATATTCAGATGCAATGCCAAGCGCTCCTCTGACAGCACTAATTCTCAAACAGAGCGCTTTCCAAGCGCCTCTGTGCTGTAGCAGGTGTTTGATAAAGAGCCGATCTCCCAACAATCACCCAGCCACACAGCTGAATATCCATCCATCCATCCATCCAAAAACTCCTTTTAGCTGGTGTGGTCTTGATTTTCTATGAAAGGTGGGATTGGTAACATGTTTTGGTGTCTTATTTTAAAACGCTTTAGAATATATATACAAACAAAATAAAGCACGAGTTGGAAATGGACTCCCTGCAAGTGTATCTCATAATCTTATCAGCCAGATAAGATCAATAGTGTTAACTGTAAGAATTGCACGTTAAAAGAAAGATGCAGAAAGCTTTCACTTGGGGAAGTGTGGTTCAAATCTCATGTCAGGCTTAAACTGCATTGAAGTATTTTTTTAAAATCATTTTTAAATTTTTCAGCTTTCATCTTTGGTTACTTTTTCTGGTGAAAAGGGCTTGGAGTGCTCAACAAAGCTAAAACCCCATGTCTGATTTGAGGGTCTATCTGCTCAGTAGTTCTCTGCTAATGCCTGTGGAAGGTCACGTAAAACCACTTGTCCAAAGCATTGCACATGGAGCAGTGTGGATGTTAATCCTAAAGGAAAGAAGGTTCCCACTGCTGGCACTGCCAATGTAATGTTAATGTACCTGCAAGCAGCACGACATTTTTGACACATTATTGCTGGGGGACCTGATGACACTGTATACAATACCAGACACTGACATATCAGTGGGAGCAGCAGAGATGCGGTGTGACCCCTGAACACAACCTCCTATAAAGTGGATAAGGTGTCATTATAACCCAGCCAAGTTAAGTGATTCCTTCGTGACATTAATAAGTATATTGAGTTATCAATGTATAGCTTTTTTAGCATACCTCCTTGGGCTGTTATCAACACCATTTATGACTGAATCCTTTAAACTGGCTGCTTTTTGTTTCGTCTAATCTGCTTCCAGATTTGTTAATATAATTCAAAGATATACCATAGAAATGCATCACAAAGTTGCATACAAAGCCAGGACATTTTGTCTACCTGAATATTATTTTTTATAAGCAGGTTTACTGTGACATCCACTCTGAATTTTCTTACCTTTCCTCACCAGTCTGTGTTTAAGACTTCAGTGATTTCTCTGTTCTATAAGAGGATCCAAGCAACTCAGTAAGCCTGCTTTGTTTAACAGGCTTCACTTTGCTCCCCAATGACTGAAACTGAAATATTAATATCATTTCTGTAGTATTTAGCTGTTTCTTGATGTGAGCGTCCTGTAGCTCTGTGTAAACATGGTGGTCCCTCTTGTCTTCAAACAGCAGTTGTTAGTTCATTTGATTCCAATTAGGTACAAACTGTTGATTTCAGTCATTAAACCTGGTTCCACAGGTTTGTGTTATAAGTGGATAAAGTTCAAACCACAGGCTCTGTTGAAGCGTACAGGAGGGCATAATAACATTGGCTGTATTGAGAAAACGGTTTAATAGTTTTATCTATTAAACTATTGTTTCAGCTTTATTTTAGGAATGAACAAAACCTCAGTTAACTATCCTGAAGTCATGTGAGGAATGCAAAGCTCTTCTGTAGCCACTCAAGGGTGAGACCTTCCCTCTGCCTCATGAGAAACCCCTCACTCGTTTTAGAGTCTCAGCCACTCTAAGGGATCTGAGTTTGCATGTTGCTGCCTAACACGTGGGGGATATGTAGCAGGAAATAGCAGTCGCTATTCCCCATGTAAGATACTTAATAGAACAAAGTGTGAGTTGTTTGGTCATGAGACTTAGTTTCCAGCCCAGTCACATTATGCTAGTAGCAGCATACGTGTCTGTATCTCTGACTCGAAGGCTTTCTGCTCCACGAGTCCCGGGATGAAGTCATTGTGAGCCAGAACCCTGCCTGATGAAGATGCACTGCTCTTAATAAAATCACTCGTGCCCTTTTTAAAGAATAGTCTCTGGACTGTGCCACTGTCAAATGTGGGCAAACACATAGAGAAAGTGAAGGGTTTGAAACAAATGGAGGGTTCTGGGGTTTTGTTATGCATACATAATCTGTTTCATCCCTTGTGACTGACACAATGTTGTGCTTTGCTTGGCCTTCTTGTACCCACAGACGGATGCTGTAGCTTGGCTCTGTTCTGTACTATTTGTATTATGTATGCATATGTGCTCTTTTCCCTTTCTTTGCTCAGCATTTCTGTGGGTTCATGTTTCCTGTTGGCTTGTAATTTATCACAGACTAATATTTGCTTTGGGCCGTTGATTTCATTTTGTGTCAGAAGTGAATTATAAAGTCACTGCAATTAGTCTTACACTCCGTAGAAAAAGCTGAAAAATGTACTCAGAGATTAGAGATGGCACGATGCCACTTTTTTATGTCCGATACCATAAATTTGGATATCTGCCGATACCAATATGAATCCAATATAGTGAATTTTTTAATCAATAAAACAGATTTTTTTAATATCTTGCTGCTTTTTGTATAAGTTCATACTGACGTTAAAAAAAAAAAACCCAGTAAGGCTATTCTGTTATATCTGTATGTAAAAAAACACACTGCACCCAAAATATTTCATAGTTCAGCAAAACTGATCAATCTAATAAACTTAAACCTGCTCCATCCTCCCTATTCTGGTGTTTTAAAGAGTAAGCAGCTCCCCCCCACCCTCCACCTCATGATGCTTAATCAACGTAATCAACTTTAATATGATGCAGTGTGAAAAAAGAAAAAATGCACAGAAATAAATAATTTTTCTACAATAATAAAATAGATTCAACATCTTTCTTCAACAGAACTGCAGACTGCACAGATGGTATCTTCCCAAAGGAAAAAGTACATAGCTTACTAGTATATTAGACTTAACAGTTACTATATGCAGTAATGGACTTCTATATATTTAACATCAGATTAAAACTTTGGGTGTCAGATTCAGATAATTATTTATTAAAAGCTCGACATTTTAAATGAGAGTAAGAAAGAAAAGTATGTCTTTGTGCCCCCTTTTCCCTGTTATTGCCCTATCGGCCCCCCTGGCTAAACTTTGCTAGATCCGCCCCTGCACAGTTACAGCCGTCAGCTGTAGAAAAAGATCCTCGAGTAGAAAGTAATAATAAATCAATTCTAACAACAGCTGATCAAGCTTAAACGTGCTGCTGTTGTTCAGCCGCTGGTTTCCTCTTTCTGGAGCAAAGTGGGCCAAAAACAAAGAAGAGAGACGGACTCGCGACAGAAAAGCCGATCAGCTGATCACTGATCAGTTTCACGATTGAAGTAGCAGCAGCAGAGAGAGAGAGAGAGGCAGTCGCTCCATATATCGCTTGTTAAGCTTTACAAACATTCAGAGATGAACTTACACACTTGCTTTACTTCTCTCTGGGATCACTTCAGAGATGAAATGCTGGTTTGGTAGTGAGGCTACAAATACACACAGCTGCTCTATCACTGAGCACACTGCTCCGACATGTTACGGTTATGAGCCGAGTTACGCCGTGTCGCAAGTTTTGTGTGGTGCTTTTTTGATATTTAATGGATCGGATTGCATTTTTTATTTCTCTCCGATATCCGATCCAGTAATTTACGTCAGTATCGGATTACATACTGATACGTAATATCGGATCGGTCCATCAGAGATCCTGGGATAGTATTCCAATTCCCTTCATTGATCTCCAGCTGTGTATTGTGGGAAAAGTAAAACAAACCACTGGTGGTGTTGATCGAACTTTGCCTTAGTAATTTGCACCCACAGTTGTTTAAATTGAAATGTCATAGGTAACTGTGACACTTGTGAAATGCAGTACTTTTTAAGTAGAGCTCAGCGTGCAGTGAATTATTATGTTTCCAACTTTGAGTGTTTGTTTTCCAGGAGCTGATGGGCCAGAAGGGAGATTACCTGGCCTCTCAAGGGCTTGGGCTAGGAGAGTGTCCAGCCTCCCATCCACCTTGCCAGAGCCGACGGTCCAGCCGCAGGGCAACACAGAGAGAAGGTGAATAGAAAGGGTGCACATACTGAACACGATGGCAATTATGTGCTGCAGGTGCAACTGAGATCGTGGCAGCTTTGATATGTGCCCTGAGTCAGTTTCACGAGTAGCTCTTTTTCTTTGCTGTAATCATTTCTAAGGCACTAATGGTTTTTGTTATGTTGGCACTTTGTACAGCCGCAGAGAAGCCAATGCACATTTTTCTCTACTTGCTGATTTATTCATGGCAGGTGCTGAAGTGACCCTGATATTGTATGGGCTTAAATAATTCAACAGGCTTTCAGTAGACCTGTACTACTGTGTCTGAAGACGGTATTAGCCATGTTGCTGTTTTTATGGAAAAACGATATCATTAGTGTGTCCTCTGTGTTTGTGCAGCTGTGCATATCGAGGGAATTGTGCTTAGGGGCATCTGTCGGAAGAGAACGGACAAGGAATACAATTTTGAGGTAGGTAACCGCACACGCACTCTCGGGCACTGCTTCAGATCAGGTCAAGTCAAAGATGAGCTGTGATGTTAAGTTACAAATCTGAATTTTTACTGTTAACCTTTGAGTAGCTTTGCATGATTGACAGTTCAAAATAAGAAGTCTGTTATTGCAATAAATTGTCTTTTTCCTGTCGTTGGCTTTTCCAAATACACGTGTATACAGGCAAAGGGTCACTGGTTGTTTTGCTAACTTGCTGCTTCTCAGGCGGGTCTGAACAAGTTTGTTTGCCCTTATATTCACCACATGTGATAGTGACAGAAAGTTAAGGCTCCTCCTTCTTGTAGAAACTTTGTCTGTTCCTTTTTTGTTCGTATACCTGCTCAGTACCACGTACAGAAACTTGCTTTCTGCTCTGCCACCAACACCTGCAGCTGTGAACTTGATCATGCAAGAAAAATGCAGCTTTTACACGTGCCCCTATTGTCACACACACAGGTATGTGCCTATTATAACGCCCAGATAGTTTCCTGTATTTTCTTTACTTTGTTTGACCTACTTGGCCGTTGCGCTCAGAAAAATCCCGTTTTCAGTGGTGCGTGTCAGTGTCACAGCTGGTGACTTTATCCCTTGAGAAGTCTGTTTAGATCTTTATAGAACAAAGTAACCTGATTGTTGCTTGTGTGCAGAGAAATCATTAAACAACTGGAGAAGAGCCCAACTGTCCTGTTGGCTTTTCTAAGCTTTGACAGTAAAGCCAGCAGCTCTGTTTGGACTGGAAGGAGCTGCTGATGCATAAGACACAGACACTCGTATCTTTGTAGTGCACTCACTCATAAACAGAACTTTAACTTTGAATTCTATTCTATCTTTTTGACATGAGCAACTCCTGAGATTAGAAAAGATGTCACACCTCGATTTCTTAGCAGGAGAGTAAGCCAATCTTCCTTTTAACACAAGTTTTGTTTTTTCTTGTATTACTTGAATGGTTTGTTTGTTTTTTCCACTTATGCTCACAGGTTGCTTTTTATTCAGTATCGTTGCCCTGCTTGGGTGTCTTCACGCCGTTACTGTGCGGTAAACTTCTAGTGCAGTCCTTCTGTGTGGTGTTTTTGGCACTTGTGGCTTTGCAGTGATGGAGTGTCCTGCTGCTGTTTCAGGTGAAGTGGTCCGACTCCTCTTTCAGCAAAGTGACCAAAACCCATTTTGAGCTGGAGAACTTCCTCCTGAAGGTAATCACAGCAGTAATATTAAAGCAGAAGAGCTGCAGAAGTATATGTAAAGGACTTTGAGTGTTGTTATATTCCTTTATTTGTTGAACTGTTATTTGTTTTAAAGACATATAATTAAGACGGTTTTCTGATTGTACAGAGGTTTCAGTCTGAGTGTGTCTCTGTCACATGTGCAACTAGGTCTGTTTTGTTGTAAATGATGCAAAGACGTTGTGGCAAATGGACGAAGCTGTAGGTAACATTTAATCAGCACAGTTAAATGGCTCACTGTCAGAACTTCAGCAGACACATCAGCAGAACAAAGTGACAGCAGTGTCATTAGTAAATAGGACTGATACACTGGTAATTACTGATTATTTCTACACTGAGCACTCTCAGCAGTTTGTACTTCAAGCATTTACACAAATGTTTTTCTTGTGTAACATCTGCACACCAGCTCTGACGGTTGTATCCGGGGAACCTTGCTGAGGATACTGTGGAGTAGTTGTCATTGGCAATCGAACCACTTTCTGATTGGTCTTACCTCCATCAGTAACAGCTGTATGAGTCCAGATGCCAATTTCAAATGTTTGGCCAGTTTTTAAAAAAGAAGCATTTTCACAGTGGGAGGTTTCACTAAAGTTTATTCGTCGTCCTGTACGAAACTAATCTGTGCACAGGTGATCGGGATGTACCATCGTATATACATTATGGTAATACAGCTTCAGTCCACGCCATTGAACCCAAAGCTGGTTATTTAGCACAAAAAGGAAGTCGAGGTCTTGAAGACACATAATGAAAACTTGTATGTGCAGGCAATGCTTCAGTGCATCCCTCCTGTTGTTCACCTTCCCTCTTTTTCTCTGCAGCTTCCGAAGGATCAGTGTACGGAGTCCTTTGAGAAGAGCATCTTGAGTCTTTTGAACCAGGGGGGCCAGTATGAGAGCAGGGAGGTGGAGAAGAACCTCAGGTAATTTACATCTAGCCCACTTGTTCACCTGAAATCTTAAAAAGCTGCGGGACAAATTCTCCTTTTGACCTCTGGCTAGATGAGCCAGTTTCTGATGAGGAATATCTATTTTTGTTGAGCATTTTTGTGGCTAGCTTGTGTTCAAATGTTTCGGCTCCATCTTGTTTGGCGTTTTCTGACATTCGCATATCTGATCACGTGGAAACACTGTGGACTGCAGCTTTGACCGAGGACTTGCCGCAGTCGCGACTGTGGTCATTTTGTTCTGTTATTCTGAGTTCTCCAAGGATAAGAGGTCACCATCTGTCTTGCTTTACCCAAAGACGTTGTTCAGCATCATTTCCTGTGTGTAAAAAATCTGACATGCATTCCTACTCCTCACTGTGCCGCAGTTTACTTCGAAAACAAGCAAGAAGCTTTGTGGCATTTTGAGGCGCTCAGTAGACTTGAATGGAATGACCCCAGGTCAGTGAAGGAACGCTGGATGAGATTCTCAGTGTCCTGCGGTTATTTATCTCAGGTGTGTGTGTGCGTGCATGTGTGGAGGGAAAATGTCACCAGAGATTAAGATGTAGTCACAATGTGATGAGGAGGGCAGACTGAGAAACAAAGGGCATGTTAGTGTCAGACTGTAATCCTCCTGTTTGACACTATTTTGCAAATCGAACAGCATCGTCTGTCTTTTCTTTATATATCAATACAGCCAGTTTAAAATGTAAACCAAAACAATTAGCTAAGCATCGCTGTATTATTTTGAAAGCTTGAGCTTAAAATAGCTGTGAACAAGCAGCTCCGTGGGAATTTTAAGTACCTTCGTTTCCGTCAGTGTGCTGTGTGTCAGTTATTGTTGCTGCTGCTACAAACCAGCAGGACAAACTGTAAAACATGACTTGGGGCTGTGTTTGGACCCCCGTCACCCCCATCATGCCAGTACTGGAGGGTGGGGAAAGGAGCGGGGGCCCTTGACCTAGAAAGCACAGCTGAACATGATATTCTGTCAAATGGGTCTGACCATTATCTGCAAAGCTTTGTAAGGGTCCCTGTAATACATGTCAGGGCTGGTTTTCATTCTTGGTTGAAGGGATAGTCAATCCAGAGAGGTTTTTGTTGTTGTTTTCCCGTTCATTTCTGATAAAACACACCCACACAGTGGGTGTGGCCTCTCCACCAGTTTCATTTAGTGTGAAGTGAGACTGTGGAGCGAGTGGGGAAACTGAAACCTATCTGCTTGGACTGTTTTTGTTTGCATCCAAAGTCCGGCCCACTGTCAGACTTTTGTCTTGTGTCTCATCTTGTATAAGGCGAGGCTTAACTAGTGCTGGAGCAAAGCTTTTTGCTTCACTGTTGGCTGCAGTTATGGGCCATTAAAACTTGCACAGTGCACGACAGGTTCAATGTTTATGGACTGGGGGGTTGGTACAGTCATTACGAGAACGGGGGCACCCAGTGATTAGTGTGACTGTGTTAACCCTGGTACAGACTGTACCCAGCCTCTCCATGCACTCCCGCAAATCTGAAATTGATAAGCAGAAGAAAGTCCATGGATATTTTTGTGAATTCTTCAAGCCTTTATGATCGTGTAATGTAACGGAAATATTGTCAGCTCCACCCTGTGCGTGCAGTTTTTATGTCCTAGTGACTATTTCTATGAATAATCGTTTAGTGCTTCAAAATAAGTGCCAAACACGTTCTCAGAGGAGGAGTTTGTGTTCAGAGTAATGGTGTCATTCTGAAGTCTAAGTTTAGGGTTTTTGTTTGTTAATGAACAGTTTCACTCATGCCGTCTCTCTGCTCTCACCTGTAGAGAGAGGTTCCTGTCTGCACCTCCGCTGTTCAGGCAGGCCAGGAAGGTCTGCAGCTTCTTCAACTGTGATTCCAGTTACGCTGCTAAACCTACTTGTAGCAGATGTGAGTATAAGGCCAAGATGCTCATATTCATGTTAGATCATGCAATTGTCTGAAAGGTCAGCTGTTAATGAAAGCTGCAGCATCATCCTGCAGAAGAGTCAGTGGTCTCCACCAGCATAATGTCCTCTGGTCCTTTGTGAGGGAGCGCAGTCACAGTTCAGGTTCATGTATGGAGCCTTACAATAGCCGGAGAAAGCAACAAGAACTGTTTTGTGTAATGTTGTATTTATTGATTTTACATTTTGAACCTCTCTGGCTTCCTGTTTAGTTCGTTTTCTCCATTTATGTAATGAAAGTAATAAAATGCTACAGATGTGCAGTTTTTGGTCTTGAGTGATCAGACATATGGAACAAAGTGGTTTTCATCACTTGTGCTTTAGTTTTCACCTTTTCTGTGTTTTTGGGGGTTTTTTGAACAGGCAACTGTCAGCTGGGCACAGCCTACCAGGGAGACTGCTCCGATGCCTCCAGTCAGGAGGAAGGTGAGAAGAAGCAGCTTTCAGGTCCGCGCTTTTTTCTGGTTTTTCTTTTTTTGGGGGGAGCGGGTTGTTTTTCTATGATACTGGTGGCAGTGCAGCATGATGAGGGGAGGAGTGCATGGAAGTGTGTAAATCGCTGATTGAGAAGTGATTGTGGGCACTGACAAAACAAAGGCATGGCCAGCTAACCAGGCCTGCTGCTCGAGTCTTACTAGTGTTTATTTTTGGAGGTCAGTCGGAAAAGCTGAGTCTGTTTCCAATCCTCATATTTCACAGCTATATTTGCCCCATCATGTGCCACGGGCAGCAGTCAGCACGGCCTCGTCCTGCTCATACTTTATATAAAGCTTGTTAATCCTGGACGACTTTTAGTTTTAAAGCCATTTACCTTACAGACACAGAGATGGGCTATCTCTTTCCAGCTGTAAAAAAATGATGTATTAAATGAAATTTGAGTCTTTGGTCCTACAGCCACTGCTAACAGTACACATGAATCGCTTCTCCTTTGTCAGAATGTAATCAAACCTGTGCACTGTGCTTCACCCTAGTTGTGCTCACATTTGTCATTTGATGGGTAATAATGTGTGAATTGTAATGAACAATGAGTTGGATGAGCGCCTCCATCATTGACTTTTTCTTGTTTAAACCCTGTGAAATCTAGAGTCGTATCTACAGGGACACAAGAAGAAGCACGGGTCCAAGAGTCCATGCCAGCTGTGAGTATGATCTCTGCTTCACCGCTGTTTTTGTCTCCAGAATTGAAAAAACTGTTAGTGAAGCAGAAAAAAGCTGCACGTAAACATATTAACCAAAAGCACGTGTTCCTCTCAGCGGTCTGTCGGGTGCCAAAGGCTCCCAGGTGGACCCTCGCAGGGGAGGACACGCCGCAGAGCTCAATGGGCCTGCAGAGAGGAGGAAGAAGAGCTGCGCACCGCGAAGCAGCCAGGAAGCCGAGCAGGTCGGGTTATTTGCCAGTCTTTGTCTTGCGTATACAGAAACCTGTTTTGATTAAAGAAGTTCTTACTCGTGCTCAGCAGTACTTCAGCGTGCCACTGAGACACACAGCAGCCATATGATTGCTAACACTGGCACGAGTGTTGTAGAAATGGTAGCTTGCTGTGCTGCAATCTGCTCCGTTTGTGCAGCAGGTAAGCTCCTCGCTGCACCAGCCGCTGTCAGAAGCAGCTCGGTTCAGTCCTGTGAGTAAAGCTCAGAGCACAGTGAGCACCATTTCACCAACACTGTTAATCATTATGGGCTGCAGAGGTTTGAAGGCCGCTATGATTGCATTAACCCAGCTGCTCCTGTGTCTGTGATTGGACGTGCCATGTGAAGGGGAGTGCTCTGTGCTATCTCGCTAACACGCTCAAACACTGAGAGGTGGAGGACAGTCTGCTGACAAAGCACATTCTTCATCTCACTCATAACCCGTTTATTTCAGAGCCCTGGATGGGATTGACTCCTCAGAATCCTTCTCTCAGTGTAAACTGGTGTTACACAGGGTCGTTTTTCTTTCTTTGTTGTTGTTGTTTTGACTCATGCTCCAGCTCTGTGTAGTATTTGTGTAAATTGGTAGGGATCCCCTAATACGCTGCTAGCTGAACAGCTGAAAGTGATTAATGGCAAATCGAGTCATTCCAGGGGAGCTGTGAGCTGCATGTTAATGACTCCTCGCTTTCTTACAGCACCAGGACACAGACAAGAGAAGCCACCCAGCCACCAAAACCAAGAGCAGAGTGCTGCCCACAGAAGGGTAGGTCTGCTTCACGAGCTAAGAGGCTCCACGTTTACCCTGTGTGACACGTTTGAGCAGTCATTAGACTCTGGCTCTGTCAGTCTGTGCGTTAGTGTACAGTGTGCTGCATCTGTGTTAACATGAACATGACATGGTCTCCCGTGTGCTCCTGTTTTCAGGGAGAAGGTGAAGTGCAAGTCCTTTGTGTCCAACGGGTGTTTGGTGGCAGCCCCGAGGAAAGGTAAGCGTCTGTAGCAGGAGGCAGTGTACTTCAACAGGACGGTGCTTTGTTGAATGCTTTTGAAGCAGCTCCAAGTCCATCAGAGCAGTGTTGCCAACTTAGCGACCTTATTTCTTTTCTAAAAAGCGACTTTCGTTGGTGTTATTAGTCAGACTTATGACCACTTTTTGACGTGAAAGCACGTATCGCATCGCTGTTCCTCTCAACAAGCAGCGTGCCGCCCGTGCCAAAGCGCTCACAGGCGGCGGGTCATTCTCACGTAGCAGTCGCCCACAGCTGCAGTCGGAGCAGGAGATGCTGACCCCTACGCGCCCAAACTGCAAATGAATCACGCAGGAGCGAAGCCGCTGCTCCCGCACTGACTGTAACGCAGTCAGTACTTTTTGTGGATCAGAAGGTTTAAAACGACGTAAACACACACAGTAACTCTGCCAGAGTGCCTGTTTCAGGTCACTTTTGCCAGTACCAAGCCTGGATGAAGGAGGTGGGATCGTGACATTAAAACAATAATTTTTAAAAGAATTTCATTTGTAGTTCTAAATATATTCTAAATGCATTTAGGGTGGTTTGGTTTTTTTAACATAAGCATGACCAGTTATGCAAATTAGGTGATGACCTCATTTAGCGACTTTTAGGACAGCCAATAGCTGTTTTCCTTACTGATGAGTTGGCAACACTGTATCAGAGGCCGTCCCTCTCTGGCATGTGCAGGCTTGTCTCGCTGTTGTGCGCACCAGGAATGTAAACACATGGTATTGCTGTAGCAATGATACTGCGATGTAACACCTTTATGTTGCCTAGTTATTTTTCTGTATTATCATGTGACATGGCCCTAGTGGCTGCTTGCATGGTACGGTATTCGTAGACAGTAAATGACTAATAATAACGCCGTCTCTTACAGGCTGGAGTTCCTCATGAATTGCAGCTGAAGCAGAGTCTCAGTCACCAGTTTAATAAACCCATCAGTAATCTTGTCGTATCGTAAAGGACACGTTAACAATCGTGCTGTGTTTCCTGTTGCATACACAGTAGATGGGCGCTGGTTGGCTTTGACACACGTTGTTGTTGCAGATGGTGGTTCATCGTCAGAAAGCTGCAGCTCCCCATCCAGCCCACAGCACCGAGGACCAGAGAGCCTGGAAAGTGAGGATGAACACAACAAAGGTAAAACTATCACACACGCCCTTTTTCTAAATACAGCCACTGTAAAGATAAGCGATGACATTGCTGTCCTCTGTCAGATACAGATAGCCCCTGTGACGAGCTCTGTAAAGGACCAGGCTCTGACATGTTCTTCACCGGCCAGACTGACTCTGCTGTGCTGGCGGAGGCCTCCTTTAGCAGCCTGGAGGGGAGAGCAGACTTCCCCCATATTTCCTTCATGCATAATGTGAGCTACATACTCCCCAACGGAGCTGCGGATGCTGGGCTCCCATTGGGTTCACTTCCTGGCCAGAGCATGGTTCCAGAGGGAAAGCCCTCACCAGGGCCGCTAATGATTCCGATGCCCACACTGCCTCCAGCCGTCTCTGGAATTGTGGACGACCCGGAGAAGAGGGATGTTGTCCAAACCTTTGGGATTCCACCTACTGGACTGCATCCTGCAGGAACTTCTGCCATGCAGCCCTTGATCCAGGGCTTCAAAACGGCTTTGTCTCACAGCCAGGGCGGCACTGACGGAGCGCCGGGGAGTGGATCTTCACCTGCTGCACCGCAGGTTTCACACCAGGGTCCAATCAGACCCGTCAGCGTCATGTCTTCTCCAATACTAACCTGCCAAGACCCAGCCAACATCAGCCCGGGCCTGGCCTCTTCTCTACCACATGTGGAGACATCGCAAAGCAAGCGCCCAGGCTTACCGTCTGCCCTGCCTTCTCCCTACGCCCTGCCCCCCGTCCCAATGCCATCTCTGGGGGCACCCGTGGCCCCTGGACAAGTACAAGCTGCTGTTCCACCAGCTGTGCCCACACACACCCCTGGACCTGCCCCGAGCTCTAGCCCAGCACTTACACACAGCACGGCACACAGCGACTCTACATCCTACAGTAACAGCAGTGCTTCCACTGGAAGCACCCCGGTCGCTCCTGGTAGCTCTCTCACTCTCCAGCAGCCAGCAGCACCGCAGCAGCTGCCAATGGGCTGCGGGACGTGTGGCTGTCACAATAACTGCGGCAGCCGAAGCAGCAGTGTGAGCGTCGCCTCGGGTCAGACGCCTTTATTCTTCCCTGGCCACCAGATGGCAGCAGCGCACCAGCTGTTCAGTGTTCCTCCACCGCTCTTCCAGATCACAAGCCTGTGCAATAGCAGCTACCTCACCCAGGCTCACCCTCCTCACCAGGCCAACGGACCCACCTCCATGCCCCCTTACTTCCCCAGTGCTGCTCCAGCACATCCATCCCCTTACCTTAACACTCACACCCAAAGTCATGCAGAGGTACCATCGCACATGCTGGCCACGCAGGCTACAGCAGTGGTAGCCGCCAGCTACAGCCTCCAGCAGCCGATGGCTCCAAACACTTCGTTCTGCCACCATGTCTACCAGCATGTGTACCCTCCCCTGGGGATGCTGCCTCCCTCTCTGTTGGGGGGAGGTGGCGTCAATAAGAAGAACGGGAACGTGTCCTGTTATAACTGCGGTGTGAGCGGCCACTTTGCTCACGAATGCAACCAGCCCTCCATTGACTCCACACAACAAGGTAACAGCGACACCCAACACTCAGCAAAGACTAGAAGGCAGCGCTGATCCTCCACATGAAGTATATTTGTAGCTGTCTTTACTCAGCTGTGCATGGTTCACAACATGCGCTTTCAGATATGGCAGAAGAATCTGCGTCGCTCACATTATTGTAGTGAGATGCAGCATGTGTGCAACACCGCAGTGTCACCTCCTACGTTAAAATCAAAGTAATAGCTGAATACAAACAAGTACAGTTATCAGCCATAAAAGGCCAAAGTTAGTGTACGAGAATGAGGCGGTGTGGGATTTCTCACTGATACTGTGGGTCCAAGTTCAAATCTCAGTGACCTTGACCTCAAGATCAAAGGTCAGGTTTTCTGAAGGTACTTTGAACACAAACGAGGCAGTGTAGGGTTTTTGTTTATCTGCACTTTTGCTTGGCGTTTCCACAGAAACAGTTTGGTTAGGACAGGCTGATGGCACCTAGGGCTGCAACTAAAGATTATTTTGGTAGTCGACTAACCTCCACTTCCTGTGGGTAAACCTCGCGTTCTCTGCCCACTTATGAATATCGCCCCGTTGTGTCTTCCCACGGAAAATTAATGACTCAGGAAACGCATGAATTTAAAAATGATCAAATGTATTTTTACCGTTACTCGACAGGACCATCAAAATAAATGAAAGGGATCAACATGGACCCATTCAGAGTTACAGCTCCAGGGTGCCGGTGTTTGACATGCTCGTGCGCTGCAGTGATGCTGTTGTGGAGTGAAAGCATTGAACTTTGTTTTCTGTGACACGCTTCCATCCTCCTGTTTGGCCATTAGCGCTGCTGTGTTCTTCTGCATTAGTGCGTCTGCAGTCTTGGCAGGTGATGCAGGCGATACTGCCCGCACAGCTTGCTGTAGTGTGTTGCACATTCACGCTGTATTGGTATAAATCGCACTACTGTGTACAAATGTATAATCTTCAGTATTACCAGCTCACACTTCAGGGCTGTGATGGGTTTTACAGTTGCAGTTGTCCTTCCTCACAGGTAGAGTAATGTAGTGCACAAAATAAGTGTGTGTGGGTTTGTCGAACCACAGTCATAACACAAACCTGAAGCGCGGGCCGTGAAATAGTAACGTTTTCCTTTTCTCTGTTTGTTCTTCAGCAAACACGCTCGGCATCACTGAACACTGTTGGTGTCATGTAGTCGTGCTGTGATGAACCACTGCGAGCTGATGTTTGTGCGTTTGTGTGTCACAGGTGGGTTCCGGTTAAAGTACGCACCGTCCCACATCTCAGACGGCCCTGACAACGCTGACTGAAGAACACGAGGAGGATGGAGGAAGTTCCTGCGACCTCGTTTCCATGGCGGCAGCCTCTTCCCTGGGAGCTGTTTGTGAGCAGCGTGATCAAGCTTCTGTGTTCGCCACCGCATCCTCTGAACAGGACCGACCTGCCAAGGGCTCCGTGGACAAAGCCCGAGTACTCGTGCCTGGAAGAAACCTTCATCCCGTGGGGATTACTCATTGCACACGCAAACTGTCCATGTGACTCGAAGCCCCACCCCCTTTCAGTTGTTTTTTGATATTTTTGCACTGAGGGTCGGAAATGATTAACTTATTAATTCTTAGGAAGTGAAAGCTATTTTGAGGATATTTAGTTTTAACATTAAGCGGAGCCTTCGGTCTCGACTGGGAGCTTCTTAAACACTTCTTTGTAAGAGCGTATTTATGCCTTTTCTTAACTGTTCACGATTTTATTGTACAGCAGTTTTCAAAGACTACGAATCAAAGATGGATTTTGTTTTCAATTTTGCTGTAAGGTTTTTGAATGTATGTTTAAAGAGGAAGCTGATTCAGAGTGGACGGATCTCACGCATTTTTGCCACTTGGTGTGTTTTTAGTTGAAGGGTAATTGCTGCTGCTTTGTAATTTAATTTTCTTATTGTTTTCCATTTTTTAAAAGTTATTTTTTTTGGTCAGATGCACTATAGAGAAGCAGGAGCCACTACAACATTGTGCACCGGATACACGTTCACGTAAACATTTTATTGGTGTTCATTTGAAATCTGCATGAATTGGCCAACTGATCAGCATTTTGTGTAAAACGTCGTTTCAGGTGTAGAACCAATTTTGATGGCTAACAGTGGAAAAAGTTGAAGCGACATACTGTAGAAATAAAACTGAGATTCCAGGTAATGAGTCAGACCAGTTCTGTTCCAGGCAGCACGTTTGGTCCTCAACATGTTGCTCTGATTTATTTATTTTTCTCTTAAACCTTAGTAGCTGTTTCCTTTTAGCGTCCATGCTCGGAGTGTGCATCAAACTGAGACGTGCTGGCTCGTCGTGTCAGAAAGGCAAACGTGTTCAGTTTACTTCATATCCAAGCCCCCTCCAACATTTTGCATTAATTAGTACTAAAGTTTAGGCCACTTGCATTGTTGGGAAACATCCTTTTCTCTGCTGTAACCATGTTCACGTTTGGCCAACTTTAGCTACCCTGTGTTGCCCAAACATGGTCGAGCAGCAGAAGTGTTGCCTCGGGCCCCTCCTCCAGCGTTACCTGGGCCGGTGTATTTACAGCAACTACTGGTCTGAGGTGGGTCCAGTTTGATAGTTTGGCCTGTTGGAATCGTCATTGATCCGGGAAGCTCCAGACCAATTATCAGTGGAGTGTTTGAAAGGCAAAACTCGTCTTCTTTCAACCAAAGTTAGCCTTTAATTTGATCTACTAAATGGCAAAGTGTCATACAGCGTTCCCACGAAGCGCTCGTGCTGTGGGCAGAAGCTGTAACATGGAAACTGACTTGTAGAGCGCAGACTGGGTGGGTCCAGCCTCTGACAGTTACAGGCTGAACTCAACGCTGTCACAGACACCTGACACTTTCTGGATTCAACTGAATCAATTGAAAAGATCTACAGTTTTGATTTCTGAATATTTTAAGGTGGACTTTAGAGTTATTTTGATGTGGAAAAGCAGAACAGCAGATTTAAAGCGATAAATATTCTCTTGAGGTTTTTGTGACACAGATTAAAGAAGGCAAGGTGTGAATATGGAGCCCCAAAGTGGTTGAGAGTACATCAATTAATTGTTGATCATGTAGAATATAAGTGTAATTAAAGGTGGCTTAATTCATAACCCAATGTTAAGTTTTTAAGGAGGATCTAAGATTTTTCTAATCTGTTTTTAGTTTATAATGGAGTTTGTCTGTCGCTGTTCCCTTATGTTTTAGCTGATAACTACAACTATGCCACTACAACCCTGTGGCATAGACTGTGTACACAATGGGCCCACCCACTGTGATATCACCCACTGGTTAGTGATGTTTGTTACCGGGCCTCAAACTGGCAGGTGAGGAGAATCTGTGACACGGCTTGATGACCTGTCGGTGACACGTCACAACTCGATAACCATAGTGGTCGCCCCCTGATGGCCACTGAGAATAATACTGCACGTTTAAGGCACTGGCTTCACTTTTCACATCAGTCTTTACTGTTCCAAGCAAACTGCTGCCCACATTAGTCAGTCAGCACAGCTTAGAGTAACTAATGCTGAATCTAGCTGCTAGTGTAATATTCCTTCGCAGCGCTAACGACTTGGATAAGGTTATAATCTAGTTTTCTGTTTAGCTAACATTAGCTTATTAACCAGTGACGTCTGAAGCCTTTTGAGCAGCCATTCAGAAGCTTGGCAGCTTAACTGAGCAGCACGAGTTGCCTTGTAAAACAAACTTGGTTATAAATAATCAGAGGAGGCTGTTCCCACATTTCTGTTGAATGTCTTCAGCACCATTGCTCCAAGCAGCTAGCTGGCTATAGTTGAAAGCGGGTGATGAGCTTGCTTTGACACATTTTAATATTAGAATTTTAAATGCAGTTTGACAAAAACATAATTCCCACCTCTTCTTTGGGTTCCATATGTAACATTTATTTAAGCAATTAAGTTGTCAGTACAAAATAAACGAGATCAGTTCGAGAACACTCGTCGCTAACACAAATGTAGGATTGTTTTATTTATTAATGAAGACGCTGACGTTTCTGGTCGCCATTTGATGCACTCAGGCTGTTCAGTGGTTGTTTTCAGAGCTTTGTGGATATGGTGCTTGTTTTTGTGCCGCGTCTGTCCTCCATCATTGCTCAGCCTGCTGTCAGTGCATTAGTTGATCTATGCATACATGTTTGGATCCTCCCCCCCCAGATGTTTTAAATTGGGTGACAAGAGAAGCAAGTGGTGGCGACGACAAGATATTTCATGTAAAACTGCTGAAGAGATGCACAAAAACAAAAAACTGTAGATGGGCTTTATTCATGTTTCCCTTTGAAGTTCTTCCTTTTCATTCAAGGCTTGACGATCCCACTGCTCTGGATCACAAGCAGTGAGAAGATGTGGATGAAGAAGAGGGGATTCATGTGTGTACATACTGAGGACACCAAATAAACCCAAGTTTCATTTTATTGACCTTTGAATGGTTAGAAAAATGCTGTACTGTTCATCAATGTTTACTGTACTCTTTGATATCTGCACACCAGAAAGGTCAAATATTTCTAGAGTGGAATTTGGATTTTATGCAAATTGTTCCTGTTTTTTTTCTGTAATTAAAAGCAATAAATAAAAATAAAACGTGTCCGTCTGTCCTTTAGATTTGGCTGCAGCCTGTATTTTGCTGTGCACATTAAGATGCACCGTTTAGATTCCTGGTTGGGTAAACGACCAGCCATGAAAACCAGATATTATCAAGATCAACTCCAGCTTTTACTGTGACAAGACGAGATTACCCTGACATCTGCAATCAGTCTCTTTGTGGTTAAACATACAGCTTTGTCAACATTTTAGCTTCTGTACAGCTAACTAGCTCGATAGTTTGAAAGTAGCAGTGAATGCTAGCAGGCTAACTAAAGGTGGACTGTTGTCTTTAAGAAGCTTTAGTTGGTAAGCAAAAAGTTGCTGGTTTGATTCCAGCTAGCGGCACAAATTACTTTTGGGATTCATCAGGAAGGAACGGTGCCAAATCAGGCACAGGGAACGCCTAAACACTTCTATACATTCAATTTCTAGACCTGGAAACTATGCCCATCTTTTATATACAGTCTTAACGACCTTGTAGTACCATATCACCCTATTAGAGCACTTCACTCTCGCTCTGCAGGCCTACTTGTTGTTCCCAGAGTATTTAAAAGTAGAATGGGAGGCAGAGCCTTCAGTTTACAGGCCCCTCTTCTGTGGAACCAGCTTCCAGTTTGGATTCAGGAGACAGACACTATCTCTACTTTCAAGATTAGGCTTCAAACTTTCCTTTTTGCTAAAGCATATAGTTAGTGCTGGACCAGGTGACCCTAAATCCTCCCTTAGTTATGCTGCAATAGACGCAGGCTGCCGGGGGATTCCCATGATGCATTAGACATGTACGTTCGTTTAACTGATGCATCTGTATGTCTCCGTCTCTCAGTTAATTGTAGTATGTTTATTTCTTTCTTTTGCAATAAACAGACAGTACCTATGAAACATTTAAATTAGCTCACCATTTTACATTTACATCTCTACTTGAAGCTGCTGTCAGAATGCAGCACAATCTCTGCCTTTGAATGACTGAGAAGCTATTTGGGTATAAACACTCAACACATTTTGCTTTTAATGACCATGAGCCTGTCAGAAAGCTTCACCTGGAACCAAATGAATAAAGCCTTTTGTTTTTAACTCATGTTGTTCTGCAGCAGCTCTATGAGGCTCTTGTTGTAATCGGCCACCTGCTGGGAGACGCTCTTGGCAACTGAGGCGTAGTCGCTCTCCTGGGATTTGGAGGCGATGACTGACGCTGCAGTTAAGGAAAAATCACTGAGCTCACAGACCTGGTGTCTCAGAGACCAGAGGTTTATAGAAGACACAAACCGGGCACACAAACCGAGAGCTGGAAAATAAAATTAAATGTATGCACACATCTGACAAGTACTGCTCCTTTAATTACCTCCAAAAGCTACCAAAGCTGTAAAGAACTGGTCCCAGTGTTTAAAAATCTCACTTTCTCTGGATGCTGGAGACTGAATAGAGGGCTTCTAGTGTGGATGAATTCATACGTCATATTTCTAAAGGATACATTCTTTCATCACAAAGTTGTTCTGCTCCAGGTGCTGCCATTTCCTCTCCAGGTTAGCCAGCTAACGTTCAGACACATAAAGCAACACAAAACACAAGACTGCTGTGAGCTGAAGACGGGAAGGCAGGTGGTGAGGAGCGAGCTGAGTCAGAAGATTCAGTCTGTTTCCTGTGTACCAAAACACGACTAACCTGAGCATGAGTCTCATTTTCCTGCAGTCTGGTCTTCAGGGCTTCATGTTTCTGGTTCATCTCCTCCAGCAGCTGTCCAAATGCATCTCGACGCTGAGTCAGCGACACCTGCTCCTCCTGCAGCCTCTGCAGCACAAGGAGAGAAAACAAAGTATAGTCAGTTCATTTTTTAAAACGGAGCTCCATTATTGATCTCCAGTATGGAAGCTCTCGGGGACAGTGGTGAGAAAGAACTCCCTTTTAACAGGAAGAGACCTTCAGCACAAAGAGTTTGCAGTTACCTTCTTCCTCTCCTCAGCTGTGAGCCTGAGGGTGTCCAGGTCCCTGTAGGTATGCAGCTCAGACTGCATGGTGCTGACACGCTCCTGCAGGGTGCTCAGCTCACCTGTGATCTTCCCCTCCAGCTGCTGCACCTTCTCCAGGTCCTGCTGCAGGCGCTGGGACTCTGTGCAGGGGCAGAGAAGGGGCTTTGTTCAGTGCTCGTGTTGTCGGGACGTAAATGTTCCAGACTTTAAGGTTAGAAATAAATTAATGTGATCTCTTTAGAAGTGAGGGAAACCCGACTGTGTGCGTGTCACCCACCTGTCGTCAGTCCTCTAGCGGTGCTCTCTGACTGGACCACCTCGGTCTCCTTGCTTACCAGCACTTCCTGCATGTCCCTCAGCTCACTGGCTGTCACTGTATCCACCTGACGGAGCCGCAACATGTTCTACAAAGACATGCACAGTTAGTGCAGTGGACCACGCTGTGTTTGTCCTCCCATTTCATCAGTGCTCCTCACCCTGCTGCAGTGCTCCAGGAGTGAGACAATGTTCTCCTGGCCCTGCTTTAGTCTCTCCTCCTCCTGAGCCCTGGACTCCTCAAATGACTCGAGGAACCCTGAGAAGAGGACAGAGGTTATATCCATGCGCTGCTAGTAGACAGTAGGTTCCCTCTAGTTCCTCCTGACAGTGGAAATCAAACTACTGTGTTTTGGTGACTCCTAACTGTCATCAATTAGGCTTCATGCTTTCACATGCAGTGTTTGCATCAGCCCCCACATTCCCAAATGTGGGATCATCAGTGTTGATTAAACAGATGAACAAATACATGCCTGTCAGCCTGCATCTGCTCAACTACTCTGCCCCACAGTCCAAGACATCAAGATGCAGTTTGTGTGTCTGTCAGTCGCCTGTGACGCTGACCGACTGACCGTCTCCTCTCAGTCGCTCCGTTAACTGTTGTATGTGTTCATTTTTTTCTTTTGCAATAAACGGACACAGTACGTAAGAAATGTTCTCGAAACACCTTAACTTTAAATGAGCTCGACTATGCTGCCTATGTCACACGTGTTCGGTTCGACTGGGACTCACGGTTGATCTCCTCTTCCTTCCTCTTCAGCTCTTTGTATTTCTGTTGACATTCGCCTGTAGGAATGTTCAGAATATTGAAATCACATCAAAGGTGATTCAGGTTTAGAGTCCACCCTCATCCTGTGGGTTACCCTGAGCTGCTTCTGAGTCCTGCTCCAGGTGTCGGATCTCCTCTGTGATTTGTCTTCTCCTGTCCCGTATCTCCGTAAGCCTGAGTACACACAATATACACATATTCTTACACGCACACACAGAAGTGACGAGTATCTAAGTACTTGTAATGAGTACATACTGCCTCTCCATGCTGGCAATTTCCTGGTTGTCCTCTTTCACCTGGAGAACAGAAGCACAGCTTCAGTCTTTGGTTTTTCACGTCTGCTAACATCAAGCTTCAGGAGCTCTGCTCACTGCTGTTTACAATCCATTCATCAGTTTGACCACATGATGGTGCTGTTGACTCTCTGAATCAATGCACACGTTTAGGATGAAGAACAGCCCTACTGCACATTACCACAGTAGCCTGGGTTAGCATTAGATCATCTAAACTTCAGTGTTATTAAGTTTACTTAATCAGAGAACATCGGAGAACAAAATAAAGTACCAGGACCCAAATGTCGCATCTATAGTTGCTTTTTAATGCTGAAAGAGGGTTTTTGCCGGTGCAGACCCTGAATGTGTGGAGGCAGTGAACGCTGAGGAACCGAATTCCTCAACATGACTAAAACTACTCAACCAGACTGAAACTGAATTCATGTGATATCCTTGTAAAAGCCCGTTTCAGGAACACAAACAAATCTATTTCCTGTTTGTAAAAGTTTCTGTGATATTTCATCAAATCCCTCCCGTCCTCTGATGTAGCAATGACCAGCGCGCACACCTGCTTAAATAACTTCTCTCTCTCTTCCTGGGGTGAACCCAGGCTCTTCTGCTCCGCCTCCATCGTGTCTCGTTTGGCCTCCAGCGCTGACAAGGTCTCATGAAGCCGAACCATCTCCTGCTTTATCTGAGAGTGGGACAGCTCCTGCAACGAGGATCGTTCACGTAAAACACCCGCAGCCATGCTGTTCCTCCACCTCGCTCACACCGCCCCCTCCACCCGACTCACTGCTTCATAGTCCTCCTTCCTCGTTATTAGCACGTCCAGCTCCTCCTGGAGAACAGTCAGCTCCTGCAAAACAAAAGAATCAGCTGAGTACTTGCCAGAGTGAGATTTCATCATGCCTGACATGAACCAATCTCCTCTTTCCCCATAACAACTACAGCTTCACCTGCAGCAGTTCCTCATTAGTGGTTGTCATGGTGAAATATTTCTCTTGCTTTGCTGCTGGCATTGCTTGGACGACTTCATCAGCAACGCGCCTCTCTCTCCTGATCTCCTCCTCGATGGCCCTGATTGCCTCCTCTCTCCTGCAGAGCAAACAGAGTGGACAGAGTGCACGCAGACAGATAAAGGAAGCCAAAGAGTTTACAGTTCAATAACAGCCCACATCAGCTGACATGCTTCTACACATCAGCTAACATCGGCTCAGGCTATCTAAGCTGCTTAAGTTGTGGCACATGCACAAGCTGCTTTGCAACCCACCTCCTCGGGTTCCTCTGAGTCTACGGAGGCCCTGACTGAACACTGCACAAGCAAAACGTTCCACATGAAAAATAAGGCAAAGCAGACGAAGAACCTAAAAAACTGTTGTTGTTTCTTAAATTAATTTTCATTCTTTACTACACCAACCAACGACAAACGGAGACAGAATCAAGCAGCGGTGGTCAAAGCTTCCTCCTGTTTCCTGCTCAGCTACATCACAGGACTGAAGCATAACTATGATGTGAAGCCGGCCGCATCAGTGAAACGCCTCTTTCTCTGAGATATTTTAACATAAAAACACAAATGCAATTCAATAATACATCTCAGTGTCTTTGCACTTAAACTGTAAGAAACAAATAAGCTTTCTTTTTAATTTTGGGGCCTTTTCAGCCCTTATTCCATAGAGACATGAGTGTGTGTGTGGGGGGGGGAGACATGCAGCTTAGTGCGGCTCGGACTCAAACCCGGGCCTACCGCTCTCCGGCCACACGGCGTATGACCTCCTGATCATCCCACTGAGCTAAACCATAAATAAGTTAAATTGGGTTCTGTGTTGTGCAGACTGTCCTGTAATTCAACAATGAACATTTTTGTCCTTTCTGTTTCTGTTTCTGGTGAATCGAACATAAGAATGATACATTTCTATAGCAGCCAGTGAAAAACGAGGAACTTTCTGCCGTTTATTGCTTTATCTACGACTTATTTACTTTGGTACAGTACGTGGTCATGGAGCACGTCCTCACCGTAGAAGATTTATGCCCTCCTTCACATTTTCCACAGTGGGCCAGACTGAAGACTTTGGAGGGCTGATCCTGGCCCATGGGCCTTATGTTTGACACCCCTGCTCTGGGACTGGTGGAGGAAGACTACAGCACCAAACTCTTGAATATTCACATCATACGGTTACACTTGAACCTGACCCCTGTGATGTAGATCAGCTCCTCCAGTCTCAACATTCCCTCCTCTGTGCTGAAACCCGACTTTCCCAGAGACGGTGCAGTCGGGCTGCAATGCAGCTCCATCACATTTACATCAGTCTCTACTTCAATTCAATTCAATTTTATTTATATAGCGCCAAATCACAACAAAAGTCGCCTCAAGGCGCTTCATAGATACAGAGAAAAACCCAACAATCATATGACCCCCTATGAGCAGCACTTTGGCGACAGTGGGAAGGAAAAACTCCCTTTTAACAGGAAGAAACCTCCAGCAGAACTTCAATGGAAGAGTAGGAATGTGGGAATTCTTGTTCAGCTGTATGTAACCCAGTCTGCTGCTGCTGGTGTGCCTGCTCACTTTCACAGTACTATTAATCATTACAATGTTTACAATAGTTTGCAAATGTTGCTGAAACATTTTACAATATCAAGAGTGAGAGTACACACACTTGGGTTTGCCGTGTCCACACAGGCGCACAGGTATGTTTGCTGAGACGAAGCAGCAGCAACACTGGCCTCTTTCATCTTCTACCTGCTTTTCATCCACTTTTTCTTTTCTCCGTCTGATCTTTCACACTCTTCTCCTTACTTTATGCTTTCTTTTCCATTCAGCCGTCATCTCTCCGTAAGAAGAGGTCATTAAAAGAACTAAAATGCTTGTCATTAATCATATTCAGTCATTTGCAGAATTATACCTTGAACTAGTTCACATATATATTTAGATGAGCCATTTCCAACAGTAACCTAAGAGATACTTGTAGGCAGAAGAAGGAAGACAGCAAAGATGGGAGGACCAACTTGATCAATCATAAACAGTTAGCACAGAGTGCACACTTGTTTTACAAGGAACAAAGGTCACTCGTACGCTGACTGCGTGAGAGTAACAGAGGACTAAAGGTTCACCTTAGTGCGTGTAGAAGAACAGGTAAGATTCTTCTGCTACTTTTCATTAGTAAAAGATGATTACACAACAAGTATAAAGAGAAACAGTGTGAAAACCAGACAGGAATTGTGATTGTGAGATGCAGAAGTGCGAGGTTAGGCAGCAGACACGTTTCTACACGTGTCCTTTAAAGGAGAACATGCGCTGAAGTTTCTTTTCTCTGTAAGACGTGAAAAAGACACTCCAGCATCAGTGTGCACTCACTCCCTAACACGGTGCTTTATCTCTACTGTACTCTGACCTCGGGCTTATGCTGCAAAGTGCCCGATTTCTCAGTTCACTGCACATACAAAGAATTCACATAGAAATATGAGGGCATAATGTTTTCTGTTAATGGAGTCCAACGCTGAGTCGTATATTTAAAGAGGAACATGACGTGCAATGATGGGTAATGTTTTTATCCTCAGGTTAGATGGCTTAATAGCTCCCGACTCTAAAGGGTATTTTCATCAGATTCTGAACAGTTTTTTTTCCTTCTGCTCTTTGTGATGTCAGTGAGAACAGGTACAGTCATGTCAGCGAGCTGCGCTCCGCCTACCTGCTGTTTGAATCAAACACTTTAAACAAAATGTTGTAAAGCCTCAAGCTGTCACCATGCTGCTGTTTGGTAACAGGCACACACGGACGTTGTGGTAAAGTTTTATCCTGCTTTTTGATTCTAAGGGGCCATCATTGAAAAATCAGTGTAGTTTTGTTTTCACGTGAAACTGAGACCATCAGCTTATCGTGAAAGTGATAATAAGGTCAGTGATCAAGAGACCCAAGCACTGTTTTACTGTCGCCATATATTAGACTTTCTGCAGCACCCCCTGCTGGCCATTAGAATACACATTTACAGCACTTTGTATCACTCGTAGTATTTGTGAGTATTTGTCCTCATGACATGCTGTGCTTAGTGTAAACATTGGCCAATACTTATTTACAAAATCTTGTCTCACACTTTTCACAGCATACACTGAGATTTTTCACCTCTTTGTGGTCTTCAGGTGCTACCGTGTCACGCAACCTTGTTTTTAAGAGGCACAGCCAATCCAAAGAACGCTGGCTTAAAGGGGGAGGAGCTAAACATGTATTTCAGAAAATACATTTTACTGACAGGCTAAATAACTGTAACTTATGCAAACCTTGTGTATAAATGGAGTTGATGTTAGTCAGATTATTTTAGTCCAACTACATAATTTGCAACCGTCGATATCTGTGCCGTAGTAATGCTTTTTCAATCAAAAAGCTGAATTCTACCAGGCAAAAAATGAATTAATTACTGGTTTTGTTAAGGAATGAGCGTGTTTTCTCTGTCACGTGTTGGTTACAGGACTTTGTATCCATTTCCTTTCAGTGTGGTGTGATGGAGAGGTGCTGGCAGCCTCTCCTCCTGCTGTGGCTCACTGTAGGGCTCGTGAAAAATAATGAGACAGTGAATTGTTCCTGTTCCACCCATCAGCTGACAGCAAACTTCACCAACAAACATCTTCAAGTCATCCCTGAAAACTCTGAAAATGTAAATGTTACCAAACTGATGATTGAAGGGAACCTAATTACTCTGAATGACACGGACAAACAAGCACTAGCTAGCTATCCCAGCCTGGTAGAGCTTCACTTGGATGCTAACTGGATCACTGCTATTCCAGCCAAATACTTCTCTGTGGTACCAAACCTCAGAGTGCTGTCTCTCGCCAGAAACAACATCAGCAGGTCAGTAGGCTAGCAAAAGTCTAACTTCTAGCTAAATGCTAATTAGCTGCTTTAAGTATACTGTGTGTTAAACACCAACCATTAAACTGGTTTGATTTTGATACTGGTGCATACTTGTTAAAACTTACTACTGTTGCATGTTAGTAATATATCCAAGTACAGTGTGGTATGTAATCAAGTGTAATATAATTCTGCTGTGCTTTTTTTGTAGCCTTCACCCTCAGGCTTTCAGTGACCTGGAGGTCCTGACAGAGTTGGACCTGACCCACAACTTGCTAACAAGCCTCCCTGCACAGCTGATCAGTGGGCTGAACAAGTTACAGGTAAAACGAGCATTTCAAAAAGAATCTGCTTAGAGTTTAGTGAGAACTAATCTAGACATGACATGCATAAAGAAATGCATGCATGTGTATGGGGATTTAGGGCTGCACATGTAAGTGTTTCCTGTACAGGATGTGTTATTATTTCATTTACCTCACTCTGTCTGGTCCCATCAGGTACTGAACCTACAGGGAAACCCCTGGAATTGTTCCTGTCCACTGCTGACCATCATTGGACAGATCGATGCAGCAAATGTTACCATGGGTAGTAGTTTTCATCACAGTTTTAAATGTTGGCTGACCTGTGACCCTTTCTGGGAGCTAATGAGTCAATTACAGCAGTTTGAAAACTATAAACACAGTTCATGAGTGTGCTGAGGACATGTGACACATGTGAAAGGGTCTGGAGCAGCTGTAGAGAACGTTATGCTGCCTGTAACATCGTTCGGCATGACTAGATTGGTGGTGGGTCAGGAATGGTCTGGGGAGGCATATCTATGGGGGGACACACAGATGTCTACAGGCTAGGCAACGGCACCTGCCTGATATCAGGGATCGGGACAACAGACTGGCTGCATCATTGCTTCACTTTTATTTGTGTTGTGTCTTTGAATTCGGCCCTCTCTAGGTTGATCATTTTCATTCCCATCTTTTCGTTCCTAAAACATTCCCCGGTCCATATCAGTATCCAGCATGGCTTTCCCCCCACTGAGACCAGTATGTGTTCAAAGTGTTCCTGAACTTTCTTTGAGCAGTGGATCTTTATTTGAAGGAATTTTAGTAGACACGGAGTATCTTGCTTGAATCTGCAGTGGCACATTTTTACTTACAATCTATGAGCCATGTAAGAGACTCACACGGCTGGTATGGAGGTTTTATTTGAACCTTATTTGAAAGATTTTTGGCAACTGATGTTACTGGAAGCCAGAATTACCTAAAGAACCTAAAGCTCACACTGCTGATCAACACATAAGAACACCCGGTGCTTTTGTCTGCTTCCTTTTAAACTGCAGACAGGTGATGTGGTGACACTTTGGTGATGGTTACCATAAAGCCGTACCATAAAAAGAGCAGCATATATGCAGGAGAGCACCCACCATATACAACCTGGTTCCCATATAGAGTTGAATGCTCTGCCTTAGTGAGCCAAAAATGTCTACTGGGGAAACTGAGCGATGGTCTGGTTACTTAAAGGAAAATGTTGGTAGCTTGATTATTAAATCATATGTCCCATGTTGCAGATTTCAGTGATCCTCTTGGATCAATCAGTGAACTACATTATTTTCACATCATTCTTAAAGATTTATCCCAGTATTAAAGCCAAAAACACTACTTTGAATGAAAACAAGTACAAGTAGAGACAAGTAGGAGTGTAGTATAGAGAGATAATGAGGCCAGTGTTTAAAATCCCTTTCTATGTGAAGAAACTGTTCTCTAACTTTAGTAACTTAAAGAGCATGTACTGAAGGAAATGGTGTGTGGCTGCAGGAGGACCACAGGTCATCTGTGCATCTCCAGCAGAGCAGGCTGGACGAGATCTTCTTAATGCTGCAGCACTGTACTCCACATTATTACCCAGCGTCACTCCAGACCCTCAGAAACCAAAAACACCGGTCCACCCTCAACAGACGTCGGGCCCATCAGTTATTATGACGACCACACAGTCAACCGGTCAGAACAACAGCACCAGCAAAGGTACGACATCGAGAGCTGCAGATCATTTTCTCCACTTAAATATGTGGACGCACAAATGCAAGCTTATAACCCCGTCTCCATCCTCAAACCCAAACTAGACCCGACTCCTGCGCTCGGCAACACGTGGAAATTCACAGCATCCGTCGCAATCTTGGCAGTGGCCATCTCCATGCTCATCGTGTGTGCCGTCAAGGGGCCGTCCTGGTACAAGCTCTTCCACAACTACAGGCATCGGCAGTTACAACAAGAAGTCGAGGAGGGCGACGAGGATTTTGTGTCAACAGAGTTCTCGGCGACGGGAAGACACCCGACCCATCAAACATTCAGCTTTGAACCAATGAACAGACAGATAGACGAGGAGCAGGAGTACTTTGAGGATCCATATATCAGGAGAGAAGAGTGACATGCACGATGATAAGAAAGCAAACCACAAACACAATACAATCCATTCAGTGGCAACCTTGCTGTTTGATAAACACCGCTGAGTATTATCATTTCACGGGTCACAAAATCATTGTGTGAGAGCTGTACTGTTGGTCACTGAAGGAGCTTCTTTGCAACATCTTAACTCCACGGCCTGCATTGTTGCCCGGATACTTCCATTAGTACACTGTTGTCAGCTGCGAGGAGTCTGCAACAACCCCAACTCCACTTTTTGACCACTAGAAGAACAATATTCAAGTACAGAACACTTCCTGTAATCTGAGCCATTAGTGTTAGTGTGTGAGCGCCCAGTTAGATCGACAGCTTTATCCTTGTTTGCACGGCACTAGAATGATGAAGTCACATGGTTTACAAGAGTTTTTACCTCTTCATGACTCGACAACACCAGCAGCAATGTGCAGCGTTATACAAACCTCAATTTACGGTGGTTTGAAAACAGTTTGCAAGTGTTTCAGATAAAACACACTCCACGTGTTTGTTTGCTCACGGATCTACACGGCATTTATTTTTATTAAGAAAACTCCACTGCTGCTTCATCTTTACATAACAAGCAGTCGTTTCCTGTTGTGTTTGTGTTCAAAAGTCTCATACCTGCACATATCTGAGTCTTTTTAAATGTTTTATGACTCACATGAAAACTAGCCATCAGGCTAAATTAAATAATGTCCTAGTACTTCATTCTGAAAATGATACTTCACAAAATAAATACGTTAAAGTGTATTTGTGAACATAAAACTGTCTAATGGAGACACAAGTGTCTTTATGAGAACACGTGCACTTACTCTCTCCTCTCAGTGAAGATGTTATCGATGCTTTCTGCCTCGCTGTCATTCTCGGCTTTCAACTAAACACAAGATCAAAAAGTTAAAGGGAGAATTTTGCCCTATATTTCCAGTTCATGAAAAAACCCTTTTATATTGTTTTGATGGATCACTTACTATGTTGTAGTCGTTGATCATTTCCTCCATCTCTGTGTTGGTGTTGAGCTTGTCCACAAGCTGGAAACACAATAAAAATGTACAAAAGTGAAGTAAAAACGAGTCCAGTGTTTAACGCATTCACTGAAAACTAAAAACACAACCTCACCAGTATAAAGGTTTTAAATGTGCAGTTGCTCTCAAACATAACATCGTAACACCTGCAATCAAATAGTTACTGTCCCTGAAGTGGGAAGTTTACATCGTCTATTTTAAGTCATCATGGCCGACTGCTTAAGCTAGACATTCCTCAACAACACAGTGAAAAAGTGGATACAATCTTTCAGTGTTTAACAACATTGTTGCTGTTTACCATATTGTAGTCAGCAAGCTGGCCTTGCATATCCTTAATCTCAGCAGCGAGGCCTTCAGCTCTGCAGCAGACACACATCACGGGGACATTATACAGAGTTCATCTGGATTCAGTGGATTTCATCTTTCACTCAACTATAACTGTTAAAGACGGGAATGAAGACAGAAACTTGGTCATAAAAGAAGAAGAAGAACACCACCCACCTCTTTTCATAAGAGAGATAGACGGAGTTCTCCTGGTTGTAGCTCTCAATCTCTTTGTGCAGTCTGCTGGTCTCTGTGGTCAACTCGTTGATCTTACTCCTGACAGAAGAACAAATTTCACATCGATAGAATTTTTCACGAGCAGCGTAAAAAGACCACATTTGAATCTATGGTGAAAATAGAAAATACATTTTAACTCAAGACCAACTCTAAGAAATGTGAATGTGCTCAGCATGTTTGCATCTTTTGTGAAGCGGTCTAGCTGACCTATGGTTTGTGCACTCCTTTACTTTGACATAAGTAGTTACTGTTAATGCCAGTGAGTATGTGTTACCTGAGAAGACCCAAGTAGTAGGACTTGTCCAAAATCTGTCTCTGAGGCCCTTTGGTAAAGGAAATGTGGGAGGGAGGTAACAGGTTTATTTATATATTAAACACAATCAGAAAAATATCCAAGAAGAAAACATACCTTTCATGCCAGTTTTCATCCCACTGAGCCCCTGCTGGGTGACCGGCCTCTCAGTCACTTTGATCTGTGCTGTCAGGACTCCGGGGGTGGTGACGGGGATGCCACCCCTCAAACCTGGATGAGCACTGGTCCCTGGGACCATCTGGAAGAGGAAATGCAGTGCCTTAGTTGTGGCTGTCACAAAATTGCATTTTCACTCTGAAATTATTTTAGCTGAAAGAATTCACAGTGACAATATTATCACGATATCTAACGGACATCTGACAATAACCATGTTACTCTCTCTAAACCTCATACTCAGCTTTTTTCTCATATTAGATACAACACAGATGTAGGGAGGGGAAAACAGAGTCTGTACTCATAACTGCACACAAGATTACAAAAGAAGCATGATGCAATGAAAATGCATCATAAGCACAATGTCCATTTTATTTTTGGTCTTTTTTCTTGCCAAAACTGGTCTATAGTGTTACACGTAGGCTCAGTAAAACCTGGCACTCATTTCTTGGGCGTGCAGAAACACACAGAATCAGCAAACAATTGTATTTTCAGACTGAACATAACACACTCAGACTGATAATATCTCAAAGCTACAGCGTATCCATGCTGCTGATGGCTAACCCCAGTTGCAACACGCATAGCTGTAGGAGGAGGCTGGATAGCTGTAGGGAGTCTCCCAGCACCAGGGACCACAGATCCGCTGCGGCTCATCGGCCGGCCCATGCTGGATGGAGGCCGCTGGCTTGCCATGATGCCTAAAACCCGTGGACACACAAACAGGAACACTGAGTAACAAATCAGACACGTGGAGCTGCTGGCTGGATTGAGCCATTTTATGTTATTTCCTATATTTTTAACTTTGTAATTTATTGCATTATTTAATTTAGTTCAGTCTGTTACTGTTCCTGTTGCCTTGGAGCAACAGTAACCACATCATTTCCAGATGCTGTTACAGTTCGGTGCTTGTTGGTGAAATAAAAGGGCCACACTTGAAGACACTAAAGAATAACCTTTAACCCTGTGGTGCCTGTTGATTCATATACTGACATTTTCCACTTTAGATTTTACTAGCACAACAGATCAGGCGGTCACGTGATTAGGAGTGGTAGCGAAAGGCTGAAGGCAATAAAGGGACTGATTTGTACCTCACAGTAACACAGAGCTTGTAAAGGAAATAAAGATGTGCACGCTGCTAAAAAGAGGGAAGAAGCTCCTCGGGGTGATTAAACCAAACTCTAAATAATAACACATGTCACATGTTTACTTTGATTTAGAAACATGATTTGTTTCGTGTGCACCAACACTGCATCTACGCTGCACTGACATTACACTGACCCGCATCGCTGTACCGGCAGCTGTGCATCGTTATGACAGCGCAGTCTGTTAAAACCTACAATTTTGAAGCTTAGTTCGGCTATTGCTAACTTGTTAGCTGACACTTTTTGGCTTAGCTTCGTTTACGGAAGCCTCGGTAAACGTCCCGGCGTTAGCCGTGAGATAACGCAGCTTCTTGCCTGAAAATGGTCTCTCTGCGGTCTGTTTTATACGCCTGTATAACTTCCAGTCGAAGCAGGCGTGCGGCGGTTTACCTGAAAAGAGAAATAAACGAAAAAGAATGAAACGCTAGCTGGAAGAAAGTCAGCGGCTCGAGATGATGTTGACGTTACCCCAGTAACCATCTTCTTCTTCACCTGAAATGGGAACAATGCAGGTTGGAGAATGTACGTCTGCCCCCCACCGGCCAACAGGGGGACTACATGAGGTTCCAGTCTATCTGTACGCCGAAACACACACACACAAACAAACAAACAAAGCAACTGTAGCTGTGTTCTTTGTACTGCCTCTCACATATGTCTATGAGAAAAGACTGAGAAATGTGTAGAGGAAACGAGGAGAAATCTAGTTGTTTATTCTGTATTATCCCAATTTCGTGGAGAGGTGAAAGATGCGACTAAACATCACCTTTATCTGACAGCCAATAAGAGCAGTCAATCAGGAAGTGCAACGCTCTATTTCACAGAACATTAGGTTAGGGAGGAACATTACACCTCAGCCTTGTTGCTTCATTGGTAAGGGAGGAGTAAGTGGTTGATGGTTCATTAGTGTATTTCTTTTTATGGTATGCCTCATTCACCCATTCAACACCCATCCATACAAGCGCTTTTTTCTGTTCTTTTGAAGATGATGATGATGATGATGATGATGAAGTCTTTATTTGCCTGCAGCGAAATCGGACCTCTTCCAACCATACATACATTACACAAACATCACATTGTGGAGACAGGTCAGAACAGGTAAGGTATAGAAAAACAGGAGAGGAGAAAAAAAGAGAACTGAGCTCCTGATAGGGGATCAGTATGAGAACAGAAAACATGAATCTTCACACCGTGACACCATGAAAACACGTGACAAGCAACAGGGTTGGGTGAGTAGGGCTAGAGTAAGCCAATGTAGACAGCAGCATCGAGTCGTGGCATCTCTGCCCAGGTCCAGCTGACCCGCCGTCTGCATCAGATGGGGGCCAAGCATCAGGGCGTTTGGAATAGGGAAGGGAGTGAGTGTGCATCTGTGTCAGTGTACACGTGTATGTGTGTGTGTGTGTATCCTGTGTTCAACTTGAGGGAGAGTGTCCTTTCACCCGGTTGAGCGAAAGTCAGCAGTCCTTCAGCCAAACCAGGTGTCCTTGAAGGATCGGGTCAGAGAGACTAAACATAGTCCCGTCATCAGGGACAAGAATTTGTTGTTCCTGAGCTGCATGAGTGAGGGAGATGATTGTTTGGGTTAATGCGGACACCAGGGGCCCGTTCTTCGTACGTCGCTTACTACATCCAAGATCAAATGACACATCCAAGATCAAATCATCGCGCTAACCGTGAGCTCGCTAATCCGGTTCCCCGAACACACCTGTTGTTGACGATTAGTATAGCTGGATGAAGTAATGTGAGATCACTGGGTGGCCCAACAGGGGCTACGCATCGATAGTAGAAACATTGATCGGCAACCCTTTGATTGGTCGGCGAAAATGTCGAAGGAGCGCGCTCGGTATTCTTCGGCAGCAGAGCAAGAACTCTTGAGTGAGGGATTTTAGGAGTTTCAGAGTCTAATTAAAACGCAAGGGAACACTGCAAAGGCTGCAAAAGCAAGGAGAGAGGGCTGGCAGAAAGTTGCTGACAAATTAAACTCGTAAGTAATTTAATAATAACAATAATAATGGATTGGATCTATATAGCGCTCTTCAAGGCACCCAAAGTGTTTTACAATGCCACTATTCATTCACTCTCACATTCACACACTGGTAGCTGTCACAGCTGCCCTGGGACAGAAGCCAGGCTGCCATATCGTGCCATCGGCCCCTCTGGCCAACACCAGTAGGTGGTAGGGTAGATTTATCATATCACACTATATTATCCAATATTATATTACATTATATTATAATATGTTATATTATATCCCCTTTCACATTAGAGCCACAACAGGACCCACTAGAACATGGGAACAAGTAAAAGTGAAATATAAGAATATTCTACAGAATGGTAATATTTATCACTTATACTGCTTTTCGTCTCTTGGAAAGAGACCCTGAAATAATCTGTTTGTTTGTTTATAACAGCAACCAAGAAAAGGGGCAGCGCAAAAAAAGACAGGTGGTGGTCCTGCACCCCCTCGTCAACAAGTTGGTTAAGTGAATAATACCCTCACGGGAAAATCGATATCTCTCTATGAGCACACTGTCGCGCTGAGCTAAAGGATCCTGTCTGTCCCGCAATATACGCTGAATTCTGAGGACTCTCCTTATCAATCTTGCACCTTCCGCAATGGGTGGCTCGCGTATACGGACAGGACATGGCTGCGACAGGCTTCCCAAATCCACCTTCGCTTTTATAGCCGTGGTCTCTCATCTTGATTACACGAAGTAAATTGCAATTACTACTCTGAAATATGAATTACATCTGTAATAATCACATACATGTAATAGAATGTTAATAGTTCATTTCCCTTTTTTAGGAAATGACCTGTATGTATCTGTGTGACATCAATAAAAGGATCAAGTGCTGCATTATCTTTAGTTACATTGATAATATTTATTTATGGTGAAACAGTGGAAAAATATCGCTGTTGCTTTCGTATACATGAAGCGGACATACCAGCGTGGCCGCGATCTAATCCTGTTTACATAAAGTAAACCTGCTCCCGAGCAGGTTTACGCTTACGGCTCTGTTGCTATGACAGCAAGTCCCGGATGGGCTTCGAAGAACCGAACGATCCAGGATCACGCGAAATCGTCAACAGTCAAATCCGGCTAACTTACTTAGCGAGGTACGAAGAACGGGCCCCAGGTCTAACTATTTCCCATCGCAAAGCCATGGGCTTCCCATATGGTGTTCCAGAAACACAGTCTGAGTACTCACAGCTTGCCCATCGTCAACCATGTCGGCAAGCCTAGTGGGGCTTTGGAAAGCTGTAACCGCTTTCTTTGTTCTTCGATAAGCCAGGTCAGAGGCAACTCCGATCAGCCAGAGCTCAGTTACCATGGTTCATAACGGTAGCTCTCGTTCAGTGTCCTCCATCGAGAGTGTCTCCAAGCACACAAACTGACCATCGAGTATCCGGCAGCAAATGTCTCTGCAGGACAATCAGGGCTCCCCCGAGCCCAAGCTTCTCATCAAGAGTGGAGTGTGTAACATTCACATTCAAATGATCGGGGTTCGGTATCTTGCCTAAGGAAACTTCGGCATGCGGACTGGAACAGCCAGGGATCAAACCGCCAACGTTCCAATGAGTAGATGACCTGCTCTACTTCCTGGTCGACATCCTGGTCAACTCGGAGGCAACAGAACAGGATTGTATGATGGACTTCATCTGCGTAGATTATGTATGAACTAAGTGTTGATGCTAAATACCTAAATGTGATGAATACAAACCCTCCAAGATGAAAGACAAGTTACAGATTTCATCTGCTTTCCGCATGGAACACAGAAAGGACAGAAATTATACCGACCTAGATTTTTAGATCTGTTCTTTGTGCCAAACGGGATGTAACTGTGTGATCAGTGAGTGATCAACAGGAAGGAGTGTACTTCCTGTGCGGCGCTGTCCTGACTGAATCTGATCCATAGCATCATGTCAACATATAATCTTTCAACACATGATGTACTCACCTGTACAAGTTATCTTTTCCACTGAATGTTCTGATTATATTCTGTGACCACAGCAAGTCGATAACAGAACAATTTCTTCTGTGCTTGTTATTCTTCTCGGTCAAAAGGCACAGAGACTGCTGTTGCACATCTGGCTCCTTTGCAAAAGCAAATTTAAACCTCACGAAACTTCAAATTTACATAACAGCCATGAAGAACTAAGGGAATCTCAAAAGCAAAAGTGGGTCCCAAAGGGATCTGCATGCATGCTCGAACAACAAGTTTAATCTTCTGAAAGGTCACAGGAACACACAACGTCCTGTAAACAACCAAAGGCCTCTGATGGATGATGGCAAAGATCACAGGGCTGTGTCAACAAATGTTTTTCTGGACAGATGAGACCAAAAAATGAGAAACATGATGTTATGAGAGGAAAAACAGGATAAACGCTGCAATGTAAGAAATCAGAGATAAGACAAGAAGTTTGGGCTTTATGCCTCATCTGGGTCAGCATTTTGATCCAACCCCGACGTCATGATTCTCGTGAAGCAGAACAACTATTCAAGAAACCACTAGATGGCAACAGGTCAGCATCTCCCTCTCTTTGTTAAACGACAGTAATGAGAGTTTTTATTCTCAGCAACTAATACTTTACTTATTGTTGTAATAAAGAAACAAAATATATGTCACATTTCTTCTCATCGTTTCATTTTTTGTTGGCTTCCCTTCAAGGTATTAAAATTCAGATTGACCCTTTGTTTACAGTAACGTGGTATTTCATATAGAGATTTTAGCACACATGGGTCTTGTATAACTGTACTTTCAGAAAGAAAAAGAAACAAAGAAAGCATAAATTTTACATGAGGAATGTGTGAAATCAAATTTCACACTGTTATTGTTCAGTACTGCAGATGTTAAAGCTGTCATTGCTATGGGGATAGCTGTAGGAATGCTTGTTCCTCTGTCCCCTCCTCTAACGCTGTCCACAGCTTTCACACTCGTCCCTCCTTTACCGTGTGCCCTGTTAAACATCAGCACACACACATTAAATGTTTTCTCTTTTTTTTCCTTTTCAAATGCAAAAATCCTCACGACAGTTGTCTGGATACCTTTTCCCCAAACTAAAACCACAGTTTACCTTTCAGACAAACTCATTTTGATACTTTTTTATATATCAAACATGATAATGGATACAATTGTTGGATACAATGGATACAACAAAAGTCGCCGTGATTTGGCGCTACATAAATAAAATTGAATTGAATTGAGTTTTAACACCTGTTTTTATTGGTTGCTCTTGAGTGTAAACAGTTTGAATCAAAATGAAATCAAACACAATATGATTTAAAGAAGTTTTATGTAGCACTTTTTTAAATGCCATAACACAAGGCCAACACATTTACATGTGCTGCTGATACATGTGCACTGTATGGAAAGCCAGGTTCCCAAGGGCAACGCCGCAGCTAGGTGGTATCCCACACTGTTTGCCGGGAACGATCTGGAATCAGGCTGTTTGCTTTCTGGGGCCTTTTGTCTTTCAGCAAAAACATTCCCGACATGGGGGCAAGCAGAGCACGCTGAGGGGGTAGCAGTTCAGACCAAGCAGGGCGGATACAGGGCATCCAGCATCCTGGATACCCGCTGCTGCTAAACCTCATCCATGGCGACGCATCGGAGGATTATCAGAGCTCTCGAGGCTCAGCTTCTACACCACTGCCGTATTACATGAGTGGGTCGAGCTGGTGTTATACATACTTTAATATTTAGCTCATTTGATCTTCATTTGAGGCAGTAAAAAACAAGACTGCATGAAACACAGAATAGAATTTAAGTGCCACTTTTATAATCTGGCAACAAATTACTGTGACTACATGTACATTTATGCAATTGTTTCAGTTTTCTTTATTAAAGATGATATGTGTCAACCACTTTTAGACTCCTGCATAAGTGCCGTTGTAGAAGAAAGGCTGATCTGTCACACAGTGACCTATGACCTCGGGTGTCCATCTCTGGATCTTGGGCTTGCCGTCTTGGCCTGGCCGGACAATGACGGTGCTTCTGGACGCCACGGAAGGGTCTTCATTGAAGAAGTTGAAAGGCCTGAGAAAGAAGCCCACGGCATTTCCCGGAGTTGCAGTGTTGGGGATGTCCTCTGAGTGAGGCACATGTAGGAAACCCACTGTCACCCAGGCTACCAGGTCCTGCATGCAGAAGACCGTGGAATTTTTACTATAGTGCTCAGATTAGCTGTTTTTTTTATCTACTTAAAGGCCAAACGAAAGAACGTGTGTCATTCTTGAGCTACTGTGATGATGAATGATTCTTTTGAAAAGAGAAAAGCTAAACTAACGACATAAACTCTTAGAAGGACGCTGTCCATCAGTGTATTGTGACTCATTACATAGTTACTCTCTGAAACCAGTAAAAACAGGATGTGAATTACATTTGAGATAGGTGATTGTATTGGTTAAGCTACTGGAGCTTGCTAAACCTGTTAGCGAGCACTGAGATGTGTTTGTCCTAAAAAAGTAGATTTAAACAACATTATTAATGTTGGCTTTTTCTGTGGAATATATTTCAGGTTTATTTTCGATGAGAAAGCTCTCAGTTTAACTTCATGCTGAGGTTAGCACAGTGTGGAAATATGGGACAATAAGGTATACGTGGATCGAGGTTTGCTACTGCACCTGATTGACTATGTCCTCGTTGTTGCGGATGTAGTTCTCAAAGGACACCGCAGGTTCCCATGGGTCATTCTGGGTGTATATGCTGCTGCTGGTAGCTTCGCTATCCTTATGACGTGTCACAGCCAGAGGATATCTAGGCGGAAACATTTCACCAGGAAACATTTGTCTGTCATTCTGACAGATGACAGGTGAAGAAAACATAGAGACAAAGTGCCGCCTTGTGCTGTGAGCACCTACTTGTATGAACTTGTAGTAATGTCTGTAAGAGTGGTACGTTTTTATATTTGTATGTTAAAGGAGTCACAGATGTGGATTTGGGAGAATCATACAGCGAGTTAGATGAATGCCAAGTATGTGAGTTCAGCACGAAGATGCACAGTGGCTACATTCAGAGCATTTCCACCAGGAGGAAATAATGAGTATTTTTCTCATTATCAACATAAAGACCAAGTGGGAAAGTACCACAGCTGGCCGCATTCATACACTGTGATCAGTGATTTCACCTGTATCAGCACATTTGCCTGGCTCATCAATTCATTTCTAACATCTTTATGGTTTTTTCAAGTTGTTTTTATGCATAGAAATGAATAACTGATTATACCTAGTCAAGGAAACAACATGTTACCTGGACCAGCTGATGCCATTCTCCTCTCTCCAGCCTCTCGGGAGGACACTGTGTGCATGTGAGTTAAACTGAATCCGGTAGCCCTTCTGGTGGCCCCATTTATTCTTCTTATTGGGGTTGTAGAAGTGCACGTAGCGGGGAAACTTTTTGCCAAAGCGGAAGGCGGCCGATCGCTCGGTCCTGTGTTCTGTCCTGTGGAGCTTGGACTGGACGATGAAATGCTTTGGGCTCCACGGATTTGTGAAGTTCACAAATTTGAGATCCAGGGTCTCAAAGCTGTTTTCTCGACCTGAGAGGGGAAAGAGCTGTCAGGAGAGTCTGGTCTGGTGATGCCTCTACAAAAATATTGATTTTGCATGAGAAATCTCTAGGTGTAACAGAGTTGTCCACATCAATACAAGATGTTGTTAGTTATTCACTTAAATGTGTCGCGTAGCCAAGATCAAATGATGGGTAAAGTCCACAAAGCCTATTTATCTGGCACGGCATCTGTAAAAGGCTTAGTCATAGCTCAGAGAGAGGTGCCTTTTTGCCATTATCAGTGAACTGAGGCCACATTGTGCTGTGTGTGTTAGAATAATAAAGCCAAACAACTTCACAAAGCGTCTTGTTCTCTTAATTCTCAGCATTTATTTTCATTTCTGTATTTGAGCAGTTTCTATGGGGGTGTGCAAGCAAAAAGAGAATGTGTTTATGCTTAAATTAGTTGCAGGATAGACAGAAAAAAATCACGTGACTTCACTATGATACTCACCATCAATATCCAGGTCCACTTTATAATGGATGAGGTGTGTGTGCAGGTTACCCAGCACGTAGTTGTACACCTTTGAACCATAGTGAAGGCCGTTAGGTGTAAAGAAAGTGGCGTGGATGTAACCAGTGGCACTGACCTTCACTTCGACCACCCCATTCGGGTAGAAGAGGAAGTCCCAGATATAATCATAGTTGTAAACTGTTGAGGTTGTCCGCAGCACGAGCACAGTGTTTTCCAGCCCTCCAAAGAAATTATAGCCCCCCTGAAAGTCGGAATTAAAATGCCTCCTCAGAGGCATAGCCATTGTCATCTCAAAAATACAGAGAGCGTTCTTATGGCGCACAGGCTTGTCTGTATCAAAGTAGTGGTAAAGGTCAATAAAAGTGGCAATTTCTGGGCAGTCAATTCCTGGTGCCAGCTCAAAAGTCGAGGTGCCCATTGCCCAACCTGCATCGATGTACTTTGTTTGCATGGCTGCAGGAGTATCACCAGCATAGAAGGCTATAGCTTCCTGGAGGCTGATCTCATAGGCGATTCTTTCTCCGTTGAAACGGAGATCAAAGACTTGCAGCCCAGCAGATGAGCGGACTCGATATGCAAAAGACCATCCTGCATATTCAACAAAGTTGCGATCGATGTGGTAGCGATGCCCCTGAGGCTCAACGAGCTTTGGCCCATGCTTATTCGTGGGAGTGTTGATCTGACCGCGAGGTATGTAGGTAGAGTAAAAATCGTCATCCCTGTGATCAGGTAGTTTCAGCTTTTCCACTTCCCCTGATTCATACTTTTCTACCAGTTCCTCGACGCTGTCAAAATACATGCTGTTGTACCAAACCTTTTCAACAGTCCACTTTTCCGGATCCAGGTCCTGGTGGTTGACGAGTACCTCAAATCCAATTGGGTGGATGAAATAACCTTCCACAAACTTCTGCAACATGATCCAGGTTCTCCTCTCCCCTGGATCCAGCCCGCGAGGGGCTATGTCTGAGAACGTCAGGCAACGGTTAGAGCAGTTGCTATAAGAAAACCCTCCTGTGGTCTCAAACAGGAGTTTGTGAGCTTTGTTTGAGATCTTCTTGAGGATGTCATTGATATGGTCATACTCTACCACAGTAATAGGTCTGGACTCAAACGTTACGGGCTTTGCCCCTTTGAAAGTCTTGACTTCGTGGGATGTTGGGGACGGCAGAGGACTGACAATATACTCGGTAATGTTGGGCTGGGCCTGGTTTCCAAACTGGATAATGACCCGAGCTTGGCGTGGGGGTTTGGCGTGTCCACGGTCCAGAGCTTTTAGGGCCTCATGCTTCTTGGGTAAATGGAGTTCCATCAGTAGGATACTGTTCTTATTCAGAGCCCTGCTACGAGCGTTAGTAAGCCCCATCTCTGGAATACCGTGCAGGTAGGCCCGCACAGCTTTCATCTCGTGCACCGTGAGGTCAGCAAATATGGGCGCACCATGATGAGCCCATTCTCTGGATCTGGAAGCAATGCAACCAGCCAAGCACACGAGCTGCAGCAGGCAGAGAGACTTCATGGCTGTAAGGGCAAGATGGTGAGGCTCCATTAGAGATTTTACAGGTCTTACAGCAAATCATGTATGCAGTTGCAGCTTCATTGCTCCTTATCCACACTCTAATAACTTTTCTTTTATAGCTCTTGTGTATATTTGCAATGAGCAGAAAGACAAAGCAGAGTGCCATACTCCCCAACAGAATGCAAAAGAAAAGCCTTTCTCACCTTGATTCCTCTTCTTCTCTTCACAGCTGGATAAGGCAGTTCTCCCTCATTCACGCAAACTGTATCAGCCCCAGTTGCAACACACTGCTGTCCCTCCCTCCGTTCACCCTGCCTAGTTTATGCTGCACACAAAACAGAAACAGCAGCATTGAGTGCTCTTTCAAAGGACACTGACAAATCAGTGCTTATTTAAATATCAAAATTCCCATTAAGTCACTCGTGCTTGTGCTTGCATAATGGAGTTTATGTAACAGTGCGACAAGTGACGCGTGGAGTAGATTCTTGCTTCCTTGGAAACCATTTGCAGCCTCATATCAAGGAAAAAGAAATAAATCAGCGACAGTACCTGTAGTCCTGCTCCTGATGTAAGGCGAGGCTGTACAGTCCGTCCCTCTGCTTCAGCAAATGATCGCGTCAGTGTACCGTTACTAGTCTTTAACCTCTGATTTTGCAGTGAAAGAGGCTGATTGGCTGTCAGCGGGTTGTAAACGTGATTCTTTAAATAACTGATCCTTCAAAGGCAAGGTAAGCACCTTGCAATAACAAGGCAATTCATGGTGCTTTGGACGAGGACGAGAAACATAAAGGACACACGAAAAGCACATAAAGAAAAACTGAAGACAAACAGTACAGAACGAGTTCTGAATTAACTGCAGCTGGATGTTCTGCTTTTGCAAGAGGCCTTTGAAAATGTTTTCACTTGATATGAAGGAATTTGAAGGGTTTGTGAAATCCTGCTTAGATGTACAGGACATGGTTTGGTGAAGGAGAGCCACTTCATCACCACTAAATAAATAGCTAGTATGACAGGGATACAAAACATATTCCAATGTTGTCAGAAGATTAAAGACTATATTCACTTATCTGGCAGCTACGTGACATCAGTGCAGGGAGCACAGCTTTGAAAACTGGAAAATCCCAAATCTGCCATGTGATTAATGTACATGGTTGTTGCATCGCACAGCGGAAAGCGTGTACACTTTGTGGAGTCGTTTGCCCGGCGTTCGCCTCTTTCGTTATAACATTGCAGACAATGGTTGTGACTGATGTTTCGCAACTTGCAATTCATTTACTGAGAGGTGGACTTTGTCCTTTAACTTTCTCTCAAGTGGCCGACGCTGGAGCTAGAGTGAAAGGTAAAAAAGTTGAATCGCCCTTTGCTAAAATGAAAAATATTTTATCAACCGTCTCCTTTGCAGCAGCATGTTATCTGGAATTTCCCACACTTGTACAAATACATCTACATACTGAACGTTGTCCAACAGTTTAGTCATTCTTATCTTATCACTTTTGACTAGAATGCTTGGGGGGAAAAACTAAAGACAAATGACACTGAGCCAGTTTCCCAACAAAATGAGGGATCAGCTCTTTAAATTGTTGAATATTAGCTCTTATTTTATATAAGTACGTTTCCCATACAGACATATACATTTACTGGGAACATAATGCTGAATGCATGATCGATTTTTCGTACTTACAGTCCTGAGAAATCACATCTGTTGTTTTTCGGGGGGTTTTGCTACATTTGAACAACAACTGATCGTCTCTGAAGAAAACAAAGTTGATACACTGGAAGAACACAACGGGAAAAAACAGCTTTTATAATAATTTACTCAGCTGTAATTCTAATCAATTTAATACCTTCTTTTAAAGAAAGTAAGTGCACCATTTGTCCTAAAATTATCTATATCTATTCCAGATGGTTTCAGTACAGTGGAATAACAGTTTTTTCCTCAAGAGCTTTGCAGATCCTGTCATGGTGCCAGCACAGTATCAGACCCCGGATACCAAAGGTTCACAGGGTCTGATAAACCTTTGGTATTCCCCCACCCCCCGGGTCTCTCTCTCAGCTTTTCCCGTAGTTGACGATGATAACATATGTGAGCCCACTTTTTCCCGTCAAAGCACACTGTATTTCCAGCGTAAACGAGTCCATTGGACACATTGTTTTATGTATGCCAGTAGCTTATTTTCACTTTCCTCGAAACCCAGCTGTGGTGACAGCTGTGTTTGATCGTCTTGGCTTAGGGTCAAAAGATTAGCTGGGGATTACATTAATTCTAAAAACTTTCAGTTCCCATGTCTGTTGACATGCTTCATTGAATAAATTCCCCCAATCATCCTTCTAGAAACGCCTGTCTTTACAAGATTAGGCTCTGACAAACATCTCTTTATTCTGTGTCGGAGGCTGCACCCCTGCTATCAGATCACCTCCAGTGTCCTCGATGTTTGACTGGGCGAGGTGAGAGGATGTTTCCTCCACAGGTCCGGTGACCAATGCCTCTCATCCCAGCTGTGACCTTGTCCTTTATATCCAATGGCAGCAGGCGCAAATGCTACTGTACATCCATTTAGTCACCCCCCACATTTAAAACACTACATCTGAGGCGTTACTACCTCCATAAGCAAAGTATCACTCCTGTGAGGACTGTGTGTTTTGGAAAGAACAAAAAAGAACGAAAGAAAAATCCCAGAACAAGGAGTCCAATTAAAAAAGGATTGTGGAGGTAAGTGCACTGTATGTAAGCTGTTGGATGACAGGGTAATAGACCTATTTTATAGGGAATCTTCTGATTGGTCAACAACCTCCATGAGGGTCAATATTTGCCTATGTTTGAGCTTCTAATGAAGTTTTTTGTGCAGATTTAAAATCACAATTTCACATCTGGAATTAAAGTCTAGCAATGTGAAAAAGACCCATCTTTTTACAGGAATTTAAAACCAACACAAAGGAGCGAATTATGGAGAAACTACTGCTGAGTCTACTTGGTCTGCAGACAGTAATGGGGACGGGGTGAGTATGGTCAACCCAGCATTAAGCATATTTTGCAGTGTAGAGACGAATTATGAGCAGGATTCATCTGTATGAACATCTGTTACAATGTAATGCAAAACACTGATTGATGTTAAAAATAAGTAACAATAATGAAAATATGAATACTTCTACTACTGTTATTATCATTAATATACATTTACTTAGTTGACTAACTCAAAAATATGGTTTTCATATTGTAGTTTTATGTTTTAATTTCCCACAGAATAAATATTTTTGATGTTATTTATATTTCTCTGGCTTTTACCGAACAATCTTCCAGTACAGACTTATTATTTCACTGTATAATTTAAAAGTTTATTGATTGAAAAGAAATTTAAAAAGGCAGAGAAGTTAAATCTCCGATGTGCTCAAAACTTTCAGCTTCTTACTAAAAGTTTTTCATTCGATGAGTTTGTTGAACTTTTCAGTACAGTAAAGAGTTTGGAGGGCACAGACGCCTTTTTCATAGCAGTGTACATTTTAAAATAGGCGTCGATGTGCTGAAATATGCGCCTGCAGATCGTAATGATTTATTAAGCTACATACTAATTTTTTTTACTCTTTAGTGAGTTCAAAGAGTAATTTCTAATATTCTCAAAACAGAAAATTCAGTACTACTTTATAATAATGTTACAGTATTAAGCATTAGTAAGATACTTAATTCATCAGTTATACAGCAGTACTTCTGTCATTTATGAACATGTTATGTTTCTGTATGTATGATATGTTTCTCCATCTGGTACTGTTACATCGGTACACTGTTACAGTGACCTGGAGCATGTTAAGAGGTTAAGTTAAATATATCATGTCCCAGACACTGGTGTGAACACAGGACACAAGAAAGGGTGGAACAAGTCCTGTCCCCCCGCCTGCAGCTAGAGGTGAGGTGTTCAGAGGTGTATCAGTACAACACCCAAGGATGGAGGCTGGATGTGGACAGGATGCGAGTCAAACACGGGGGCGATGATGGTATAGCTCTGTACTACAAACAGCAGGGCTCCGAGGCATCCTGTTTCATGTACAAGTACGTGACTCGTTTGGTAACTGTCAGTTTGTTCAGATCAGGGGTTTTATGGGCACTGTTTAGGTGAAGTGTTGATACCTTTGGTTGTGCTTGTAAAATGCAAGTAAATCACATTTAATTTAGTCAAACATAGATTACAAGCAAATGCGACAGAAACCACCTTAGATGACAGCAGCTAGTGTGACAGCTAAAAGAATGCACAAATGACCAGTTTCCGGATGTTTCTGTTCACCTCAGACCGCCAGAGATCCAGAGCCAGATGCTGAACAAGACAGCGAGAGCATGTTGTGAGGGCTGGGCTGGCCCGCGCTGCTCTGAGGGTGAGGACGAGAAACCAAAAAGCTGTTTTCATTGAATTTTGTACATTTTCTAAAACGTATTTTGATCTTTTCAGTTGCAAGTTTGTTTCTTTGTCTTAAAAAATAGTGCTGTCACGTTTCTTCAGGTTAAAACTGGTACATATCATTTTTAAAGGATTACAAAATCACTGCTTCATATAAATTTGAATTTGAAATTCACTAAACAAGTGACTACACCATGATTTTCCACTGCACTTACATTTTCCTTGTCCTTGTTCTATAATGGTCAAACGCATCCTGACTCCTAGCTGTGGGTGTGCGTGGTCAGTGCTACTCTACGTGGAACTGTGTGGAATTCCCTGGAGTTCATAATTCCTCACTTATGCCCATGGAGCAGTGTTGCAGCACTCTGTGGGGACTGAGCTGGAGGAATGCTTCAGACCACACATGTTTGTCTTGCACTTACACTTTGCTTCCAGGTTAGAAACCATGCACATACGTGTATCTGATCTAAGTTCAGTGCATTTTATTTGTTTATTCTTCAAAATCCTTCTCCTTCACATTTTGTCAGTAATGTTGCAGCTGCCGGTGATTCCAGATATTCTTTTTCTTCTCTTCAGATTCCCAAACCTCTCCTCTGATGCGCTTTGGTCTGCCGGGTAGTGCCAGCGTTCCTCAGAGCTCAGCCACCTGCATGTCCTGGGGTGGAGTCCACTACCGTACCTTTGACAGGAAGCACTTCCACTTCCAGGGCAGCTGTACTTACCTGCTGGCCTCATCTACTGATGGCACCTGGGCTGTCTACATCAGTACAGTTTGTGATGGGAGAGAAGACTGCAGTAAGGTATTATGTTCCACACACTTCTGAGATGGTTTGGATCAAACAGAAGCAACTTCACTGCCACACAATTCAATCCAGTGCTCAAAAAACTTGAGGTTTCCACACAGTGATGAAATGTGAACCCTTCCAACCTCTTCTGTGCATTCATGTTCTTCATATCTGTCTGTGGCTCTTTGCTTTCAGGCACTAAGGATGATGCTGGGTCTTGACTTGGTTGCAGTACATCGCAGGAATTTAACCCTGAACAATCTGCACATTCCAAACGGACAGCCACTTTTTCAAAATGGTAAAAATATTCTCAGATATAACTCTGAGCTCTTTCCTTTCCTGTCTGACTATTAACATAAGATAATATGACACTTGGCTAAAAATATTCACACCCCTCACTTAGTGGTCGCCATTAGCAGCAATTACAACTTGACAGTAATTGCCCTCAAGCGTCCAGAAGTTTCCACAGTCGTTCTTGGTAAAATTGTTCAAGCTCAACTAGATTTAGTGCAGAACATTGGTGCACAGCTGTTTTCGGGGCTGTTTCAGTGAATCTGTTGAGTTGGACTCTGGTTTGGCCTAAAACCATAGCTGGGTTACACACAGGGTAGCGTTCTAGTTTTGTGTTTAAGGATTTCTCCCCAGAAGTCTCCTAGTGCCTGTGGCAGACAAACAGCATGATGCAGCAGCCATTGTGTTTGACTGTGGGAATTGTATTAGTGAGGTTCTGCTTAGTCCTTGGTTTTCTACACACACAACATGAGGAAAGATGGTCAAATAGTTCAACCTTTACTTAATCAGACAGAATGCCATTGCTTATCTTTGTCTAAATGTTGTTAGGGTACCTTTTGGCAAACTCTCAAAGTGCAGGCATATCTCTACTCATTGAGAGACTGGCTCTCAATAAATAACAGATACTCCTGATGTCAGCTCATGAATGACACTCGAACCCAGGCGTGGGCAACTCCAGGCCTCGGGGGTCGGTGTCCTGCAGGTTTTAGATGTGTCCTTGATCCAACACAGCTGATTTAAATGGCTAAATGACCTCCACAACATGCCTTGCAGTTCTCCAGAGGCCTGGTAATGAACTAATCATTTGATTCAGGTGTGGAGACCCAAGGTGGGATCTAAAACCTGCAGGACACCGGCCCTCGAGGCCTGGAGTTGCCCACCCCTGCTCTAACCTCTCCACCACCATGGGCCAGACCAAAGAGCTGTCAAAGCAGGGACTATAGACATCTATAGACCATAGATCTATACAAGACTGGACTGAGCTACAAGACCATCACCGAGAAGCTTCATGACAACTTTTGGTACAGTTATGTGGAATTCTAAGAAATATAAAATGATCATTAATTGCCCACAGTTTGGAGTGTCATGATGATGATGAGAAAAGTGATGCATGGAAGAAGCTTGTTAATCATCTGAAGGCAGTTGGGACACTAGGCTGGAACGGACTGAAGTCTTGCAGCACCTGCAAGGTCCCCCTTGCTCAGGACGGCACCTGTAGAAGCCCATCTTAAGTTTGACAGTGAAGATGTAAAAACTCAGAGAAGACTTGGGAGTAAGTGCTGTCGTCACATACAACCAAAACTGAGCTTGTCATGTTTGGAGTAAAAGAAATGCATATGATGACCCAAAGAACACCATCCCCATAGTGAAGCAAGGAGGTGGCACCATTACACTTTGGGGATGTTTTTCAGCTAAGGGTACAGGAAGACTTCAGCACACTGACAGGAGAATCTTCCATGAGCTCATGAATGAAACCTTCTTCCCTGAGATCTTCCAGCACGACAATGACACAAAACATACCACCAAGGAACAACAAACGAATGGCTAAAGAAGCAGCCGATTAAGGTCATGGAGAGGTCTCGACAGTCTCCAGACGTCAGTCCTACAAAGCTTTGAGTTACTAAGCAACAGCCAAGAAATCTAAAGGATTTAGAGAGTTGCTGTAAAGAGGAGGGGCAAAAATCCCCCCTGAGGTGTGAGGTGACCAAGTACAAGAGTAGTCCACCAAGTACTAAGTTATGTTTTGCTTGCGGATCAAAAACTTAAGATAAGACAAGATAAGATACCTTTATTAGTCCCACGAATGGGAAGTTTCATAAGGCTTATTTGACGCAATAACATCTTTTATGAGTTTTTTTCTGTCTATTCTATTTCTTTCCATTAAAATCAAAGTATTATAAAAATGAGAGAACATTTGTGTCTTTTTAAGAGAGCAAACTTATTAATTTAGCAAATAATTATTTCCCCCACTGTAGTTACGTTTCAGACCAAAGCCATTTGCCTCTAATTGCTGTGACTGACTGCTCGTTCCAAGCTGCTCCTATTTGAGAACAACACAGGCTACTCAGCTCTGGCCACATTCAGTGCTGCAGAAATGTCCTTTCATTTCCATCCTTAGACAAAATGACATTAAAAGCTCCACATTTCTGTGCACTGGCTTGTATCTAAAATTGTGACTTTGTATTAATTGCTTGCAGGAGTAAGTGTGCATTGGCTGGGAGACTTTGTGTTTGTGGAGAGTGGCCTGGGGGTCAGAGTAAAGTTTGATTTGGTGAACACAGTATACCTGACAGTGACCGCTGAGCACATGGCAGCCACCAGGGGGTTATGTGGAATCTACAACAACAATGCCGACGGTGAGAGAAGTACAGTACAGACACACTTGCAATCAAAGAAGGCTTTCCTTTCTTTCTACATATCTAAGTCGTTCTTTCTTGATGTAACTTTGTTTGCTATGTGTGCTTTCAGACTTTACCCGTCACACGCAGTTGCTTTACATTATTAACCTTTATGTGTTTGTCCACGGTAGATGATTTCACCACAACGGGTGGATCCGTGTCCCAGTATGCTGCCAGCTTTGGCAACTCATGGAAAGTTCCGGACCAACACAGCGAAGTACTGCAGTGAATTCGTTTTACTTTAACTGCAACATTTTAGGCTTTTTTTTGGTCATTATTACTTTGTTTTATGAGACAGGCCATATTGGCAGTGTTTTCTGAAATGCATTAGTGAGACTGTGTCCCATGCTTCCCTCAGGGCTGCAGTGATGCAGCTGAGCTTGGTCACAGCTGTGACGTGACAGGAGACACTGCGCTACGTCAGGAGGCAGAGTCAGTGTGCCGCCGACTCTTGGAAAACCCCTTCACTCATTGCCATCCTCAGGTCAGAGACCTCTGATGCTTTTCAGCCACATAGCATACCTTTTCTTTTCACAGGATTTTTAGCTTCTAGGTGCTGCAGTGTGATCTTCAGTTGTTGTTAGAGGTCAGAGGTTTGCATAAAACCATCATGGCATGAATTTGGGGCTTTTAGTGTTTTTTTTGATGTGGACTTTTTCCAGGGTGAGATGATTGCACACCCCACATCTTTAATGACCTTATGAAGCAAATATTGGATGCAACAGTTTAAATTTATTTGATATTTTCTGAAAATCAAGGGTGAAAATTATACATGCAAGTTTGAATTTGTGCTTACATTCACTGAAGTTTTTTAATAAGCGTGCTGAAGGTTTTGAACTTGACAAGAACAGAGCTTATTAACTTGTCATTATTGAGCATGTTTAACTACAACTGGTAGTTTCTCTTTGGATATTTGGTTAGGATGGTCAAGAATGTCACAGGAACCAGTGAGGACCAAGCCTGCCATGAACTGCAAACACAATCCGTTACTGTCACAGACTGAGAGGATGGCAAGTCTCAACTCTAAATTCAAAACCTTCAAGCTTGACTGAAAAAATGCAGCTTTCTATTTGCACAGCCGGTTGGCTTCTGGAGAAGACCTTCATGGTCAGACGAGACAAAGACAGATCCTTTTGTGTCTGTTACGAGACGTACGCTTGGAGGAATAAAAGTGAAGCTTTCAAATCTAAGAACACTGTATTAACTCCAGGCATGGTGGAGGTAGTACCATGCTCTGTTTGGCTGTCACACAGTAGACGGAACAATTAAGAAGGTGGACTATCTCACAGCATCACCTCGAATCAACAGATGGTTGAAATATGGATGCAACTGGGACGAACAGGACAATGGTCCTAATTGTCCTGTTCATCCCAGGACAATTGTTACACCTGGTAAAGCAGCAACGCTGATCATTTTATTAAAGATGAAAGAATTTAGACAGTTTTTAACTCTCATGATGCCGCAGTGATCGTTTGACACTGAGATGGAGTTTAGGACCCAGATTACTCTGCAAGGCTCCTGACTACGGTAGCTGTGATGCTCCGATAATCCATCAAGTGGGGCGGCTTCATAGCTTAGCAAAGTCGTGCTGAAACATTTTTTGACAGATTTCTGAGTGCCGTGTAGCACATAAAATTGATTTGAGGTCAGTAAGCCCAACCAGAATTCATACGTAAGGTGAGCTGGATTATAAGGCGCACTGTCGATTTTTGAGAAAATTAAAGGATTTTCTCAAAAACAAGGAAGTGTGCCTTATAGTGCGGAAAGTACAGTATGTGCCTGGAAACCAACCAATTTAAATGAATGTTACTAGTTCTGCCAAGAAGAATGGTCCATTATCCAGCTAAATGTTTTTTGTTTTTTTTTTGCCTGTCCCATTTGGTTCTTTAGCCATCAGAATTGTTGTCTGAAGACCAACAAGGATACCCAATGGATTTACTTTGCCAAATGGATCATCGTGGCATTGCCGTATTGGTCCATTTGGTCGATCTTTGCTTTTATTATTTATTATATTTTATTTTCAGATGTTACAGACGGGACAGACATGAGTGAGGGATAGGAAAGGGAGAAAGAAAGAGGAAGGAAAGGAAAAACAGAAGGGGAGAGGGACAGTGAGAAAGGGGGGAGAAAAAGAGAAGAATCTCCTGGATCACCTGTTGAGAGAAGAATAGAAAACAAGCAAAAAAAACCAAAGCAACATACTAAACACAACACCATCGCATTAATCTAGCTAAGTGTAAACAGCAGTAAATACTAAATATTCAATGTTGTTGTGCAGCACGCAGGACAGATGTGCTTCGAAGTAGCAGCCAAGAAAGGTGTAATTTGGGTCTACGAGCAGTGAACACCTGTGTGCATACCTGTGTGGATCAGCGCGCTTGTATTCCAAAGGTTTCTCCATGTAACGATCTGCTAGGGAGTGTGGGGGGGCCACAGCCCCGTCCTCCGGGGTGTGAAGCGGGTATGGAGGAGATCAAAACTCCAGGCATCCAGAGGCCCCCAGAACACAAGAGACCAAGGAAGACCCACAGAGGGGCAGCCGCGCCACTGTTCCAGTAAGAGCTGAGGAGAGTCCCAGATGAGGGCTCACTCAGCAGCCGCGGAGCAGAAGCCAGGGGAGTTGCAGTGACGCGCCCATGAGCTCCGCCGGCCCCAGCTGTGCCTGAGTGACCGAGCCCCAGGCCGAGAGGCCGGGAGCACCCCACCTCCGAAGGGGCCCAAGCGAGCCCCAGGCTCCAGGCCCCGATAAGCGGCCACCAAGGAGTGAGCCGGTGTGTACCTGGACGCCCACCCCCAGACACAAAGAACCACCAACGCACCGACACCTGAGGGAGTCCGCCACTGGCAGGGGAAGTGGTGGTGGGCGGAGATAGGCCTCCAAACCTGGGAGGGCCTGAGGTGTCCCCAGAGAGGTGGCGTCCGATACCCAACCTGACATATAGACACAGACATACGGGCACACACAGACACAAACATCCATTCCCCCCCCCCCATGCTCTCATATGCACTCACTCCACACTCAACCAACGTGGAGACAGACATAAAGAGACGCTGTACACACGATCACACTCCCCAATCGTACTCTACAAACCGGGTCTAGGTACCCTTGCCCCTGGAGGGGGGAACTGCACCCAGACCCAGGTGGTGTTACCCTTTTCCCTGCGGTGGGGAGAGGCAGACCGCCCCGACTCCGTAGCAGCAGGGAGGCCCCACACCCCAGACCGCAGTCGGACGGCCAACTCCTCCTCCTAGCCCTCCCGCTCCAGCAGGCCGCAGAGAATGGGGGTGAGAGAAGACTCCAAACCTCACTCCACCCGCTCATTGTAGTGTTGATGCATGTGTGTTCTAAGGTGCATTTAAAACCCAGGAGGGCATTTATCCAGCTAAATGTGACGTGTGTTGATGGCTGGTTAAGGTGCCAAGTGCTGAGGAGCATTTAATCAAATATTAGCAGGGGTGTATATTTGAGCCGGTCGAAGTAAAAAAGCTCGTGTGTGTGTTAGAGAAAATCTCAAATGAATTTAAACTTATGCTTCCGATATTTGTCTCATAAAGTCATTAAAGATGCAGGTTAAAGTAACCATGAAAAACTCCATGACATTCACGTCCTTGATGAGTTTATGTCAACTTTTGACCACATGTTGTGTAAATGTACATTTCTCTGAACACCAGGCTGTAAAAAGCTACTCGAGGTAAATAACTGACCAAGTTCACTGTCACAGTTCCAAGAAAGGGAAGGGCTGTACTTACTGCATTAAAGACCAATGACTTGTTATAGATACAGTGTGATTAACTTGTGGTAAATAAGGCATGAATTGTCTATTTCCCCCTGTCTTTACTTGAAGCCAAAGGTGTATTTATTATAATTATAATATCTTAAAACTATACTGACAATCACATTTAACAAGATGTTAACAATGCTGACTTTTATGACTTCAAACACTAAATTTAAATAGATTGATAGCACAGTTTACAATAAGTAAACAGCATAATGTCACAATAATAACACAACCATATCAAACAATGTGTTTCCTGTAAGATCACTTTGTGTTTCTGTGTCTTTCAGCTGGACCCAGCAGCCTACATAGACACCTGTCTTTACCTGTTTTGCAGCCTGCCAGCCAAAGAGAGGGAGGGGGCAGTGTGTGACACCCTGGCTAGCTACGCCCGAGAGTGTGCCCAACAGCACATCATCTTAATGTGGAGGACACCCACCCTGTGTGGTAAGGAAATGTCTCACGTCTCCTCTGTCCTCCCCTGCCTTCTGCTCTCAGAGTGATCTTGCGTTACATCTGATAAATGCGACGACTGGGTGTTCAGTCAGTGGATCAATTCAGTAAAATTGCTTACACAGCATTTAGCTAAAGTTTGCTAACATCATAGATATAAAAAAGGGAATGTAGCCAACATGATGTCACTCATTGGTTTGACTCACATTTTGAAGCCTCTGTTTCAGCATTCTTGGTTGTAAGGAGCCTCATGTCTCTATATTGCAGTTGAATATGGTAATGTAGTGTCATGGTATATAATTTGTGTCCAGACTTACTGACTATTCAGCTAATGCTATCTGCTTGGTTAGCCAGAAGCATCCATAAAATGCTACGACACATGCTTTGACACAGAAACCGGGATTTTAATTTAGGGTCTGTAGGTTCTAACTTTATTTTGAACTCACTAACAGTATCTATACGTAGGACTCTCTCTGAGTTCCAAAGCAGTGCTGACTCACAGCACATTATTATAAACTGTAAGCAACCATATCTTCTCTCACAGCAACCGGTCGCAGCAGATGGCCACGCCCCTCCCTGAGCCTGGGTCTGGTGCAGGTTACTTCCTGTTAAAAGGGAGTTTTTTCTTCCCACTGTCACTGCTGCATGAATAAAATTGAATTGAGTTGAATATCTCTGGCTAGGTTAGGGTTAGGGAACCTCTCTTCTTTAATAAGAATAAGAATAACTTTATTTTTCCCGAGGGAAATTCTTTTGCTCAAAGCAGCAGGAGAGTCAGAGGAACAGATGAATAAGATATAAAATATATACAATAATAATAGTAGTGTACAGTAATATACAGTAGTAGGATAGTGCAAGACATAGTATCAAATAACTCTAACGAATATATATGACTGGATCCTGGAGAGTAAATAACTTAACTATCAGTGCAGGAGATTCTAGAAAGTGACATAGTATTGTGCAATAGAATAAAGGGAGTAGCAGCGTATAATGGGGGGATGAAACACATATTCAATAAGGTACTGTTGGGTAATATCGCACGGTCTGAAAGGGAACAGAATAACATTGGTATTAGTCTCAGGAAAATCACCTACAGAGTAAGGAAGAGTTATACAGTCTTATTGCCACCAGCACAAAGGATTTCCTGTGGCGGTCAGTTCTGCATTTCAGGGCAATGAGTCTTTTGCTGCGTGTGCTCCGATGGTCCATCATGGGGGCGTGCATGGGGTGGGAGGGGTTATTCATGATAGAAACAAGCTTTCTTAGCATTCTCCTCTCAGACACCTCCTCCAGGTTCTCAAGTCTGACACCCAGGACAGAACCAGCCTTTTTAATCAGTTTGTTCAGCCTGTTGGCATCGGCTGTCTTCACCCCACTGCCCCAGCACACAGCTGCAAAGAACAAAGCGCTCTCCACCACCGAGTGATAAACATGGTCAGCATTTTCCTACCAACATTGAAGGACCTGAGTCACCTCAGTAGGAAAAGCCGACTCTGCCCTTTTTTGAAGACAGCATTGGTGTTCTTGGTCCAGTCCAGTTTACAGTCCAAGTGTACCCCCAGGTACCGGTAGACCTCAACGATCTCCACATCAGCCCCTCTGATGGTGAAAGGGTTAGGAGGAGTAGCCTGCTTCCTAAAGTCCATAATCAGTTCTTTTGTCTTTGTGATGTTAAGTTGTAGGTGGTTAAGCTCACACCACTCGAGAAAGCTGTCCACCACACTCCTGTACTCCTCCTCCTGTCCATCCCTGATACAGCCCACAATGAGCGGCAGCTCTTCAGTCGGACATGCTGTGGTCGACTTGTTAAATAGTCCATAATCCAAGCTACCAGTGGGGCGTCCACCTGCATTTCTGTGAGCTTATTCCCCAGCAGTGATGGTCTGATCATGTTAAAAGCACTGGAGAAGTCAAAGAACATGACCGTCCCAGTGCTCCCAACAATGTCCAGATGAGAATAAGCCTGGTCCAGCAGGTAGATGATGGCATCCTCCACACCGATACGAGGTTGATAATCAAACTGCAGGGGGTCCAGCCAGGGCTCCACGAGCAGACGCATCAGGATGAGTCTCTCTAGCGTCTTCATGACATGTGAGGTCAGAGCCACTGGCCTGTAGTCACCGAGGGTCGACGGGTTGATCTTTTTAGGGACAGGAACCAGGTAGGACTTCTTCCAGAGTGATGGGACTCTCTGCATTTCCAGACTCATGTTGAAGATGCGTTGTAGAACTCCAGACAGCTGGGAAGCACAGCACCTGAGGGCCCTGGGACTGACACCGTCAGGGCCAGCAGCTTTGCTGGAGTGGAGTCTGCCCAATTCTCTTTTGATGTCATCTGCTGAGAGGGACAGGGTGAGACGGTCTGAGGGGGCAGGAGAGGGGGGAGGAGAAAGGAGAAGATGGGAAGAGCTGGGTGTGGAGACAGGAGCCGCAGGGCAGTCAAACCTATTGAAGTGCAGATTTAGGTTGTTTGCACTTTCGACGTCTCCATCCATCCCAACACCTCTCTTTTGTCTCAGGCCAGTGATGGCCCCCATTCCATTCCACACCTCCCTGGTGCTATTGTCCTGCAGTTTGCTTTCCAGCCTCCTTCTGTAGGACTCTTTACCCTCTGCAATCTTGGCTTTCAGCTCCTTCTGCACCAGTTTCAGCTGATCTCTGTCACTGTTTCTGAAAGCTCTTTTCTTCTTGTTCAGGGTTTCTTTGATGTCTTTGGTAACCCAGGGCTTATTGTTGGAGAAGCACAAAATGTTTTTTTGGGATCCACAGTGTCCACACAGAAGTTGATATAATCTGTAACACAGCCTGTCAGATTGTCAATATTGTCCTGATGAGAATCACGCTATAATAATGCTGCTTTCTCTCTTTTATCTGTCCTTTCAGACCGTGTCTGTCCCAGAGGTCAGGTGTTTTCAGACTGCATATCATCCTGTCCTCCCAGTTGTACTTCTCCACAGCCCCCCGCAGCCATGGGCCAGTGCAGGGACGAGTGTGTTGGAGGATGCGAGTGCCCTCCAGGCCTCTATTTTCACCAGGGAAGGTGTCTGAAAAGAGATGATTGTCCTTGCTTTCATCGCAGACGCACATACCAGTCAGGGGACAAAATACAACAGAGATGCAACACCTGGTGAGGAGGGAGTCTTTTCCTGTCAACTCTTCATCGTTTACCCATTTTCCCCATTTATGTGCAACTTTTTTTGCCTTTACCTTGACAGTGTGTGTAGCTCGGGTCAGTGGCAGTGTACTGGGGAGAAGTGTGCGGCAGAGTGCGCCCTGATGGGCGGTTTACAGGTGACCACTTTTGACAAAAAGAGGTACTCACTGCAGGGAAGCGACTGCTCCTTCCTTGCTGTGGAGGTGAGCCATGTGTAGAGAAATGCAATCAAACACATTTGCTTACACTATGAGGCAGATTTGTGCATTGTTACTTTGTTCTTATTCTCTGTGTGTTTTCAGGACTTTGTTGACAGGAAGGTAGTTGTGAGTGTACGCTGTGGAGAATGTACGGCAGGGGGAGGGGAAGGAGGAGGGGGGTGTCTAAAGGAGATGTCAGTAACAGCTCTCCGGACCACAGTCACCATCACAGACACCGGTATGGTATGAAGGTTTGCTTGATAGATCACAGGAAATCAAATCTAGATGTGTCTAGTAGTTTGTTTCTCTTACTGTTCTCTTTAGGCTCACAACACAGCTTTACCCAGCAATTAATGCTGCTTTAGACCATCGACTGTATACAAAAACAACACCAAAATCACAAACAAGCTTGTGTCCAGTTTGATAACTTTAACTATATACCCATCGATGTCTAGGGATGGGTATCGTTTAGGTTTTATCCAAAACCGGTGCCAAAACGGTACTTTTGAAATGGTGCCGGTGCTTAAACGGTGCTCGAACCGGTGCTTAAAGAATGGAGAACACCAACTTTGTCCAAAAACCTCTCATGTTCATCTGTTTTTTTGTAAAAAGATATCAATGTTAGCCTTTTTTGCAGCTATGGGGCATATATGGTATCACTCTTGGCTGGAAGCAGTGCTTAAACAATGGAAAAAACACAAACTTTGTCCAAAAACCTCTCATGTTTAGCTGTTTTCCACTTTTTCTTTGGCCATTTTAGCCTTTTTAGCCAGGGTGAAGGGAGTATCTGCCATCAAACAAGAAGACAGCCGCATGTAGCTATGATGATGTTTGCTAGTTCACCTTACATGCATTAATGTAATAACGTGGTTAGCCTACTCAACGTAAATTACACACGAACAACATTAAGCTTCTCACGCAGAGAAGAACGGCTGCTGCTGCATCATCATCCTCATCATTTCTGCTACACTGGCAGGGCTAGGGGCCAGGACTCTCCTCTTCGGGTTTTTGGGGGATGTTGCTAACTCCGGCTACGATAACAGGCACCACACCCGCAGTAGATGTGCTCGGTCTTTGATAGCAAGCTATCAAATACAGTGCATTTCTCTGCTTTTAAAAAAAAGGTGTTTCATCAGATTCGAGATGTTACCTCCTTTGTAGTGATGCGCGAATCATGAACGAATCGTTCAATAAGAATCACTTTAATGACTCACAAGCCCAACTAACTCACTGACTCATCCCTGTTGCTGTTAGCAAACTAATTTCATTAGTAGAAATATATCTAGCTTATAATTAAAACTGTGTGAAAAAAAACAACAGCCAGTTTCTTAACGAAAACATTTCTGCACTGAACTGGAAGAAAAAACCCTGAGTAGAAGCTCACATCAAGACAATAGCTCCTCGGTTCACAGTAGCATCGCTCTGCTAACATGCTAACAGCACATTTGAGCTGCTCACCCCCTCCCTTCCTGTGCTGAATCGTAGCCTAAGCGAATCACTCAAGGAATCACTCACCCCCTCCCTCCTGGCTCAAAGCTTCTTCTTCTTCATAGCTCTGCTCTAAAAGAACGTACGTACCTGGGCCCGCCTACTATCCTTAGGAAAGGTAAAATGATTGGCTAGAATCCAAAGTGTATCACATCTCAGGACAAAAAAGCACCAAAATAAAGCACCAAAATGTGCGCTGCTTTTCGGTCTGGTTACTACCGTTTATGTCAGAACCGGTGCCATTATCAATAAGTCAGTTATTTACAAAAAATAATAACATAGTTTTATGTAGTTGTTGCAAACGCATTCACCTGGGGCAAAGGTGCAAGATTGTGGCTATTTGAGGAACTGCAGTTTTTGGTTCTTTTGCAAGGACTTCTTTTTACAACCTTGCAGGCTGCAGCTTGCGTCATAGTGCAGCATTTTTGTGCAATCAAAGCACAAACAGGTTTTTATAGTAGACACTGTAGAGCGTCTTGGACTTTTAGATTGAATGTGCTGATTGCATTCTGATTGGTTACAGCTGATATTGTTACCTTCAGGTTCAGTGACACTGAATGGCCAGAAGGAAGCGGTGCCCTTGGTAACAGGGGATCTAGCTGTGCTTAAGGCCTCCTCCTCATTTCTGCTCATCCAGATGTTTGGAGCCCAGATTCTGTGGTACCTAGATGGACCCTTGGCGTTCATCACCTTGCAGCCTGGCTTTGGAAACAAGGTGATCTTCAAACTACTCCTAGTGCTTTCAATATACTGTCCAACTGTAACATGGTTCAGAGGTCCAGTTTAGTGACCCAAGGTAGCTTCTGCAGATTAGCAAATTAGCTGTACAGATGTCACCCTCAAGTTATAACATCATTTAAGTGGGTGTTATATAGAAATGCCCCAACCATAATGTTGTCACAGAGCCAACCTGCGATCTGCAAAGAAATAAGACACGTTCTATTATGTGGAATCTCAAAGAGAAGCGCGCTAGGGCCAGGTGGTAGGCACTAAACTGTAAAATTACCATAAAACACAATGTTCAAGCAATTCCATAACATGGGATCAATCCTTCTCTGTTGGACATGGGTATATATGACAAGGTGCACGGCCTGTGTGGAACACTGACCTGGAACCAGCGTGACGACTTTACCACCCCAGAAGGAGATGTGGAGAACAGCGTGACATCCTTTGTGGCGAAATTCACAACAGCGCTCTGCACCCTGCCTGGAGGAGCTGCACCAGAGGCCTGCTCCACGTACACCCAGAGGCGGCAGTATGCAGAGACTGTGTGTGCTGTCCTCCACAGCCCCATCTTTCAGGTCAGTGTGATGGGTACTTCTGGTCATCTCTCACGAGTTTGTTGCCTTCGCTTTTGTTCACACTTGCACCTCCATCTCTGATTCTACAGTTGTGTCACGACGTGGTGGAGAGGGAGCCATATTTCCGTCTCTGTCTGTCAGAGGTTTGCAGCTGTGTGCCGCAGGGATCCTGTCACTGCACCGTCCTCACTGCCTATGCCCGACACTGTGCTCAGGAAGGTGTTGTGGTCCAGTGGCGCAACCGCACCTTCTGCAGTAAGCTGGAGGACCGTTGTTTGTGTTGTTTTGAGGCTTTGAGGGAAAAGTTATTACTATTTAGAGACCAAAAGAATGTTTTTTCTGATACAGTGTGCTAAAACCAATGCTCTGCTACGCTATCTCTTCCTTTCTCCCCAGCAATGCAGTGTTCAGGGGGTCAGGTGTACCAGGAGTGCGGTCGCACTTGTGGGAACTCATGCTCAGATTTGAGACACAGCTGGAGCTGTGATGACAGTCGCAGTCAAAGCTTGTGTGTTCCAGGCTGCCAGTGCCCACCAGGGCTTGTGCAGGACCAGCAGGGTCAGTGTGTTCCCATCTCTTTGTGCCCATGCATGCAAGGAGCAGTGATGTATTCACCTGGGGCCATGGTTCAAAATAGCTGCAACACCTGGTATGTAGTCAAGGAGTTTGTCTCACCTTTCTGCCGCTACACACTTTGATCATGAAATACGTTTAGATTGAGAATTTTTAAATCTTTTATGAAATATTAAATCCACGGTACAGATGCAGATGTACACAAAAAAACACTTCGTAAATGCATCAGAGCTCAGTGGGGAAAAAAATCATACTGGATATCAATACTGGTATGGACTGGTCAGGAACCAGAGGACGAAACATCATTTAATGGAAATGAAGACTACCAACCTGCAGATGGCTAAATTCAAAGACACCCAAAATTCAAAGTGAATAAAAGATGCAGTGGTACTCAGTAGTTTGTATTGCCCCCATTGTGGTGGATGGTGTCCGGGGGATCTCCTCCCTGATCAGGAGCAGGGCATCACTGAGCTGCTGGACATTCTGAGGTACACTGAGGTCAAACACAATGTCCCACAGATGTTCTGTTGCATTTAGGTCAAGTGAGGTCAGGGCCAGTCAGTGGTGTAAATTCCTTTATCCTCCAGGAACAGCCTGCATACTCTCACCATATGAGGCCGGGCATTGCCGTGCAGCAGGAGACACCCAGGACTGCCTGCACCAGCGCAGGGTCTGACAGTGGTTCCAAGAAGCTCATCCTGATACTTAAACGCTGCCTAGCCTGTAGAGGTCTGCATGTGTTCCCCAAACCATCACTGACCCACCACCAATCTGTTCATGCTGAATGATGTTACAGGCAGCTCTCCACAGATTCTCCAGGCTCTTTCACATCTGTCACATGTGCTCAGGGTGAACCTGCTCTGAAAAGCACAGAGCACCAGTGGTAGCCCTGTCATTCCTGCTAGTTGGCAACTGACAATGCCAAATATCAAACTGGGCCCCACGATAGCTACGATAGGCTCCAGCACCCCCCGTGACCCAGAGAAGGATAAGCGGAAGCGAATGGATGGATGGATCATCCCGAGGGAAATTGGGTTAAGGCTGCCAGCCTTGCCAGTGCCATCTTACCCTTCCGACCATACAGAAAGACAGGTCAGAGAGGTATAACAATGGAAAATGCACAACATGAGGAAAGACCCCCCCAGACTGAGCTCCAAAAGGGAGATCAGTTTGAGAACAGAAAAAAACACCTCAGCACATAAATCATCAGATCTCACAACATAGAAGACATGAGCTTCGAAGGCGTTTGGAGGGGCTGGGGGGTGAGTGTAGGTCTGTGTCAGTGCACGTGTGTGACTGTGTGTGTTCCATGTTCAACTGAGAGAAAGTTTCCATTCACCCGGTTAAGCAAAAGTCAACAATTTTCGATCGATGCGGGCGGCCTTGAATGAGGGGAAAGAGTCACAACACAGTTTTGTTATCTAAGGGAGAATTTTTGTTGAAAAGCAATTTGTGTTGAATCTCCTCCAAGTTCTTGAGAGTGTGCTGGGAGACACAGCAATGACACATATTGATGTACCACCCTGGTTGAGTTGGACTACCTGTCCTCCACCATAAAAGCCTCCTGTTTGGGGAATCTCATTGTTGCTTCTCTAATGCAGTTAATTTCATTATAACCCCAAAACTGATCAACAGCCCCTCTGCTACTTAACTGACCACATCAGTATCCCCTGATGTCCTCGGATTAATCTGGTATACTACACTTCTGAAGAAAGCAGAAATTAATGAAGTTACTTAGGTGTCATTTTTCTTTGACCTCATATAGATGATTGCTTTTCTGATTGTTGTTTTTTAACAGTACATTGTAAAAGCAGCCCTTTCTCTTTTATGGCTATCTGAGTGCAGCTTTTATCATTCGCCACCGGTCATAAAGACTCAGTTGAAGTAAGCATGTTTCATCATCATCGCCTGCAGAGCTACAGTATCATACTGACCCGGTTTCATGAACAAAGTCCCGTTTTATGAGTGCGGTAGGCGAGGACGCATTGTTACAGATTTGTGCCTGTTCATCAGTGAGGACAGGTCCGTCTCTTTGGAAACTCCTGACGTTGTGAGCCTGGCTGTAATAACTGGGGTAATTTGAATTTAGCTGTACCCTTGTGAATATCTGCACAAGTTAGCATTAGCCCAACTTTTATGTCGTATACATGGTTTGCAAAAGTATTGGGCCCCCTTGAACTTTCCCACATTTTGTCACATTACAGCCACAAACATGAATCAGTTTTATTGGAATTCCAGGTGAAAGACCAACACAAAGTGGTGTACACGTGAGAAGTGGAACGAAAATCATACATGACTCCAAACATGTTTTACAAATAAATAACTGCAAAGTGGGGTGTGCGTAATTATTCAGCCCCCTGAGTCAATACTTTGTAGAACCAGCTTTTGCTGCAGTTCCAGCTGCCAGTCTTTTAGGGTCTGTCTCTACCAGCTTTGCACATCTACAGACTGAAATCTTTGCCCATTCTTCTTTGCAGAACAGCTCCAGCTCAGTCAGATCAGATGCACAGCGTTTGTGAACAGCAGTTTTCAGATCTTGTCACAGATTCTTGATTGGATTCAGATCTGGACTTTGACTGGGCCGTTCTAACACATGGATATGTTTTGTTTTAAACCATCCCATTGGTGCCCTGGCTTTATGTTTAGGGTCGCTGTCCTGCTGGAAGGTGAAGCTCCGCCCCAGTCTCAAGTCTTTTGCAGACTCCAAGAGGTTTTCTTCCAAGACTGCCCTGTATTTGGCTCCATCCATCTTCCCATCAACTCTGACCAGCTTCCCTGTCCCTGCTGAAGAGAAGCACCCCCAGAGCGTGATGCTGCCACCACCATATCTGACAGTGGGGATGGTGTGTTCAGAGTGATGTGCAGTGTTAGTTTTCCACCACACATAGTGTTTTGCATTTTGGCCAAAAAGTTCCATTTTGGTCTCATCTGACCAGAGCAGCTTCTTCCACATGTTTGCTGTGTCCCCCACATGGCTTGTGGCAAACTGCAAACGGGACTTCTTATGGTTTTCTGTTAACAATGGCGTTCTTCTTGCCACTCTTCCATAAAGGCCAACTTTGTGCAGTGCACGACTAATAATTGTCCTATGGACAGATTCCCCCACCTGAGCTGTAGATCTCTGCAGCTCGTCCAGAGTCACCATGGGCCTCTCGGCTGCATTTCTGATCAGCGCTCTCCTTGTTCGGCCTGTGAGTTTAGGTGGACGGCCTTGTCTTGGTAGCTTTACAGTTGTGCCATACTCCTTCCATTTCTGAATGATTGCTTGAACAGTGCTCCGTGGGATGTTCAAGGCTTGGGAAATCTTTGTGTAGCCTCAGCCTGCTTTAAATTTCTCAATAACTTTATCCCTGACCTGTCTGCTGTGTTCTTTGGACTTCATGGTGTTGTTGCTCCCAATATTCTCTTAGACAACCTCTGAGGCCGTCACAGAGCAGCTGTATTTGTACTGACATTAGGTTACACACAGGTGCACCGTTTAGTCATTAGCACTCATCAGGCAACGTCTATGGGCAACTGACTGCACTCAGACCAAAGGGGCTGAATAATTACGCACACCCACTTTGCAGTTATTTATTTGTAAAAAATGTTTGGAGTCATGTATGATTTTCGTTCCACTTCTTACGTGTGCACCACTTTGTGTTGGTCTTTCACCTGGAATTCCAATAAAACTGATTCATGTTTGTGGCTGTAATGTGACAAAATGTGGGAAAGTTCAAGGGGGCCCAATACTTTTGCAAGACACTGTATTTAAATGACTGCAACTGCAAACTATAGATGCACATAAGAGCGTGATGCCTACTTGGTGGTGCAAGAGCTCTGATGAAATCACTCTATGTTCCTGCTTGCTGATACAGGATAGGTTGATTTCATTGCATTTCTTTACCATGTAACGGCAGTGTGCATTACTCTGTGGGTTTAAGTAACTTACCGACGGCTCAGATTAGTTTCTCTCTGATTTCTAATATACTGGGACATGTTGGTCTGTACAGAGTCCGTTTTGTACGTGACTTGTTTCCTTTGAGCTGGTGATATCAGTCTGACCTGAGTAATTGCTATGAGGAAACAGGGAAATTCTGGTTAATCATTAAGCAGATATCGTAAATGACATACAGTATATCAGGGCACGTTAAATGAAAAACACTGGCTGTTGATTCAAGTGAATCATTAAGTGATTCTTGTCACGCCTCAGCTGCTGTTAAAGGAGAATAAAAATGTATGGATGATAGTTTAGTGTCATCACTATGAAGTCTGCTTTATAGTGTATTCACTGTTTCACCTGCTAAACCAAACTTGTTAATAACAACGTTTCAGTAATAATCTTTAATAGACCTATAATGTCTTGGTAATACCATTCAGTAGATGTTCATACCAACTCCACTCCCTCGTCTCTTCCCTCCATAGTGTGTGTGAGCAGGGATTGTTTAACTGCACTCAAGAGCTCTGTGAGGAGGTGAACCAGTGCCCCGGCACTCTGGTCTACTCCCCACGCTCCTGCCTCCTCACCTGCTCGAGCCTGGACCCTCCTGGCCAACAGCAGGGCTCAAGCGTCATGCAGTCAAGCTGCAGAGAGCCCCTGTCTGGCTGTGTGTGTCCACAGGGGACTGTCTTACTAGTGAGTGAAAACCTTTTTTGTGCAGGTTTATGCAGATGTTGCTGTAGGTTTATGATCACATTCATTTCTGTTCCAGTCATATCCTCCTGAGGCCCTGCCTATTAATGCATGTCCTCTGTAGTGGACACACTACTTTTTATTCAACATCTGTAGGGTGCTATCATGGCTTATTTCAAACAGCTGGTGAACAGAGGAGCTTCACTAAGGGCCAATATTAGATAGATAAGGATTATTTTCAACGTCAATCGTGCAAAAAATCATGAATCCCTTAATGTCAGCTCCAAATTAAATTCCATGGTGTTTTGTGAGTTTAGAGACAAACAACACAACGAGAGCTGTAGTCTTTGATCATGACCGACATTTTCGTACTTTACATCTTCTTTTCCTTCAGGGCGACCGCTGTGTTCTGCCAGATGAATGTCCATGTCACCACAATGGTCGACTTTATTACAGCAATGACACCATCACTAAGGACTGCAACACATGGTAATGTATGAGCTGAGTGCATCAAAATTCTTTAAGATATATTAATTATAAACGTATTCTTTTTACAACGGTATCATTTTTCCCTGCAGTGTGTGCAATGAGCGTCGCTGGCACTGTGGCCGCTCTGCCTGTGCTGGTGTATGTGTGGCAACGGGGGACCCACACTATGTGACGTTCGACGGTCGTTGCTACTCTTTCCTGGGTGACTGCCAGTACGTGTTAGCCAGGGAGACCAGCGGCTTATTCAGCGTCACGGCGGAGAACGTGCCGTGTGGAAGCACGGGAGTCACCTGCACAAAATCAGTCACCCTCAGTCTGGGAAACACGGTCATACATCTTCTAAGAGGTAGAGGGCTCAATGGTGCTGCTAAATGAGAGTTTATATCCAGCAAACATGGCCCCTTGGAACCCATGTGAGAGCAGAATACTGCTTTAGAAAAAGCCCCCTATTCACAAGAGGTCACCACATAGTTGATATGTCAGATTTTTACACCACATACCCAACTACTACACTCAAACTAGAGACCTTCTGATTCATACTCAAACATGTAAATCATTGCACGGGTAAGCTACTTGCCCTCAAAGGCAAAACCCCGAACGTCCCATCAAACAAGTTCGTCTGTGATCTTGAGTTTAACTTAACTTTTACTGAAGTTTTGAATCACTTGTGTGTTCTTAGGTGCTGTTTTTATCAGACATGACTCACAAATGTGTCCTATTTCTATTTTGGCAAAGTGATTGTACTATGTGAGGAAAGTGAGGGTCTAATTGCTAAACTGTCTGTGACATTAGGTAATGCTGTGACAGTAAATGGGATGCCAGTTAGCCTACCAAAGTCTTACAGTGGCAGTGGCCTAACTTTGGAAAAAGTTGGCCTGTTTGTGTCCCTCTCGTCACGTCTTGGAGTCACTTTGCTGTGGGATGGAGGTAAGACGCACACATATAAACTAAATATAAAAGATCCTTTGCAGAAAATACACAGAAAAACATTGAAATACTTAAAGTGACACGCATTTGCTCCTTTAAAGTAGGGATTTAAGTTCATCCCTACTGGCCGTTAGAGCGATTGCAGCCTGTCAAAATGATCAGTATTTACAACAACATTAGTATATGTAGTTGCCATAGTGTCTGTGCCTTGCTTAAAAACTCTGTCCCATAATTTCTGCTTGCAACTTGCATTTCTTCTTCCAGGTATGCGTGTGTATGTGCGTTTGGCGGCCCATCTTCGTGGTCGGGTCGGGGGCCTGTGTGGTAACTTTGATGGGGACACAGAGAACGACTTCACAACACGGCAGGGAATTGTGGAATCGACAGCCGAGCTGTTTGGAAACTCTTGGAAGGTCAGCCCATCCTGCCCTGACGTGGCAGACCAGGACCTCCGGGACCCCTGCGCTGTAAGTTCACATTCACACACACACAGAGGGATTTTTGGTTTTAGTCTGCGTTACACTAAGTTCTGACACTGTCTTCTTCAGCTGAACCCCCACAGAGTGACATGGGCCAGGAAAAAATGTGCTGTGCTGACTCAGGGACTCTTCTCAAGGTGCCACCCTGAGGTGCCCTTTCAGCAGTATTATGACTGGTGTGTCTTTGATGCTTGTGGGTGAGTGGCAGCGCTAATCTATGCAAGACATATTAAACCTAGAAAAATATATACCGTATTTTTTGGACCATAAGGCGCACAGGATTATACGGAGCATTAAGTGAAACAAAACAGTCAGATAAGTCCAACTTTACTTAACTCATTCTTCTTGCTTCCTCCACTTTCCTACCATTGATTCATCCATCCATCCATCCATTCGCTTCCGCTTATCCTTTTTCAGGGTCGCGGGGGGCGCTGGAGCCTATCCCAGCTGTCATAGGGCGAGAGGCGGGGTACACCCTGGACAGGTCGCCAGTCTGTCGCAGGGCCAACATACAGGGACAGACAACCATTCGCACTCACTTTCATTCGCACATTCACACCTAGTGACAATTTGGGTTATCCAATTAACCTATCCCCACTAAGTGCATGTCTTTGGACGGTGGGAGGAAGCCGGAGTACCCGGAGGGAACCCACGCAAACACGGGGAGAACATGCAAACTCCACACAGAAAGACCCCGGCCTGATGGTGGAATTGAACTCAGGACCTTCTTGCTGTGCGGCAACAGTGCTAACCACCGTGCCACCGTGCTGCCATTGATTCATTAATGTTGAATTCTCTGCAGCTGCTCTGTTTCCACGTTGTTGCAGTACATTAATGACTAACCTTGTATTGTGGATGGATTATCTCAGTTGTTCTCCTGACTGACGTTTGGTCCTTTTACAGCATCCTGCCTTGGGATTGCATTTGTCCCTAACCATCGGGAACCCTCACGTTAACTTTTATCGAGTGGAAAAATGTTAGCCTTCATCCTCCAGCTTCACTGTGTTTATGTTATGCTAACATAGCCGTGTTGCTAGCAATCACGTAGCACATCATTATATACCAGCTAGCCCAACTTCAGTAACCCTACAAACGTCACTGCTGTTTAGTTTTCTGTCTTCATTTATGCTGGAAGTGATAGCAGAGCTGTACGTTTGAATGTTTTCAGAAATCTCAGTCAGAACATGCTATATCATGCTTAGGTGGAAACTAGTGAGCTAACCTCCTGCTAACTTCTAACTCTGTTAAATGTAATAAATCCTGTTTTCATGGATGCCTGGATGTTAAACTTAATTGTTACACCTGGTAAAGCAGCAACACTGATCATTTTATTAAAGATGAAAGAATTTAGACAGTTTGTAACTCTCAGTGATGCTGCAGTGATTGTTTGACTTTGGGACCTGAAGCCGACGGAGTTTAGGACCCAGATTACTCCGTGAGGCTCCTGACTGTGGCAGCCGTAATGCTCCAACCATCCATCAAGCGGTGCGGCTTCATAGCTACCAAAGTCATACTAAAACATTTTTTGACAAATTTTTGAGCGCCGTGAGGCACATAAAATCGGTTCGAGGTCAGTAAGCACAGCCAGAATTCATGCATCAGTATTATAAGGCGCACTGCAGATTTTTGAGAAAATTAAAGGATTTTAAGTGTGCCTTATAGTGCGGAAAATACAGTTGTATCTAGCATATTTATAATGCTGCAAAGTTAGTGGGTTAATCTATTTTGCACTTTATCATCAGCTTTATCTGCTGTCTGAAGTATCTAGTTTCACTTTACAGATTTGTTTGAGTAAAACGGTCCGTACCCTTTTGCAGTTTAGCAAACAATCCCTGTTTTTATGAGCATAAACTGAAATCTGATTAAACTGAGGCAAGAACAATGACTGTTTATGATATCAATTATCATTTGGTGAAAGAAAATTTTACTTGACCAAGAAAAATGCAATCTTCAGTCACTGGGTTTTAATTTAAAAAAAAACTGTCCGCTGTTACAAAAATGATTACAGGACTGCCACCAGCGAAGCATGCTGCTTATACAGCAGTTAGTAAGGAAAAATGTAACCAAGTCATTCTAAAACTGTGTATTTGGAGTAACAGTTTAAAGGTAGCTTTGTTGTTTGTCACGTGTTTTAGCTGTGACTCAGGTGGAGACTGTGAGTGTCTCTGTACAGCCATCGCTACCTACGCCGAAGAGTGTAACCGGCGAGGGGTCTACATCCACTGGCGGTCCCAGGAGCTCTGTCGTACGTTGCCATCCTGCACACACGCCCATACCTGAGCTAATGTCCGGGGCACACTTTCTCTAACTTTAACTTCATCTTCCTGTAGCTCTGCAGTGTGACAACGGGCTGGTTTATGATCCCTGTGGTCCAGCTTGCTCGCGTTCATGTCCAACCATTCAGCAAAGTCCACATTCCAGCTCCGATGCTGTTTCCTGTGTGGAGGGCTGCTTCTGTCCTGCAGGCACTGTCCGACATGGTGAGACAGACTCTGCTCTGTCCATAGCTGTGATGTATAAAACTGAACATTACAGTTGACTCTGTATTGGTATTTTAATGTGACAAAGCAGAACTTGAAGCCACATGTCAGAAGAATGAGAGGAATGGGTGCTGAACGCCTAATACAACATGCATATGTGTGGGAAGTTAAACTAGGGCGATTTGCTTCTTTAGTTTAGAACTTACAGCCTTATACTACATGCAGAACAAAAACAAACTAGAAACTGAGTGATGTGCACATTCACACACACTGCACAGCAGCAGTAACTTCACTGACGTGCCAGTTTTCAGGACTGGTGCAGGAAGAGGACCCAAACGTGGGGCTCTGAGACAAACAGGAGACACAAAGGCTGAAGGCAAATGTTAAAAATCCAAAATATTCTCCTTCAGGGCAAAAACACAGGAAACAGAAGGTGAGCAAAGCATAAGAATGACAAGCAGTATAAACAGGCTAGAGGCAAGCACAGACAGGAACACAGGTATAGAAAACAGACACTCCAACAAACACTGAGGTTTGAAATAGGACAGGTCACCAGAGAAAGAGAGACACGTGGGAATCAGCTGAAACTAATTCAGGTAACAACACATGAAAGTAAAACTAAGACTAAAAGGTGCAAGACACAAATGACTGTCAAAATAAAACAGGAAGTAAGTAATCTCGTTAAAATAATGTTAAGCCCTAACTGCATTAACGCGGCGAATCTTGGTAAGCGAGTTAACGCGGATCGCCCCGTGCGTGGGGCTGCACGGCGTCAACGCGTTAGCGTGGTTAGCTCGTTAGCGCTGTGCTGCGTTAATGCGGTTATAGCGTTAACGTCATTGTAACGAGATTAATGCTGACAGCACTAGAAGTAACCTAAACAGGTAAAGCAGAGACAAAGACTCGACGAGATTAAAGAAACATGAGGGAGGCGGAAAAGTATAAGATACCAAAAGACTCACAGCAGGAAGGAGTTTATAATCACTTAGTAACTACTTACAACATCACAAGTGAATAAACTGACAACCAATAAGCAAAACCAATAACTACGGAATCAAAATACTAAATAAATACAGAATGTAAATAATCAAATGGGAACGTAGTAGCGAATACTTAATAAGGATTTATTCAAAACGCAGGACTACAACACCAAGCAGTCAGGAGGTGCTAGAAAATGCAGTGGCTTCTTTTTCTGCACAGCCAATGGGATTACTTACATATTCCAGGTTTATCATCACTGCTGAAATATTAATGCCGTGATCTGACTTGTTTCAGTGTCATGCTGACAGAAACACGTGTAAAAACTGCTCTTACACTGAGTACTATTTTTGCTTCTTCACCAAACCAGAGTATTTGAAACCAGCTGCGTCGCACCACTAAAATTAAGTAGCTGCAACTGTTTTGGATGTCTTTTTTCAGTCTAACCCACAACGACCCACTGCCGTCGTTACGTTCTTTGTCTGTATGCTTTTTATGAAACAGGCGACAGCTGTGTAGCTCCCAGCCAGTGTCCGTGTGAGTGGGATGGCTCCTTGTTTCCAGCTGGAGCTGCTGTCACTCAACACTGCCAGAACTGGTCAGTCTTTCTGAACATTTATAAATGTGTATTCTTTGTTTTTGTCTGTCCATAAAAACCTTTTGCCTTTGTGTGTTCAGCTCCTGTGAGGAGGGTGTTTGGAAGTGTGATGGTGTGGCTTGCCCTCCTCCCTCCCCTCCCTGTCTGGAGTCAGAGTTTACCTGTGCTGGGGGACGCTGCATCCCCACCCAGTGGGTGTGTGACAATGAAGACGACTGTGGTGACGGTTCAGATGAGATCTGTCCATCCACCTGCTCCCCGGACCATTTCCACTGTACCAGCACACCGAGGCGAGTCCAAATTAACTTTATTAAAAGGATTAATTTCCTGTGCGTTGCAGTATGAAGGCTCAAACATGTCTGTTGTTGTGTAAAGTTTTACCAGAGCTTGAACCCCTTTAGCCTCCAGTTCTCCATGTGCCAGGCAGAAGACATTTATTTTTGTTTTCATGATTTATTCATTTTGAATGCTAACTGCTGTGGGGTAGCTTACACCCTCTAAATAACAACATTTTACATACATATGACCAAACTGCACTGCTGACTGTTCTCCAATTTACTCCAGGAGCACATTTTTATCTTACTGTGAGACACACTCTCAGACACTTCATCCAATCACACTGAGCAAAGCCGTTTATGCTAGCAGTAGCTGATTTGTATGTCATCACACTGCGCTAACATGTCCTGGTCAGGTTTATGTTATGTTGAAAGAATCAGTCTTTCTTTGCCACAAAATCACTGGAGAGAATTAAGTAAATGAACCCCAACCCTGCAGTGGACCATGTTTGAACCTGGCTCTGCGTTGTGATGGCCACCCAGACTGTGCTGACCAATCAGATGAGGACTTCTGTGGACCTGCCACCCCTGTGCCCCTATGCCCACCTGGGGAATTTCAGTGTGCAAATGGAAAGTGTCTGCCAGCCAGCCGTGTTTGCGATGGATGGCTGGACTGTGGCTTTGCTGATGGATCTGATGAGCAAGGTAAACTATCAAAAAACCTTTTCTTCAAGGAATGAGCTCTATCAGAAACTTGCCTCAGCAGCATACTGTAAAAATGAATTTCCATGAAGTCTTCGTGAAGCACTGTGTCCTGTTCGCAAATTTCTTTGTACATTTAATGACAGCAATAACTGTGAATTGTGATGAACTTTACTTTTCTCGGCCCAGACTGTGGTGTGGTTTGTGATGAAGGGGAGTTCCTGTGTGCGGGGGGACGATGTATTCTGTACCTCCATCGATGCGATGGCCACGATGACTGTGGGGACCTCAGTGATGAGAGAGGGTGTGTATTATGAAGTTTGATGCTCTGCACTGGTCTAGTTGTTTTAGTCTGTTTTACAAAGACCATATAAGATGGTTAGTAGAAGATTTTGTTTTCTTTTTGTGTTTACTACGACCATTCATCTGCACGAACATTTCACATGACTGTCTTTGTAGCTGTGTGTGCGCACCAGGAGAGTTTCAGTGTCGAGGAGACCAGTGCGTTCCCGCCGACAGAGTGTGTGATGGAACCAAAGACTGTCCCTCTGGAAGCGATGAGGCTGTTTGTCCAAGTAAAGGTACAAAAAACCCCAGAGTAATATAATAACCATCGATCCATCCATCTATCCATGCATACATTCATCCATCCATCTGGCCATTCATCCATCCATCTATCCATGCATCAATTCATCCATCCACCTGGCCATTCATCCATCCATCCATCCATCCATTCATCCATTCATTCATCCATCCATCCATTCATCCATCCATCTGGCCATTCATCCATCCATCTATCCATGCATCAATTCATCCATCCATCTGGCCATCCATCCATCCATCCATCCATCCATCCATCCATGCATCCATCCATTCATCCATTCATCCATTCATCCATCCATCCATCCATCCATTCATCGTCCCTCCATCCATCCACCCATCCATCCATCCATTCATCCATCCATTCCTCCATCCACCCATCCATTCATTCATCCATCCATCCATCCATCCATCCATCCATCCATCCATCCATCCATCTATCCATCCATCCATCCATCCATCCATCCATCCATCCATCCATCCATTCATTCATCCATCCATCCATCCATCCATCCATCCATCCATCCATCCATTCATTCATTCATTCATCTATCCATCCATTCATTCATCCATCCATCCATCCATCCATCCATCCATCCATCCATTCTCTTCCTCTTATCCTTGCAGGGTTGTGGGGGAGTCTATCCCAGCTGTCTTAGCCCCACTAACTAATATAATAACTACTAACAGTTAAATACATTTTCTCATACACACTCCCGATTACACAGTTTAAGCAGTTCTGTGTTTGTGGCAGTGACCTGTGCTCCGGACCAGTTTGCCTGTGGTGATGGTACATGTGTTGCCATCACTAAGCTGTGTGATGGAGCTACTGACTGTTCAGGAAGAGAGGACGAGAACAGAACCAACTGCTTCACCAGTACCACAACACCATCACTCCTGCCTGTCACACCAACGTCTGGTAATGTCATTTAAAGGTTATGGAAAAATGTTTCTAGTACATAAACACCTAGTCAGAGGTTATTCTTAGACATTTCTACCATTGTTATATGTTTTTCTTCTTTTTGCTTTTTTGCCTAATTCTCAGTTTTGTGTATTTGATAAGACGATCTACTCCCCAAGGTGTTACCATTTCATTTTGCTTTGACGCTGCTGTGCTGGGACATTTCTCAGAAAAAGCCCTGCGTTACACATAACTCATTATTTTTTTTAAAAGTAATGCAGTATGGTACTTATTACTCAGTGAAGAAAGTGATTCGTTAAACCACTTGTTACATAATTTTCTCGTTACAATGTAAACAACCTTAGACGCACTGTCAAATAATTACCAGAAAAAGAAAAAAATACATTTGTTTAATGTTTTTTTTCTATCCAGTTAAAAGATGATCCTAAAGATGATGCTAAAGTGACCATAGATATGAGGCAGGTGAAGTGCTTAACGTGTACAGAACAGAGTACAGCACGAATGTGTGGTCAGATGTACGTCTCAAGTTTTGCGAGGGGTCAGTAAGACTAGGAGAGTGCGCTATAAAGCCAGCCCATTCCATCCTTTGTGGTTCTTTTGGAATATGTTTTGCCATTCTATTCAGGACCTGTTAAATATATATTATTTATACACATGTCATATATATAATGTCTCTGATACCTTTTGGTTCTGCAGCTTGCAGGTCTTATGAGTTCAGCTGTGCCACTGTTGGGCAGTGTGTGCCTCAGGCCTGGCGCTGCGATGGAGAAACAGATTGTATGGATGGCAGTGATGAGCAGCAATGTGGCGCCCCGTGTGGCTCCGGCCAGGTGCCTTGTGTCAGTGGGGACCAGTGCGTGGAATACCAGCAGCTCTGTGATGGGACCCCACATTGCAGGGATACGTCAGATGAGAGTATCGACAACTGTGGTATGTTAATGTATATACTGTCTATGTTCTAAGCATCAAGAATAAAACCCTAGAGTCAATATGATCAGGCCAAAAAGAGCAGTTTGTCCTACCATCTGTCTACTAGGCTCTACCCGGATACCTCCCTGTTTAGGCAGCTTCCCATGTGACAACCGCACCTGTGTGAACATGTCACAGGTCTGCAATGGTGTCCCAGACTGTCCACGGGGCGAAGATGAGTTGGTGTGTGGTGAGTTCTCATTAGATAAAGAGAAGGCAGGTAAGCCTAGAGTGAGACAAGGAGTGACCATGATGATGCTATGATACAGTCACGGCCAGGCTTTCATTAAAAGATGTCATCAGGACTAAAAAGGACACAAGTTTGATTGTATTAACTCCCCTGTTCTCTTGTATGATCATTAATATATTTGACATCTTGTTCTGTTAAGATAAAACTGTCTCACCAGCACTTCCTGGCAGCAACACCACTGTCACCTGCTCTGAGTTCACCTGTATGGATGGAACCTGTGTGCCTTTTAACGTGGTAAGCTAAACTCCGCCCCAACACGCCATCTATATTTTGCAGAAATGATCAAGTACATGAAGATAATCTTTTGTTGCTTTCCTGCTGGTTTGGATAGAAGACAAAAATCTGATACAGCAGTATAAGTTATTTGCATTTTTTAAATGACCAGCATCTGTTTCAAATACACATTTTTACATTTATATTTGAATTAGCTCTTTCTAGTTTTTTCTGTCTCATCTCTTTATCTGCCTCTTCCACCACAACACTCTCCCCTTCATCTCCATTTCATCCTATTCCTCTTTACCTCAAGCCTAAGAATTCCTACGTTATAAGCTAACGCTATGCTAGCTAATATTAGACTATAGTGTCCTAAAAGTCTGTAGTTTTTAAGTACATCCAAAATTTTAATATGACTTTTACTGCATTCTCACATCACATATGGGTTTACTTGCTAAGTGTGAGTTGCCCACTTTGAAGATTCACTTGAAATTAAGTTTTGGTAACAGCGGAGAATAGCAGCTAACAGGAGCTAACAGCAGCTAACAGGCAAAAACAGCAGCTAATAGCAGCTAACAGGAGCTAACAGCAGCTAATAGCAGCTAACAGGCAAAAACAGCAGCATGTTCTGGCCCCAGCAGAAAATTACAGATTACCATTGCTCATCAATCACAAATGAGCTACTTTGGCTCGTCGACAATGTAAAGGGTAATACACAGAGACGTATCAATGTCAAAGTGTAATAAAGATCAGGTAAATACCGTAGCAGCGACTAGTGTCCGTGGTTCAAGTACCTACTAAGTTTGTAAGCAATCTTGACATAGAACACAAGCATTCAAACTTTTGTAGGCCTTCAGATCTCATCTAGTATAATTTGAGGGGTTGTTGATAACACAGTGATATAAACCATGTGGCGTGAAGTCAGGGAGAGTCCCAGGGCAACACTTCACAGAATCAGTAAACACACTTGGACTTCAGCCCTCCCATGCTCACTTCTTCACAGAAGCCAGATGCTTGTCATGAAAGTATTTTACTTCCTCTGAGGGAGAATATACAAGTGTTTGTTTACTCATAGTCGTTTATCTTATCTACATAATATTTAGTAGGTTTTTCACTCACTTGAAGTGTCATGTTGCCTACAACATGTAATGTGTTTACTTAACGATGTGTGGCTGAACAGGCAACGAAGGGATAGAAGTCCTTGTTTTACACCAGAAAGTTGGGAGAAGTTTCAGTTGCGTTACTACTGAGGTTCTACTTTATTTTCTATTGCATGGCTGCATCATTCAGTCTTGGAATCTGAGGTTATTTGCAGGCCCACATATGAAAGTACACTGCATCTGTTTTTCTCCGTTAATTATACTAAAACTAAGTCAGTTATGTTTTCAAGGAAGGAAGAAAGAAAACGAAAAGTTTCATGTACAGTGAGCCTGCTCTGTTTTTAGGTGTGTAATGGTGTTCCAGACTGCCCAGACTCCTCATTAGGGTCGCTCGGAGACCCCACAGACGAGCAGGGCTGTAAAACCTGGAGCTCCTGGGGCCCTTGGAGTCCTTGCAGCACCACCTGTGGGACGGGCTTCATGAGCCGGGAGAGATCATGCCCTCCAGGGGACCCGCTGCACCACTGCCGGGGTCAGGACATCCAGAGGCAGGAGTGTTTCAATACCACCTGTCCTGGTAAGGACATACACAGAAACTGTAACACACACGTTTGGGAATGCTTTCAGGAAACGTGAGATTCCTATAATTTTGGAACAAGAGGGTTTATTTTTCATAGAAGGCTGGAGGAAAAACTGACGACAAAAATAGAAGCATAAAGGAAAGTCACAGACGCACACATGTCAAAAAGTCTGACTTGTCTTCTGTTCTGGTTCAGCGACTAACCGGAAGGTTGGTGGTTCGATCCCAGGCTCCTCCGCTCTGCATGTCAAATATCCTTGGGCAAGATGCTCTCCGATGCATCCATCAGAGTGTGAATGTGTATGAATGTTAGATAGTAAGCACTTAACAACTTAGAAAACATTCTTGTGTGAATGGGTGTGATTGGGTGAATGAATTAGTTGTATAAAGTGCTTTGAGTGCTCAGATAGAGTAGAAAAACGCTATATAAGAACCGGTCCATTTACCATTCACCATCTTCTCTACAGTTGATGGTCGATGGCTGCCGTGGGGGAGCTGGTCAAACTGTTCCAGTGGTTGTGGTGGAGTTCAGGTCAGAAACAGAGCATGCACACCTCCTCTCTATGGAGGACAGGACTGTTCCCAGCTCCCAGGACCATCTAATCTGTCCATGGAGACCAGTAAGCAGTTTGTAAAGATGAATGTTTTATTGAGCAAAAGTCAAGTATTTTGTTTACGATGGTTTTATTACTTATTATAAAAGTAATTACTGCCCAGAGATGGCTTGTGCTCTCAGAGAGCTTCGCAAACATGTAAAATGTAAAATTTAAAATCAATATTTTTGGAACTCCAAAAATCCCGTATATAAATATGAATAAATATTCCAAGTATAAAAAACGTAGATCTTCTCGAGTGTTGATGGAAGTTGTTTTTATTGCTGATGATGGTGGTTGCTTTATATCCAAATCTGGGCTATTTAAACCAGAAAGGAAGTAATCAGAGTCCAGACTTTCACAATAAGACTCATGGTCAGCTCAGACTTATAAATACTTAAATGCCATGAACTGGTAGTAAATGAGGGAAAGCTAAGGACAATAAGAGATAAATTGGTAAAAAGGAAAGAAAAACGGTACCACGTCCAGTTCTAAAATGAGGAGATTTCCTGTATTCATTTTTGTCTTTCCCTTTTTTTATACCAGGGTGTTTACCCTCGTTACTTTAACCTGCATAACGAAACAGATAACATACGAGAATTTTCGACACTTTTCATTTAGTTACACAGTTTTTCTTACAGTAGGACTTCCTGCTCTGTCTCTGTGCCTCACTGTAGAACCATGTCTGAATGATGGATGTGACAACACCAGCTGTCCCACAGGCTTGGTTAGACACAGCTGTGCTCCCTGCCCACTGTCCTGTGCCCACATCAGCAGTGAGTCCACCTGTGATCCCAGCGCACCCTGCTTCTCAGGTCGGTGCATGTCAGGACACGTGTGGAATGTCCTGTGTGATAAATAAAATGTGGCTTCTTCACCAGTTTAGATTTCAGTCACAAGCTTTTTTTGCTCTAACGTATCAATACTTTCAGGATGCTGGTGCCCAGAGGGGCAGGTGATGAGCCACACACAGCAGTGTGTGTCACCAGAGGAGTGTGTGTGTGAGGTGGCGGGTGTGCGCTACTGGCCGGGCCAGCAGATCAAAGTGGACTGTGAGGTTTGTGTGTGCGAGACAGGAAGGCCACAGAGGTGTCAGCCCAACCCTGACTGCTCCAGTGAGTCGCTGTAGTCAAATCCACAGCTGACGTGTACACACAGACTGCTGTGAAGTCTGAGGAATCTGTTTTGTCACACTTGTAGTCCACTGTGGATGGTCATCATGGTCTGAGTGGGGAGAGTGCTTGGGGCCGTGTGGTGTGCAGAGCGTTCAGTGGTCCTTCCGCAGCCCAAACAACCCCCCCAAACATGGAGATGGTAGGACGTGCAGAGGAATTTACAGGAAGGCTCGCCGGTAAGTCTCCTCCTGCTTTCATTGGTTAGAAACTGTGTACTTTTTCAAGACTTTCAGCACTCGGACCTTTTCCAAACATGGTCACTCTCCATGGGATTGCAATCGTCTGACGTGCGCCTCTGTGAGAATTCATCATTCTTCAACGTGAGCTCAGCAGATGTGCTATCAAGCATTATAAATATTTTGATGAAGAGGTTTTGAACTGCACTAATCACCACTTAATGCCCAAAAAGTAGTCAAAAAATTTATTTAGTTTACTAGACTGCGTGTGTAGCTGATGAGGTCATCCACCAATTAAGTAGATACATGTAATCTTTTCAGAGTTCAAAAAACGGGCGTCAAGGATGAAAGTCCAGTGTTTGCTTTTCTGTCCAGTGTGCTCACTTCTTAGTGTTGGCAGAGTGCAGCAATCCACCAGCTGTTCATGATTATGTCCAAGTAAGAAAAGATGATTAATGTGGGAATAATGTGTCAGGTCGTGAGCGTTATAAAAGTAGCAGCTAAAATATTGTGCACCCTGATCCAAGAATGGAAATGTCTCCCTATATATGGGAATCCAACCGTGTGCCAAGCATTTCTCCCCTGCTGTGAGGAAGTATTTTCTATCAGCTCTGGCTTTGAGGTTAAAAACATGATCGAATCATGATGTCCATCCACCAACGTCTCTGCTGGGTTTCTTTGAAAGAAAATGTCTGTCTTTGTGTCTGTATTACAATCCCACTGTCGGCGTGTGTGTCTGTGTGTGTGCGTGCAGGTGTCAGACAGCCCCCTGTGAGGAGTGTGAGTATCACGGTCAGTCCCACACAGTAGGCGACAGATGGCGGTCAGACCAGTGTCAGCTATGCCGCTGTCTTCCCAACCTCACAGTGCAGTGCTCCCCCTACTGTCCATACGCTGCCACTGGCTGCCCTCAGGTGAGAGGATGTGTGTGGCTGTTGTTCATTTTTGTTGGCAAAAGCTACTAAAAATATTTCCACATTAGTCTTATTGTTATGTTTTAAATGTTGTTCACCTGTCGCCACTTTAGTGTCGTCTACAGACTTTACTGATTAGTGTAACCAATGTTCTTCTTAAGTTTGTGTCCATGTTTTGTGGAACTATAATGGACATTGGCACATTTGTGTATGTGACTGTGTGTAAATGTGTGTTTGTATCTTATTCCATGGAAACACTTGTAGTCATCTCCTGCCTCTGCAACCTTTTCTTGCCTCCACGTAGCTGTGCGTCGTGGCAACTCGAGATGAATGCTTTTTGTTTGTGCAGGGCCAAAGTCTGGTGCCTGGAGAGGGAGACAGGTGTTGCTACTGCCAAGGTAAAATCTGAACAGTTGTTCTCCTGTTTACGCTGATTAAGTTCTTTCCACTTTAATGGTGGTTGAACTTAAACACGAGGAACTGCCCTCCATACTCACTAATGTAGCATCCAAATGTCAGATGACGTAGGGACTAATAATGATAAATGTTAGACGCCGTAATCTCACTTGTGGTGTTTGGAGAGAGAGCATTATTTTTATTTCTTTTTATTAGAAAAAAAACGTCACTCCTGACACGATCGACAGCACAGAAATGTTGTAAAAATGATTTTTAACAATCTGTTTAAGAAACGTGATAAAGACCATCGATGGTGCAGCAGTTTATGAGTCAGAAAATCATCCCACAGATTTTACTTTTGAATTTATATGGAGTTAAAAAGTGAACGAGTGCTCTGTGCAGAATCAACCAATTTGTTAGTTTATAGTGTTGCATTCTGGGTAAGTGCTATAATTGGACTGGTAACAAATAATGGCCATGCATTACTTAAAAAAATGACATTAAGATGAAGTTGGGACCCTTGTAGAAACATCATCTGCTGAATGGACCTGTAAGTGAACATCTGGCCAGCAATAAAATTGCATTACTTAGACGACTGTCTCTTGTTTATGGTAGACAATCTTGTGTTAATGAATATTCTCTTACCACTGTTTGTATTCTACACCTGCTAGGTGAAAATGACACAATACTTACAACAATTGGTCCTGTCACTGTGACCTCCAAGCCAGCACAGGTCACTACACCCCTGATTCCCACATACCCTCTTCCTCCTGGAGGTAGGTGCCTTCCTCTACCTGTTGTTAGATATTTAAAGGTTGATCCTGAGACGATCCAGGAGAGCCAGTTTACTTTTATTAATGTTGCTCAGAAATGGTCTGCAGTTCACCCAGAGGCTCAGCTGAGGGCACCCATGAGACATTTACACCTCTTAGAAGACAAACATGTTCGCTTTTGCAAACTCAGTACCAACAGTATGTGTGACCTGAAATAAAAATGAAACGTTTAAGCCGACAGATTTTTCCCATGTTACTGCTTTGGAGTCAGAAGCAATTGATGCTAAGTTATCAGCTAAAGCTACACTGGTTAGCAAGCAGACACATACCTTTGTAACGAGCCTCAGTCAACAAAACTGGAGCACTTCCCTACATAAGATGCCTTTATAAGTTAAAAGTATCAGTATCATTATTGGTATCGCTGTTTTTCTGTATTGCATCCATACCAAATCTGCAGTATGGCACTGCTCTAGCAGCCATCGCCTGCCTCTAACCCTGACAGTACTTAAATAGCATTTATCCCCCACAGCACAGGTGTTATGAAGAGGAAAACTAAGCGCTTTGTTGAATCACACCAGAAACAGGTGTCTGCTTCTGCATGATCACTGCTGCTATCACTCATGTCATTGGCTCAACTGTATAGAAATATATTGCTACACAGTTGTAACCCATAAACTTTAATGGAAACTATAAGCTTACATTGTTATACCTGGACAATCTCACGAACAAGTCGGTGAAGTCTTTATAATCTGAGGTGCATCTGTTTTAAATCATGCAAACTTTGTTTATCCTTGTTCCTGTTTAGAGGAATGCTGGTCTCCCCTGGGTGTCCAGTCTCTTCCTGCCTCAAGTTTCAGTGCCTCTTCACAGCAGGCCGGTCACCCCCCTGATGCAGCTCGTCTGCATGCGTGGGACCCTCACAGTGACCTCCAGGTACTCCACACATAATCAGACCCCTGAGCATGTCAACCATCATCCTCTTTTTTTCCTTAGACTTCTCATAAATTACAAATGATGCTATTTAGCTATTTATCTTAAAATTCTTCCTGCAGGGCTGGAGTCCAGAACCAGAGGAGTATAAGGACCTACCACAGCGGAGGCCTGACAGCTACACCGGCAACACACAGAGTCCCTACATACAGATAGACCTGCTAAAGCCATACAACATCACTGGTAAACAGGCACACAGTTTACATGCAGTACATGCTGCTTCAGTGTTTTGTGCACTTAGTTTCGTCTCTGTGCTATCCTACAGGTGTGTTGACCCAGGGTGGAGGTGTGTTTGGCACATTTGTGTCCAGCTTCTTCCTCCAGTTCAGCCGGGATGGAAATCAGTGGTACACTCACAAGGAGCTGGTCACTGATGCCCCACCCAGAGCCAAGGTGCAGCAGCAAACCAAAGCGCTTTACTTTAAAGGCTTTATTATTTTTCTTAGTGATTGTTCTCCTCCCAGGTTTTTCTCGGTAATCACGATGATCGAGGAGTGACGGAGAGCAGACTGGACAGGATCGTGTCGGCTCAGTTTGTCCGCCTCTTGCCCCATGACTTCCAGAATGGCATCTATCTTCGCCTTGAGATCATGGGCTGTGGCGATGGTTGGTGGAAAGGATGCTGGTCTTACATACTGGGTTTGTGTGTGTGATTCTAAAATGCAGGCTTTACTTTCATCACCAGGTTCTCGCTGGTTAACATCACCCAGTCCTCCCTCACCAGTCTCCCCAGCAGGTGGCTGCAGAGAGAAAGAGTTCCAATGTGAGAACGGTCGCTGCGTGCCAGCAGGTCCTCTGGGCGTAGTCTGCGATGGCGTCAATGATTGCGGGGACAGTTCGGACGAGACCCACTGTGGTGAGCTGTCCACACCACAGCTTATAGTTTGCTCTTTAATATTTTAGAATAAACATAGACATTCTTACTGAGCACAACTACTCACTGTGTGCAGGTACGCAGCCTTCCACTACAGCCACCAGTCCACGTAGCTGCCCTGCTGGTCAGTTCTCCTGCCCCCCACCAGGGGGCTGCATTGAGGCATGGAAGCGTTGTGATGGAAATCCCCACTGTCCCAGAGGAGAGGATGAAAGTGGATGCCACCCTCATGACAACATTACAGCCCAGTAAGACACGAGGACGCGGATCTTTTTTGTTTAACGTAGAAGCATTGCAGTTGTTTTTAATTCCTCTTCAATACGATCACTACTGTGCAGGCCGTACACACCCCCGCCTGCCCCGCTGAGGACTCCATCTATGGCTGCTGTCACACATCCTGCTGTAAGCCAGTGCATTCATTTAAGTCCCATTATTTGCATTTGGATTTGAGATGTTAAAATACGTACAGCATGAACAGAAACAGTGCTTCATACTCTAATCTTGTCTCTGCAGGACGGTGGCCCGGGATATCACGGTGAGGTTTGTTTTCAGCTGTGTGATTGTTTTTCTTCATTTCTTATGAAGGCTGAATGACTGTAAGGATCATCATATATCACTGTGGCGAGGCGGGGCCTGCGATGCTGCTGCAGGTGAGATAGAGGCACCTGCACAGCATCTGCAATCACGCCTTGGCACTGTAAAAGGCTGCGCTGTTGTCATTGGTTGTTGTTGGTATGTGAGCTGCAGCCGAGGTGTTTAAGTGTACAGCAACCATTAATAAAGATGCTGCAAAGCATGCAAACATCACTGGGTCTGTCGTGGTTTTATCACAATCACAGGTATCTGCTCCTCTCCGCTTGGACTGGAGGATGGGAGAATCCATTACGGTCAGCTCACCTCGTCCTCCCATCGGGAGAACAACCCTGCCGATGCCGGGCGGCTGAATATAGTCCCAAACATGTGAGACGCTTGTCAAGCCTGAAACAGATCAAACTTCTGTCTTTCAGTGTTAGCACATTGGGTCTTAAGTAAACTTTCAAGTTCTTGTTAACGCTGGAAGGGGAGATGACAAAAGAGAGGTCATCTCCGTGTCATACCATCTTTTGTGCTCACAGCCAGGTGATGGAGCCCGGTTGGAGCCCGTTACCTACAGACCCTCAGCCGTATTTTCAGGTGGATTTCTTGGAGCCCATGTGGGTGTCAGGCGTGGTGACACAGGGCACTGAGCGAATGTGGGGTTCCCTCACCAAATACCGCCTGGCGTTTGCCCTGCACGGCAGCCTTTTCACAGACTTTACTGAGAATGGGAAGCCCGATGGCCCTGCTAAGGTATACTTAACACATTTAAACAGTACCATTAATTATAATTTCAGCACTGTAAAACATGATTACATATTTTTATATGTAATAAAGTGTCTTCTCTGTTGCTGTGCAGGTGTTTGAGGTACGGATGGTGGGCAGGACCCCCGTGACCCGCTGGCTCGGTCGGCTGGTCAGAGCTCGCTACGTGCGCATCATGCCTGCAGAGTACAGGCACACATTTTACCTGCGCGTGGAGATCCTCGGCTGCCGAGGAGGTCAGGGCATAAACCAAATTATGATAATTATTCCTAATGTTGGCTGTACAACCTTCTCTTACCAGGTTATACAGTTTCTCTTCTTCTGCTTTTGCAGATGAGCTGGTGACCCCCAGCAGTGTGACAACATCTCCCTCTGGTGGTGGGAAAGTGACAGTGCAGCGCTGTGAACCTGGTCAGTTTTTCTGCCAGCACAGTGACGAGTGCATCTCTGTGTCTTTGCTCTGTGATGGTCGACCAGACTGCAAGGATCATTCTGATGAGATCGGCTGTGGTACGGACAGCTTTGATTTTCTGCTCTCTTTAGCTTTCAAAAATCAGCAGTAAACAAAAAACTGTGAAGGCCCTTCCTGCACCCACGCTCACTTTCACTTTCTCATTTCTCATTGTCAGTTTAGCTCATGTGGTTTTATTTTCTTCATCGTTTTTAGGTACAGCTCCAACAAGAGGCTTTCCAGGTCTGCAAAACCAGACCAGCTCTACAGGGAGACCAGCTATCCATGGTGACCACACAACAGGTGCCCCAGGCCTACATACCACCAGGTCTCAGGGCGGACTTCCTGGAGTGCCAACATCAGGAGTCACAGAACCTACTCGATCACAGAAGATCACAACTGCTGGTAAGTGCGAGTCTACATGTGCTGCTGTGTGACCGATGATGCAGCAGTGGATGAGATCCTGCAGGTAATGTAGGAGAGAAGTGAGAGGAATCGAGAATTAAATCTTTTCCAAATTCAGCTTTCGAATTGACTCTAAGATCTTAACGCTTGTTTTTAAGACATTGCATGAACTAGCTGATCTCCTAACCTCGTATTCTCCCCCAAGATCCTTGAGGTCTGCAGACCAAATGCTTTTGGTTGTCCCAAGGTCCAGACTAGAACACAGAGGAGACCGGGCGTTTGCTGTAACATTGCCATTGCATATCAGATCCTGCCCAACACTGGATACTTTTAAAATCCGTCTAAAGACCCATTTTTATTCTCTGGCTTTTGCTTCATCATGAGTTTGTTACCATTATTCTTTTTATTCTCTTCTAAAACACTGTTCTATTTTTCTTTTATGTCTTCTGCTTTGTCCATTTTATTGTACAGTACTTTGGTCAAAACTTGTTGTTTTTATATCTATATAAATAAATTTGAACTTGAACTACATTTAACCTCAGAGGTCACTGCAGGTCATCCTGGGCTGCATCTCAGCACGCGGTTCGACTCCGGTACGCCCGGTCTTCGATCCACAAAAGGTTGGAAGCTATGCTGTTAGCATTTATGCTAAAACCGCGTCTCTTTACAAGAGACTGTAACCTCTGTGCTCTACTGACTGCCAGCCCCAGTGATCACCACCAGCCCGCGTGATACCGGCTCACCCAGAGTGATTTGCGTGCAGGGCCAGTTTGCGTGCGGATCGTTTGGTTGTGTCGACTCAGCACAAGTGTGCGATGGGATACGGCACTGTTTGGACGGGTCAGACGAGCAGCACTGTGGTGCGCATGAGTAACTTTACAAACACCGTGGACGTAGAGTTGGAGGAGTTATACATCCATATTCACTAAATGTTTTTCATTTTTATCGACTGTGTCAGGCACCACAGCCAGGCCGGCGGTGACTCCGCAGCGGCCCACGGTGCCCAGCCCGTGCTCTCCCAAGCAGTTCTCCTGTGACAGTGGGGAGTGTGTTCACCTGGACCGCAGGTGTGATCTGCAGAAGGACTGCGTAGATGGATCTGATGAAAAAGACTGTGGTAGGCCACACGTGCACCTTACAGTGGTGATGTGACCCAACAGTGAATATTTTTAAGGTTCCCTCTGGTCTCTTTTCTTCCAGTGGACTGCGTCATGTCCCCGTGGACAGCGTGGAGCGCCTGCAGTGTGTCATGTGGTCTTGGCTCCTTGTTCCGGCAGAGGGACATGTTAAGGGAAGCTCTGCCCGGAGGAGCTTGTAGCGGGGATCCATTTGACAGTCGAGCCTGCTTTCCTCAAGCGTGTCCAGGTCTGCCTTCGACCTCCATAATGAGACGCGTGTTTGCCTATTATCCAGTAATAGTTAATGCAACGGCAGCCTTTCTCCTGTTGTAGTTAATGGTCACTGGTCAGAGTGGACAGAGTGGTCGGAATGTGACGCCCGCTGTGGAGGAGGAGTCAGGCAGAGGAACCGGACCTGCTCGGCGCCGCCCCCTAAGAACGGTGGAGGGGACTGCGAGGGGATGACCAGGCAGAGCCAGAGCTGCAACAGCCAGCCCTGCACCAAAGACACGGACATACAGACAGGTCATTGAGATGCAACCAGCCTGAAATGACCGGATCTTCTGATCACCTGCTTGAAACAATAAAAGCATTTGAAATGTCTGCACTGTTATTTAAATGACAGGTTGTGTCCTTGGCATGGTGGTGGTAACAGAGGAAGACTGTCAGGCCGGGAGAGTCGATCCCTGTCCTCCTACTTGCTCACATCTCAGCCTGGACAGAAACTGCACTGCTGAGTGCATTTCGGGTAGGATGCACAGTAGATTTGACTCGAGGCCAGCGTTGGCTTTGCACAGTGCGCAAAGAAATTTCAGTGGTCTTCTAGCCTTTGAGCACAGAGGTTCTGAACATTAATTATGTGTTATTGTGCAAGATTTATCCAAATGTAGCTGACACAGTGATTAAGGCATGAATGATGTCTTTCTCCAGGCTGTCGTTGTCCCTACGGGCTGTACCTTCAACAGGGACGATGTGTGAATTCGAGCCAGTGCGTCTGTCACTGGGATGGCCAAACACTGCATCCGGGACAGGTGGTCCCCAGGGACCAGTGTACCACGTGGTAAGACCCACGCTCAGCTCTTTGTGCCTGGAACAAAAGATGATACTAAATAAACACATCAGTCCAAATTCAGGTTTCTGTTGAATTATGGATTTGTTTGTGTTTGTAATAAAATAGTGAGAATCATAATGAGCAGCACTGGCAGCATCGTTTGCACTGGTTTGTGAGGAATTGCTCACATCTGATTGTTTTATTTATTTTTAACAGGGACAGTGTACATCAATACACAGTTAGCCGCAGCTAATTTTCAGCCACCTATAAATGCAACAACAAACAAACTGATTAATAGTCAACCTTTTTAGCTCATGTTTAAAAATACTTTATGTATTCTCGATCAAATTGCTTATTCTTACAGTAAGTGCAGAGATGGGCAAGTGACATGTGACAGATCCAGCTGTGTTGCAACCTGTCACTGGTCAGCCTGGTCGTCATGGTCACCTTGTGATGTAACCTGTGGTCTGGGGCTACAACAACGTTACAGGTAAGCTTGTTTAGTTTAATATATGCTTTAAAGCAGCTCAGTCTGTCCCAGGACCTGCCTGCAAACTCTTGCCTCATGAGGACGGGCATCGCTGAGCACCAGGAGGAACCCAGGATCCACTAACAGTGGGTCCAAGCATCCTGGTACTTAATGGCCGTTTGCTAGCATGTAGACGTCTGTGTGTCCCTCTGTGGATATCGTTCACTGACCCACCACCAAACTGATCACGCTGAACGATGTTACAGTCAGCAAACAATGAAGAAGGTGAAGCTGAAAAGCACAGGGCGCCAATTCTGATGATCTATGTCGGGTTACGAAGTGTTGGGCAGTGAGCACAGGGCCCACTAAAGGACGTCAACCTCCAGGCTAACTTCATGAAGGTGGTGACACTGATCCTCTCTGAGCACAAAGCCACTGAAAAATCAGTCAACACAGATCAGGAGGGAAACCACTCCTGTTTGGAGGAGTTGTTGGTTTCATTATCACAGCAAAGCAGCTGAAACAACAACCCCTCTGCTACTTACCTGACACATCAATGGCCCACAAGTTTAACTGACTTGATGCTGTCCTCTGATTAAAAAGCCTTCCTTTCATGTTTCGACACTGTGTAACACTAACCGCCTGCTTCTGGGATCATACCGTATATTTCTGATGTGAAACACATTACCAGTGTTCAGTTTGTTGGTTGTAAATGCTTATATGTATAATTTATCATTTCTGTATCACTTACTGTTTGGATGTTTGTTTCCTCGCATACTTTAAATAGATTGTGAGGAGTGATTATGCTCTGTGTCCTCAGGTCTCTTCCAGCAGGAGCAGTCAGAGGTCAGCCCTGTCCAGGAGACTCGTCTGAGGCTCAGAGCTGCTCCAGCACATGCTTCCCTGGTATATTACACTCACAGCCTTTACTACTTCTAGACTAGACTATCTCTGTACATGGGCCTCCTCCAGCGTTTTTCAGTTAGTTCAAAATACCACAGCACGCCTCTTAACTGGCACCAGAAGGCATGAGCACATCACCCCAGTTCTAGGCAATCTACACTGGCTCCCTGTTAAATACCGTATCGTGTTTAAAATCCTTCTGTATACTTTTAACATTTTAAATACCTTGGCGCCCAGTTACCTAACAGACCTTCTCGACGTGCATGGCCCCAAGAGAGCGCTCAGATCCTCTAACCAACTGATCTTACTGCAACCAAGGCCCCGACGAAAGACAGGAGGCACCGAGCGTTTGCAATTGCTGCACCTAAACTCTGGAATCATCTTCCAATCGATGTGCGCATGTCAGAATCCATTCAATCATTTAAATCACGCTTAAAAACTCACCTGTTCCATCCAGCTTTTGAATTAGTTTGGACTTCCTCCCAGTCTGCAGTTGTGCTGTCACTGTAACTGTAACTGGTTTACAACTGTTTTTGTTGCTATTTGTTGTAATCCGCTTTGCTGCCTTGTGTGAAGCACTTTGCTGAACACTGTCCTTTTTAAATGTGCAATAGAAATAAATATTGATCTATTGACACGTCCGACACACAGCATGTTACGGTGATTATTGTTGTGTTTTGGGTTTTTATGAGAGAATACAGCTAAGAGCTCAAATTTCTTTTGCACAGAAGTTTAAGTTGTTCTTGTGTAAGTTAGACGAGTTCAAATCAAGCATCGCTGTTCTGTCCACACGTGTGTAAATCTGTTCTGTGCTACATGTACAAAGTTTGAGCAACACAATGCTAAAGGTGATGTAATCCTGCAGCTCAGGAGGGAGTGCAGGTCATCTACTAATTGGAAAGTTGATGCTTTTAATCCCTGGCTGCTCCAGTCTGCATGCAAATGTCCTTGGGCAACTTAGTAACCCCAGGCTGCTCTGTGATGCATCCATCATAGTGTGGCTGTGATAGAAAGTGACCTCTACTCAGGTGCAGTGGAAAGCACTGAATGAGTCCATTACATTACTTTCCCTCCTCTTGTTGTGCAGCGCTACCAGGTGGGACATGGAGTAAGTGGACCGGCTGGTCAGAGTGCAGTAAAACGTGTTTCAATCACGTAGATGATGTGGGGGTGAGGCGACGATTCCGCAGCTGCACGCCGTTTAACCACACGCAGCCCGCCTGCGATGGAGACAGGGAGGAGCAGGAGCCGTGCAACACTGAGCACTGCCCGGGTATGACACATGTAGACACACAAAGACAGGATAGATGGCATCATTCCTGGAAAAAGAGAAAAATGAAAGGCCGTAAAGCTGATGTGTTCTTCTAGTGCCCGGTGGCTGGTCAGCCTGGTCGGCCTGGTCTCAGTGTTCGTCCAGGTGTGACTCTGGTGTCCAGACAAGAGAGCGGTTGTGTAATTCCCCCACACCACAGCATGGAGGTAAAAGCTGTTCTGGGCCTCACATTCAGACACGCGACTGCAACTCTCAGCCCTGCTCAGGTACCGTGTTTGTCCCTGTTACGTTTCGCCACCCCGTCCGCTGAATATCACGTACAAGTCTTGTTGCACTCCTGTCCTCGCAGGCGTGTGTCCAGAGGGCATGACGTATATGACGGTACGAGAGTGCGAGGCTCAAGGGGGCGCGTGTCCACGGGTGTGCTTGGACATGACCTCCACAGAGGTACAGTGTGCCACCACCTGTTACGACGGCTGCTACTGCGCCCCAGGCTTCTACCTGCTCAACAGCAGCTGCGTGCCCCTGGCACAGTGCCCGTGTTACCACCAGGGGGAGATGTACCCAGCTGGCGCCACCCTGCCTGTTGATGCCTGTAATAACTGGTACCTCTCTTTACTCGTGCATCGCATTAAAGAGGAAGATCAAACTGTAGCTCTAACCTTCCATAAATACAGTAATCTATGTGTGAAATCACTTGTCCTTACACTGTGTGTCAAACAGCACATGCACCGATGGAGAAATGCAGTGTGGGACAGCTCCCTGCCCCGGTGAGTGAAAAAGAAACGTGCTGTTGCTGTCTCCCTCTGTCTCTGTGTTTTCTTGCTTAATGGTTTGTGTCTGCCACTTTATTTTCCTTTGTCGTCTCTCGTGTGTGCGTCTGTGTTTCTCAGTGGACTGTGGCTGGAGCAGCTGGACACAGTGGAGTGCCTGCAGCCGGACGTGTGACGTTGGTGTGAGGAGGAGGTATCGTTCAGGAACCGATCCTCCTCCTGCGTTCGGTGGTCGTCCCTGCAAAGGAGACAGGGTTGGGATTGATACCTGCAGCATTGAGCCCTGCTTCGGTGAGAACGACTGAATTAGAAGAAAATATACACTAGTGGTCAAAAGGTTTAGAACAGCCCGATTTTTCAGTTATTCATTACAATTCAAGTCATCCAAGTCCAATGAACAGCTTGAAATGCTACAAAGGTAAGTGTTGAACTGCCAGAGGTAAAAGAAAAAGGTAAGGTTACCCAAAACTGGAAAATAACGTACAAGTTAAAATTATACAAAGAGGCCTTTTTCAGGGAACACAGCATGGTTAACAGTTTAAAGCTGCTCTGCAGCAGTGGAGGCTGAGCAGGCCTTGAAAGCTGAGCAGCATCAGCTGAACAGTATTGTACTGCAGAAAGTAGAGTGTTGCTACAGAAATGGTAAGAAAACGGTGATTAACAATGGAAGAGAGACAGACCAACATAACACTTATAAATGCAGGTCTGTGCTACAGAGAGACTGCAAAGAAAGTCAAGATGTCAGTGAGTCCAGTTTCCTTCAGCATCAAAGGCTCAGAAGCTGACAGGAAGAGATCTGCAGACAAAGACACGAGTGAGCCAGAGGACAAGTTTCAAGCAGCTTAATAGTGGTCGTAGTAAGAAAGAGAAGACTTTGAGCTGCAGGTTTGACAGGACGAGTTGCAGCAAGAAAGCCAGACGTCAGAATAAGACAAAGAGGCTTGCCTGGGCCATGAAACACTGCCACTGGACTACTGAAGACTGGAAGAAGGTATCATTGACTGATGGATCAACATGCAGGATCCATGCTTTCATTTCACAGTGCAATCAGACATCAAACTGCATCATTTTCAATAAAAAGCTGGAAAAATTGTGGTGTTCTGAAACGTTTTGACCAATAATGTATATGTTCTAAAATTTGAAAAAAAAACTGAAATGAAACCTTTTAAGATGAAAAACTTTAAGCTGTGATTCGTCTGAAGGTTTAAAGGAGCCGTGGAGTCCATGGTCAGAGTGTTCAGTGACGTGTGGAGGAGGATACAGGACTCGAACCCGCGGACCCATACGGATTCACGGCACCACGCAGCAGTTCAGCACCTGCAACCTGCAGCCTTGTGGTAACACAGGAACAGCCTACATCATAATAATAACACAACGCTGGTGTCTGTGTGGATGCAGCGGCTGCAACAAGTGTCTGTGATGGAGGAAGAGAGGCTCCGGTGATCTTCTCAGCTGTTCTCACTCTCCCTTGAGATCCGATACAGTGCATTTACCATACAGACAGTGATGCAGCTGCTTTCCATTACATCACACAGTCATGGTTAGACTCACTCTGAGTAGCTACAATCCTACAGTCTCAGCCTATTTGCACACTTTGTTTGGTCTTTGTTTATTCACAAGCAGAAGTCACTACTGCTGACATCGTTCACCTTTCTGCAGCTACTTCTCACAAGAACCGAGCGAGGTCCACTTCCCACAACAAACCCACAGAGTTAGCACGAGTCACTTGCAGGTGTTTCTCGAGTTTGTGACTCGTGTGATTTGAGTTGCTACAATCTGATGACTTGTTTAAACTTTATTGTAACTTATGTCTAGTATGGCAGCATGGCACACAGTGCAAAAGCATTTAACCTCTTCTTCATTTCTTAATTTTTTGCATATTTGTGACACTTAAATGTTTAAATTTCATTCAGTATTGGACATACCAGAGGAAATAGAAAATGCAGTATTTAAATGATTATTTCAGAGCCATCCAAACCCAGCTGCCAAGGCGTCCGTTTCGTATTTACTCAGGAGATCTTTGCCTAACTTTAAAATCGTTCTGAATTATTTGTCACAAATATGCAACATCTGAGACATCAGAAAGGGCTAAATACTGTGTCGTGGCACTGTATGGCGTTTCCTTTTATCTGTTGGTGCTGATACAGTTTGGTAACAGAGCCCTGAGTCACATCGCTCATGGGTTGAATTTCCATGGCTGTTGTGTTAAAACTCAGATATTATGACAGTTACATTCTAATTCATACGCTCACCGTTTCGCCCACTTTTCATCCCTTCAAACTGGTGTTTTTGGTTATGCTGTAGGGGTTTTTACTGGTCTTTTCTCTGACTCTGTTGCTGTGCTAGATGAAGGGAAGAAGTGTCCTCCGGGCCAGGAGTGGATGCAGTGTATGATGGGAGCAGTGTCGTGCATGGACCTCACATTGGATCTCAGCAGGAACTGTACTCCGGGATGCCGGTGTCCACAAGGGACTGTCCAGCAGGTGAATGGGTGACAGGAATACACACACACATAAACAGATGGTTTGGGTACGACCTCTTTGCTCACGGGCTCCTACGTTCCCAGGACGGTGTGTGTGTGAGCGAGTCTGACTGTCGCTGTGATGTAGGCGGAGAGCAGTACAACCCGGGAGACACCGTGCCCTTAGACTGCAGTAACTGGTAAGTAAAGCTGGCTTGCTTCAGCAGATATATGAGCCGTGACAAACTGTGGAGATATAAAGTGGATTAAACACAAATGTGTGTCAAATATTTCAGTACCTGTGAAGGAGGAAGGCTGGTGACCTGTTCCCGTTTTAGCTGCAATGGTATGTATTTACAGTGCGATGATGTCTTTCGTCTTTTATAACGTGATTTACACTGATTTTGCCTGATTTTACCGCACAAACCAAACAGTTGATGGCCAGTGGTCAGCATGGACTCCCTGGGGTCATTGTTCGGTGTCTTGTGGAGCAGGCCTTCAGTCTCGGTACCGGTTCTGCTCCAGCCCCCGGCCCTCTGGCAGTGGCCTGCCTTGTACGGGCCCTCACCATGAGGACCAAGTCTGCATCATCGCCCCGTGTGACCGTGGGTTACTTTTCTGTCCCTGTGCATTGACTAATAGTCTGAGCAAACGTGAAGTTTCATTTGTCTGGCTTTGAATCAGTTACTAGGAAAGTGACGCCTCCCTGTCGTACAGTAGGATGCAGCAAACTCACAGTAAAGTGTCCACACTGGCACTTTAAAGTTTTGAAGGGGTTCTTGTATTTATGTTGATCTGCTCAGCTTACTAACCTTTATTTGCTCTCTTCATGTTTTTTAATGTGATGCGTTGGCTTTTTCCAGGTGATGGTGGCTGGGGTCAGTGGAGTCATTGGACGGAGTGTACCAAGTCTTGTGGTGGGGGGGTCCGAAGCAGAAGGAGAAATTGTGACAGTCCCAGTCCAGAGGGGGAAGGGAATTACTGTGAGGGGCTGGGAAGTAAAGTCACATCCTGTAACACCGAGCACTGTCCAGGTGCGTTTGTATTACTAGCATGTGCTGTCTGCTAACTACACTGAGTACAGCGCGGTAGATTCTGTATTACTGAGGGTTGTCATTCCTCAGTGGCTCACTATGGGATTGGCCTGTCTGCTGATCGCAACGACCATGTCGGGCAGAGCCACGTACCATTAAGTGGCTGCGACGCAGGCATTGTTCAAACGCCTCTTTGTGCTTCAAGCATATCTTGACCTGCAATATAGGCTAGCTATTATAGCTGTCCATAGATATGAGTGCTAACGCTAACTTGTCTGTCATTGTTACTTGGCTTCATCCTGACCTTGAGTCTTCGCCATGCACCGTGGTATTCTACCACTTAGCTGTACGCTGAGATGGTTTCTTTTTACGATTATGCACATCAGCCGACATCTTCTTTGCTGTAGTTAGCATACAAGCTAACACAGACAGTCCTCCTGAGATATACTGAGTAGAAACACACACCAGGTTTACTTGTGTTGCCTAAGGCTAGAACATGCCCAGCTCACGATTGAAGGCGTTGGTTTATGTGGGCACTGGATGAGGATGACAATGAGGTCAGACCCCAGAGAAATCTTCATCCTCTACGCTGAGGCTGCCGAGCCTAACAATGAACGGTTCCTGGTGTGCACCAGCACCTGTTCCCAGCATAGATAGAATATGTATTTAGTTCAAAATTCCCAAACAAATCAAGCCCCGGCCAGCCCCCGTAAGCCCACCAGGCCAGGAGGGGAGGGTGGGCTGGCCATGGAATGACCGAACTCTACAGCAGCTCCACTGGGACAGTTCTTGTAGCCTGTCGGTCAGCAGGTCAGAAAGAAGATGCTACCCTGGCAATCTCCTTCGTTCCCACAGGTGAAAAAGCTGCATGGTCCCCATTCATCAGCCCACATGCTACATTCCTAAGTGTGTTGCACATGATAACCTCCTCCCACTTTTGACTTTGCCCTATGTTAGCTCTTTTGGTGGAGTAAATATCTCAGAAGATACAAATTCAGGAGGAGGTTTGATTTTCAGAGCGTGTGTCACGTCCTTTGGCGGCCCGCCTCTGAGCCCTCAGAGCTTTTGTACGTTGCACCAAAGTGGTCATAGCAAGGCATTTGTTTACCTACGTATTTAGACCGCTGGCTAATTCTAATTTGGTCAGACCAAGAAACTACAACACAAGGATCTGTTGTCCTTGAAGCATCTTACCATACTAAGGCTTCATCATAAACACAAAAGTGTTTCTCTAGGAGAACTTTAAGTCGTGTGTTCTCAGAGTGAGATGTCTCACAGCCCACCTTGTTGGGTCAAAGGGCGACGAGGTGCTTATCTTAAATAATAACTGTGAAGTAATGCAAACTCAAGTGTGATTGGATCAGCCCAGCGTGGTCGTGCATGAGACACATCCCTCTAAGGAATACGCAGGGAGATGCTTCCTATATTAGCCATCTCAATCATGCTACTCTGAGAACCAGGGTTATGTAAGTAACCCAAAGTCCTGTATGCTTGTGTTTTCAGTGGCACCATGTTCCCAGGTCCCAGGAACAGTGTTCAGCAGCTGTGGGCCATCCTGCCCTCGCTCCTGTGATGACCTTACTGTGAGTATCACTAGTGTGACTCCTGTCTGTCACTCGATGTATTTCATGCTTCTTATCCACAACCAGGTTCTGGAGGGTGTCATCAAAACAAGCTCAGTCCTCCCTCTCCTCAGCACCTCCTCCAGGTTTTCCAGGGTGATGCTGAGGTGAAATAATTTATCAACCATGCCCTGGGTCATGGTGGGAACTGCCTCATGAAAGTTCTCCTCCTGTTTAAGCCTTTGAAAAAAAAACATTCTGCCACTTGTATCTACAGTCTTATCCTTTCAGCCACTACCCACAGTATTGTACTGATAACTAAGTCCTTAACAGACTGGTACCAATCCACCTGTCAGCCTCCCACTTTGATCTGGTTCCACAGAGTGGACATCCACCCTTTTCTGACTTATGTCAGACGTGGATGTGCTTATTCTCACACTCATTACTGGGGATTAATAAAAGTCCTAATTCCCCCCCCCCCCCCCCCCCTCTCTCAGCACTGTGAGTGGCACTGTGAGCCAGGATGCTACTGTACAGAGGGAAAAGTCATGTCTGCTAATGGGACCGTCTGTTTAGAGAAGGAAGATTGTCCCTGCCTGGACCTTAACACCGGACGACGACTGGAACCTGGAGACACCATTGAAGCCATTGATGGATGCAACAACTGGTCAGAATTATACAAACACAAGAAGCACACGTAACACATGTAAAACACATTAGGATACACAAAGATAACCAGTTAGAAAGGAAACCTGAAGATCCTTCTGTTCCTTTGTTCTTTAGCACCTGCGAAGGTGGGAAATTCAACTGTACTCGAAACCCTTGTCCAGGTAAGTAAAGCCAGCTTTCAGTTTCAGTCAGATCATCTTAATAGTGTTAATATGTAGGACGATGTAGACAATGGCTATGTCTTGTAGTGGGTATAAAATAGCACAGATAGTTGTTACATCCAATTTGGTGTCAGGTGGCTGGTGTGAGTGGTCAGAGTGGACCCCCTGCTCCAGGACCTGTGGAGCAGAGTCGGTGACCCGATACAGAAGCTGCAGCTGTCCTGAGCCAGAGGCCGGAGGAGAGCCGTGCTCTGGTGAGCAGGAACTGCACAGTGGGGTTGGAGTTCAGATCCACAGGCAGCCCTGCCCTGTCGTTACTTTCTGTCCAGGTGAGATGATAATGTCTCATGGAAAGACACATTCGCACAGTTTGTAAATGTTCTGGATGCGTGTGGCTGAAACTACTTGCCTTTGGGCTGAAGGTCAGAGGTCAGAGGTCACGTTTTCTGAAAATCTTGTGAATGCAATGACTCAAGATGGAAGTCAGCTAGGATTTTTGATTTTATAGCATTTATACAGATTTCTGTGTCATGCTGAAAAATGACCTACTGTTATTGCACCTTTCTCTCTCACTGAGATATTACAGTTTTGTTTTGCTACTGTTGTTAATCACTGTGCATTTGTCTCTTACTTATAGCCTCGACCGTTTCAAATATTTTCAAATATTAATATTTTAATTTGTGTCGGTTTTCTTTTTGGTTTTCTGGTTCCAGCTACAGATTCTCAGTTACATCAGAGTAGTTGTACCTCTTCTTCTTCTCATTGCCATACTGTGTCTTTAGTTCATGGCTCGTGGAGTCCCTGGTCCATGTGGTCAGAGTGTGATGGATGCACAGGATCGTCAACTCGGACCAGAGAGTGTAACAGTCCTCCTGCTAGATTCGGCGGTCTGCCGTGTCTGGGAGAGGGGAGGCAGAGCCGCCCTTGCAGTGAAAATCTCACCATCTGCTCAGGTTAGCATAGCTGTGGGTTTCATTCACTTTGACCGTAGAACTGCATAAACACTGTTCCACTTTTAAAAAACGATGTGGATGGTAATTCTATTCAAACCTTGTTCTCAGACTGTGGTGGAGGCCAGGAAGAATGGCCTTGTGGGAAGCCCTGTCCTCGCTCCTGTTCAGATCTCCATGGTGACACAGAGTGCTTGGACTCCCCTGAGTGTAACGCGACCTGTGGTTGTCCTGGTGACACGGTGCTGCAGGACGGAGTGTGTGTGGTGAGACAGGAGTGTCGCTGCAAATACCACGACAGCTCTGCTAATGGTTTGATCCTAATTTTGCTAACTTGTAAATATCAGCGTGTTAGACTGTGAACATTTTACTCCACTCAGTGTGATCATTTGCTCTGATCGGTCTATTTTTGTGCAGATTCAAGCAATGCATCGTGGCTATGGCCCGGTGGATCTGATTGGCTGTTTGCAAATCCAGGAGAGAAAATTATCAGTGACTGCAAAAACTGGTAAGCAGCTGATTCTTATTTTGGTTTAATTCACTCTTAATGTTCGAATAGCAAAAAAATAATGCCACCTAATGTTTTTTCCCGACCTAATCTCAGCTCGTGTGAGGCTGGCGTTCTGCAGTGTCAGTCTGTCCCCGGCTGCCATGTCGACGGTGGCTGGAGCCAATGGGGAGCCTGGACTGAATGCTCTCTTTCATGTGGCGGTGGAGTCAAGTTCAGAAGGCGCCTGTGTGATAATCCGTCTCCGCAGAGTGGCGGAAGAGGCTGCCTGGGTGATGCTGAGCAGCAGAGAGACTGCAACACGCACCTGTGCACAGGTAGTCATGACGGGCTCATCTAGGTTTTTTACACTACCATCTGCATTGTTACATGTGTGATGTCTGTCTGTATTGTGTCTCCAGAGTCAGTGGGCCCGTGGTTGCCGTGGTCTCAGTGGTCCGAGTGCTCGGTCAGCTGCGGTGGAGGGCAGCAGTACCGCTCTCGTCTCTGCAGCCTTCCAGCGTGCAGCGGTCGTCAGAGCAAGATCTGCAACACCCACGTCTGCCTCGGTGAGCGTCTGCTTCCTGTGCAGTATTTGTAGCCATGCTGCAAAGTTATATTTACACTGCTCCAGTTGGAGGACTGTTTAATTAGTGTCTTTAACTGCTGTTGCTGCGTGGGCTTCATGTCGCTCTGCAGAGGTGGGCTGCCCTCCTGGCAGGCTGTACAGGGAGTGTGAACGAGGAGAAGGTTGTCCTTTCAGCTGCGCTCAGGTCAGCGGCAGGGAGGGATGCTACGCTGACGGCTGCGAGGAAGGCTGCCACTGTCCCGTGCACACCTACCAGCACCGTGGACTCTGCTTGTCGGTGGGTTCAGAGTAACTTCAGTAGTAGACATGTGACGTTTTAAAAGTGCAGCACAGAAAATGAAGAGCATGAACCAGGCTGTGATGCACCACTGAGAAGATCATTTCAAACTGATGCAGTTTCTTCTCTTTAGAGGGTGTTTGTGCTTGGTGTGTTTCAGGAGTGTCCATGTCTGGTGGATAAAGAGCTGCTGGCCTCTCTGCAGAGCGTCTCTGTGACACCAGTCGCATCCCTGCTGTTTCATAACATCTCAGAGGATATGGAGCTCCAGTCTGGAGATACGTTTGTCCATGACTGCAGCGCCTGGTAAGCAGAGAACTTTGGGAATAATATTACAATTAAAAAAAAACATATTTTAAATAACTACTTCCAAAGTAGTCGTGACATCCCGTTCAGGTGGGGGCAGCTATCAAAGTGGGAGAGGTGGGCTGCACCGTGGACACGTCGAAGTATCCATGGAAATCACTGCAAAGCCGTTATCACAGGAATGACACCGTTGTCATTTGAGATGGACTGAGTTGAGAGCAAAATTTTATGGCCTCATTCAGATCTGACTGAGTCATTAATTCTGAACAGTTGATGCTGGTTTTATACAAACCTGCTGATATCCAGACAGCCCATTCTTCAGGGCAGGCCTTTCTTCTTATTAGCAAAGATAACGCCAAAGCACAGGATGGATGCATTCCAGCACTGTGGCCCTGTAATAAAGACTTCCAGTGTCAAACTGGCCTGTCCACAGTCCACCGGTCCCACTTTGAGAACATCTACCACAGTGTACAGCTACAACCTGAACTGGTGCGCAGCTACAATCCTGTACTGAGTAAGAAATGGAAAACATTTGTTGTTGTGACACAGTGGGAGCGATGCCAACTGTGTCATACGTATAAAACAGTGTAAAACTGCTGTTATATGGAAAATCACCACCAGTCTACCCCTTTTGTTCCCCGTAGCGAGTGTGTGCATGGCAGGTGGAACTGTTCTCTGGAGCACTGTGCTGTACACGGTGCTTTGTCTTCCTGGGGCCCCTGGAGCCCTTGCTCACTATCCTGCGGTGGTTTGGGGCTCAAAACCCGCTCTAGAGGTTGCACACAGCCCGCCCCGGCCCGTGGAGGGAGAGACTGCCAGGGCCACGGAGGGAAACGACCTACTGCCAGGCCCCTGACTGTCCAGGTACTTTGGAGAGATTCTGTAGAACACGTGTAATATGTGTATTTCAGGGATGAAGGTCAGATTCATGAAAAGCTGCTTTTCCCCTCCAGCTACTGTTGTTCCAACAGAAGAACCAGCCACACCGGGTAGGTTCACTTTTCTGTGCACTCATTTGACTCTGTTCCTTTGGTTGCCATTTTCTTGTATTTGTGCATGCTGTTTAGGCTTTTCTTATCTTAAATATCCTCTCTGTATTTCATCATCTTTCCGTTTCCATCTCCTCAGAGGAGGACTCTGGGTTCTCTCCCTGGTCGCCGTGGAGTCCTTGCACAAAGACCTGCACCGACGCTCTCAGCCCGGCCCTGAAGTCCCGCCATCGACAGTGTGTGACACCAGCCTGTTCTGGAAGCTCTCACCAAGAGAAGGCATGCAACTTGCCCCAGTGTCCAGGTACACCACGCCCACTGTCTGCCTGCCTCTATTTATTTAATAAATCAGTTTGTGTTGCCTTATATAACTATAATATAAAGTACAAGTTAGTGCTCAGTTGATATGACTGCAGGAGCTGCGTGTGTGGTTCTTGCTTTGATGAATACAAGCGTCAACCAAGCTTATGTGTTTTGTGTTTCTGTTTTGAGGCGAGGTGTGTGTAGAGGCCGAGTGTGTGCGAAGGAACTGTTCGTGGACCAAGTGGGCAGAGTGGAGCGCTTGCTCGCGGTCCTGCGGCGTGGGTCAGCAGCAGAGGATCCGAACGTTCCTGAGCCCCGGAACAAACGGCTCGTGGTGCGAGGACATCCTCGGAGGAAACGTGGAGCATCGCTTCTGTAACATCAAACCCTGCAGAGGTCAGCTGTAATTATCAGTTCAAACTCTTCAGTGAAGGAATATTTAAAAAGCCAAAGAGAGAGTTTCATTTTTCACTTACTGGTCTGCGTTTGTGTTCGATGTTGTGTAGTTGATGGAGGCTGGTCCCGGTGGAGTCCGTGGTCGCGCTGTGATAAGCGTTGCGGCGGCGGACGCTCGATACGCACTCGCTCCTGCTCTAGTCCTCCACCCAAAAATGGTGGAAAGAAGTGTGCAGGAGAGAAGAACCAAGTGAAACCTTGCAACACCAAACCGTGCGGTGAGTCTGATCTACCACGTCCTGCGTTTGGCTCCTCATTGTTCCAGCATATGGCTGTTTATCTACAGGAGTGTGTGTTCAGCCTGTGCAGATAGCATCATGGCAAAACTCAGGAACTGCTGTCTGTGTATTGTCAAATGATAGAGGGTGCCCACCAGGCCAAGAGTTTGTGATGTGTGCCAGCCAGTGTCCACAGCGCTGCTCAGACCTCCAGCAGGGCATAGAGTGCCAGACCAACAGCGAATGTCAGCCTGGCTGCCGCTGCCCTCAAGGTACACAAGTCACACCTCATATGTGCGTGTCTTTGTCCGAAAAGTTCCTCTCCTGGCACTGATTTAACCCCTAAACTGTTCTGTGCTCTCCACTGAGAGAATAGCTTCGCGTCTAGAAATGGGTTTGTTATAACTCCTCTGCCTTCTTTAGGATTCGGGGTTCTGAGAATATACAAATTCCTAGAGTCCTGAATCCCCAACATGTGCACGGGATCCATCTGCACACAGCTGACTCAGCGTAAAAGTTCTCTGCAGTTCTCAGTAGAACCTTCTAAGAGACGTAATTCAGTTACAAATGGTGTTTACTCCAGTTAGAAACTGTTGAATTGGAACAGACTGAGTGGCTCATCAGTGGTAAAACAAAAGCAGAGCGGACTGTAACAGGTAACACAGGCCTTCAGTTTAACAGCATTATCAGGCAGCCAGTCATATTCTGTTGATGTTTGATTGACCTTGGTTGGGTTATTTAGGTGTAAGAGTTGTTTCCACTGTTTAAAACTGGCTAAATCTTTTAAAGATAAATAACCTAACCGGCTCGACGTCACACAAGTATTAGAATTTAGTTTTTTCCAAAGACATTATTGGAGTGAGACGAGGAAAAATCTTAAAGTGAGTCTGGGAGAATTCCCCAACAATAAATATGATGGCAGAAATCAACAACAACAGGTTTAACTGGTGATTCTGTAATGGCCCTGTGGACCATTAAGATGACATCTCATTTAGATGATGTTTCAGAGTAGCTGTGCAGTGCAAGGCGTCATTCTGCTGCCAAGTGATGAGATTTGCATCTAGAATTGTTTTGTTAAAACGAATTCATTTTTTTTCATTAGCATGAATCGTGGTTTGCGTATCTTTTGTACATGTGTGTTTAGGTCAGTTGCAGCAGGACGGGGTGTGTGTGCAGCTGTGGCAGTGTGACTGTGTGGACTCACTGGGGCAGATTTGGGTGGCCGGCAGCACGCATCAGGTGGACTGCAACAACTGCACCTGCTCTGACGGACAGCTGCTCTGCAGCAATGACAGCTGCCAGGCCACCTGTGTTTGGAGCTCCTGGTCCAGCTGGGCTCCTTGCAGTGTTTCCTGTGGACAGGGCCAGAGAACCAGATACAGGTGAGGTCTCCTGGGACCTGGACGAAGGAGACATGGTTTGTTTTGTAAACTGTTAAATTCTTGTTTGAGCACGTCCGTGTTTGGACATTAAAATGGGATCCAGACGGAGGAAAGTTTTTTTACAAATCTGAAACTGGATTTTAAACAGGTTTTAAGTGGTACGCTCTTTAACAACAAGACGGAGATCATAACGATCAGAAAATCTATCATATTGTTTCCAGTGTAGAGATGGCACGATGCCACTTTTTATGTCCGATACCGATATCATCAATTTGGATATCGGCCGATACCGATATGAATCAGATATAGTGTTTTTTAATCAATAAAACTGTATTTTTTAAATATCTTGCTGCTTTTGTATAAGTTCATACTCAAGTTTAAAAAAACAACAACACTAAAGCTATTCTGTTAACCTGTATGTAAAAAATACAACAAAATATTTCATAGTTCAGCAACACTGATCAATCTAATAAACTTAAACCTGCTCCATCCTCCCTATTCTGGTGTTTTAAAGAGTACTTGCAACTCCCAGGAAAAAAATAGGGAACCCCCCCCCCCCCCTCCACCTCATGATGCTTAATCAACGTAATCAACTTTAATATGATGCAGTGTGAAAAAAGAAAAAATGCACAGAAATAAATAATTTTTCTACAATAATAAAATAGATTCAACATCTTTCTTCTACAGAACTGCAGACTGCACAGATGGTATCTTCCCAAAGGAAAAAGTACATAGCTTACTAGTATATTAGACTTAACAGTTACTATATACAGTAATGGACTTCTATATATTTTACACCAGATTAAAACTTTGGGTGTAAGATCAGATAATTATTATTGAAAGCTCGACATTTTAAATGAGAATAAGAAAGAAAAGTATGTCTTTGTGCCCCCTTTTCCCTGTTCATGCCCTATCGGCCCCCTGGCTACACTTTGCTAGATCCGCCCCTGCACAGTTACAGCCGTCAGCTGTAGAAAAAGATCCTGGTGTAGAAAGTAATATTAAATAAATTCTAACAACAGCTGATCAAGCTTAAACGTGCTGCTGTTGTTCAGCCGCTGGAGCAAAGGGGGCCAAAAATAAAGAAGAGAGACGGACTCACGACAGAAAAGCCGATCAGCTGATCACTGATCAGTTTCATGATTGAAGTAGCAGCAGCAGAGAGAGAGAGAGAGGCAGTCGCTCCATATATCGCTTGTTAAGCTTTACAAACATTCAGAGATGAACTTACACACTTGCTTACTTCTCTCTGGATCACTTCAGAGATGAAATGCTGGTTTGGTAGTGAGCTACAAATACACACAGCCGCTCTATCACTGAGCACACTGCTCCGACATGTACGGTTATGAGCCGAGTTACGCCGTGTCGCAAGTTTTGTGAGGTGCTTTTTGATATTTAATGGATCGGATTACATTTTTTATTTCTCTCCGATATCCGATCCAGTAATTTACGTCAGTATCGGACCGATACCGATACGTAATATCGGATCGGTCCATCTCTACTCCAGTGTTTGTCTTCTGTAATTGCTGAATTAAGGATAAAGTTGATTCGAGTTGTCTGAGTCAGTGTGACGATTAACTCTGTCGTCTGTCTTTGTCCGTGTCAGGAGATAAAATCGGGGCTCTGCGGGAGCCGGAGCGTCACTTGCTGAAAGCATTTCTTTCAAAAGAATGAATTTGCTGCTGATCAGACACCTTCCTGATGGATAGTTAAATAGCTTCGTTTCCATGGTACTGCAAGTTCTCAATGCTAATTCCAAATCTTAGAATTTACAAATAACATAAGATACATTTAACACTTTAAATCACATATGAAAGCAGTCACGGAGTAACAGATTAGTGATCCAGGCTTCCTGCTACCACAGTAAGTCAGCAATGTAAACAATAATGGGACACCGAGGAACACGTTGCCACTTTGAGGAGGTCCAGCACAGACCTGCAGTCCAGGAACCTGCCCGCCTCTCTGTTCCTTGACAACCAGACGCTCAGTGTGGGTGACACCTGGCTCCAAGGAGAATGTAAACAATGGTGCGTTAGATAAGGACAGAGGATATGGATGTTAATGACAAAAATGAAATGTCAGTGATACTGTGCTGGAAGCTCTGCCTGTGTTTCTCTAGCACGTGCACTCCAGAGGGAGTTTTCTGCCAAGACATCGACTGCAGAGGTGCGTCGCCGTGTTTCTGTGAAAGAGTGTCGCAGATGTTTGAAGTCCTTGCAAAGAAAGTTGTGAAAATCCTTTGTGCTGTTTCCAGTGGACGGTGCTTGACCCCCTGGTCGGTGTGGTCTGACTGCTCAGCGACTTGTGGTCGGGGCACACATGTTCGAACCCGCGCCTGCATCAACCCCCACACGAAACAATGGTTCTCACTGCAGCGGGCCAGAGAAAGAAACACAGGACTGTCAGACCCCTCCGTGCCTGGGTCTGTATCTTAAGGCAAGGAAAGAAAAGCCACATATTCTCTCCAATCAAAGGGAATTCATTTACTCTTGTATCAACAGATGACCTTTGCCCTTGGTCTCCTTGGTCACCGTGCTCCCAGACGTGCGGGCGGGGTCTGTATCACGACACAGGGCGTGTGTGTGCGAGCAGGGAGGAGATGCGGCGTGTCCCCCTGAATCGAGGCTGAGAGGAACCGCGTGGAGACGCAGCTGTGCTACAAACAGCCCTGTCCAGGTACAAGAGTCATGCTGGCAGCACTGAAGCCAGACTAACAGCCACGATCGCTGTTTGTGCTGTTTCTCTCTGAACAGCTGACGGCTCTGTGTGTCTTCAGCATTCTGAGAAGCCATTGTAATTAGAGGAACTTCAGCTGAGCTCATTAACAATTGGACATATTGCAGTGACTGTTACTGATGAACACAGAGTTATTCTAATATATTATTAGGTAATGAGCTATATGGGCACAGACCAGAGTACATGTAGGGACACAACATTAGAGACTAGACTGGGGAACCACAGAGTGACATTAAAGGGTTATTGATTTTGTTTTTAGCGTCACATTGCATTATTAGGTCTCCATAGTGACTTAGTATGGTATAGATTTCTGTTGAAGGATATATTTCATATATGCAACCTGCTGAGCTGTATCTCACACCGCAGGACGAGCGTGCAGTAAAGTTACAGCTGCGCAAATAAGAGTTAAGTCACATATGCAAAAATGTTTTAGTGGTTGATCCCAGTCTGTTTCACACTGCTGGAGCTAATAGGACACAGATTGCAGATGTTTGCCACAGAGAATATTAAATCAGTCAAACTAACTTCACTTGTCCATCTGCTGATTTCTGTGTTGCACACATGTGCATTGCAGGTTTTATTGAGTGAAGCTGGACAGGTAGGTACAGCCTCTACTAAGTGAACAGAGCTCAGTGTACAGGGTATCGGTGTCACAGAAAACAAATCGGACCCTTAACATTACTAATGCTACAACAAATCCTGGAACACCGGCAAATTGGGAAAAGATGATCTGGCAGAAGAAATGAGGGCGGGCAGGAATACACAAGGGCAGGAAGTGAAGTATGTGAAATATGAGAGAAAATAGCACAAGTAGAGCTACACGAGCTTTGGAGCCTCGCATTCAAACCTGTTTAGACTGTGAGAAGCTTCCAGACTGTTTGAGATTCACTGACTTTCATCTTTTTATTGTGCTTCATTTTTGAAAATTATGCCATAGTATGCGATTAACTGAAGAGCCGACTGTGTGTTGAAGCGACTCACAGATGACATCAAGCGCTCGTGAATCGCACTTGAATGTTTTCGTTGCTTTGGCAGGCTGTCCCATGTCAGCGTGGAGCGTTTGGTCTCAGTGTTCCTGTGCGTCCCAGAGGCAGCAGCGTTACCGTGTAGCGCTCTCTTCACCCACCAGGGGCCAACAGTGCACTCCTGTGGAAACGCAGAGCCGGGCATGCGGTCTCCAGCCGCTGTGATGTGAGTTCATTACCCTTAGAGCTGCTTAAGCTGCACTCTGGTCCTACACCTCTTCATGTGTTTCCTGCTAGAAGTCTGCGAGCCCGTTTGTTACTCGTCGTGTGGCGCTCCTGTGAGAAGCAGTGTGAACTGCGTGGCCGTGAAGATCTGTGTCTGGGTGTCAGCGAGTGCACCCTGGCTGTTACTGTCCACAGGTGAGTTTTAATGAACGTGCTGAGTTTAATTATGATTTTTGGACACTACCAGTAGGATACAGTAAGACGCACTTTGCCTTGGAGGTTTTGCTTTGATTTCTGTCATTAAGAACAAATATGATTAGCAAATAATGCAAACGTGTTACAGCTGCGTTTTGTTGGTTTGGTTTTGGATCTTAAGCTGCTTCAAACAGCACGTTTGCCTGAAGTATGAATTCTACATTGATGCATCTCAATGCACGTGATTTGAGCACAACACACGACAAATGTGCTGTACTTTATGACCAAGACACAGATCCGATCGCTGCGCTGTTTCTTCTTTCCTCTGAGATGTGTGTTTTTCCTTCCAGGGCCTGCTGCAGTATAATGGAGCTGTGTTCCCCAGAGAATGTGGCTGCATCCACTTGCAGCACCAAGCTCCAGGAGATCCACCCACGCTGTCACCGTCCCACAGGGGCCACGGTCACCATAGGCTGCAGTACCTGGTCAGTTGTCTCTATCAGCCCCTGTTGCTGATAGAGACATGAATGTTTCTCACAGTGTTGTCGTCACTCTCTGCTCTTTCTTTGTGATTCCCAGCTTGTGTGTGCAGTTGTCTTTTTGCTGCCTGGGCTGTGACAGGTTGTTATTATTGTCCGTTTTGTTGACTTCTCTGTCCTCCAGTCTTTGTCACGATGGGAGTTTGCCAGTGCGACATGAGAGAATGTGAAGGTAAGAGAGCAGAGTAATAAAACGAGGTTCTCTGTAAACACGTGAACCTGAATCTTTCTTTCTCTCCTTCTTTCAGTCGTCCTCAGCGAGTGGTCGGGCTGGAACTCGGTGCTCTCCCTGGTGCTGCAGCACAACAGCTCGCAGATGGTGTCGATCCAGAGGCGCTTTTCGAGCCTGTTTGGACCTGGATTCTGGTCTTCCAGTCTCTAAGAGGAGGAGAGCCAGTGTCCAGGACTGCTGGTAGAGGAGAGGCATGTCCAGATGCTAACATCTGCAGAGGTAACAAAGATGCTCACACCAAGAGTTTGTTCGTCTCAGAGGATTCAGTGTCTTATTGGCCAATTCACTGAGGAGAGAGCAGCAAAAGTAAATGTTCTGTGTTATGTTAGGATTTTACTGCTGTCTGCAAACTCATACTGACCTTTGCAAGATTCTTTTAGGTCAAACTTGCACTGTGCACCTGGAAGTTGGGTCGGATTGAGGTTGGAGGACGTTCACACCATAAACAAACTGCACAAACTGCACCTCCTCCACAGGGTCTGGGTGTTTGTGGGCACCACAGTTGTGCTCTGTCTGAGACCCTCTCAGTAAAAGTTTGACACAGATTGCATGCAAACAGTGGGTGAATAGTCAGGGCTCGACGAGCACGGCTCCAAAAAAAAAATGAATTACACAGTCGGTCAGGGGGTGATGAAATGACTGCAGCGCGGTTTTCTCTGGAAAGGAAAGGGGGGTGATTGTGTTTTGAAATAAATGCGTGCACTTCAAAGCATATTCTTTTCATCTAAATAAAGACAGTTGGAGTCTCACACACAGCGAGGAATAAACGACTGCAGACACCGATAATGTCCAAGTCATAAACAGGCAAACCTTTAAACTGTTTCAGTGTATTAAATAAATGTATGTAGTTTTGGATCCAGTGACGAGAGCGATGTCATTCTGACATGTGGAGTCTCTGAGGGAAAATGTTTACTGTGTGTCAGTCACAGCTGCCATCAGCAGACAGTTAAGAGGCCTTAATCAGTGCAAAATGGGCTTTTCCTGCTATTCTGACTCACTTTATTCCCCAAAGGAGAAGAAAAGGACAGGTTAAATGCTCATGTGTGGTTAGCTTTGCTTTTATGTGCGTGCAAAGGATGATTCAGCTCAAATTTAACTCTGTCATCCATCCATTTTTTATACACGAATGGCTCTGAATGACTGCTGTCCCAGCTTAATTTGCATGTCAAACAACTGAAGCCTGGTTCTTGGTCATAGTGAGTAAATACTGCTCAGCAAGAACAAACTAAAATGTGTCTCTTACTTATAAATGATACAGCAAATAAACACATTGTGTTTGTCGCTCTGTCGTCATCATCTAAAACGAAACACTTAAAGTTTCTGTATTTGTCACTGTCAGTCTGTTAATGCGGATAATACCAAGGTTAGGTTAGTTATGATAGTCACTCTGCTCTCCTAGATGTGTGTCAGTGGAGTGGGTGGAGTGCTTGGACAGCGTGTGCTGAGCCGTGCAGCGGTGGAGTCAGGCAGCGCTACAGACAGCCCCTGGCCTCTCCTGCAGGACCCCAGTGTAGGAGCCAAGAGACCCAGACCCCAAGGATGCAACACGGCCCTCTGCCCAGGTACATGTGACTTAAAAAAGAGAGCAAAGCCAAACAGCAACAATCAGTGGTGTAGTTCATAAGTTCAGTTCCAAAGATAACATTAGTTACACAATTTGTTGATATATATGTGAATGGAGATGACTGCAAAAGCCCCTAAAAATTAAGGCTGTTGGAAGTTTTGGTACACGCAGTGAAAATGTTTTCCTCGAAGGCTTCGAGGCTGAGCCGGACAGAGATGATCATGTTGTTTGTGTCAGCGTGGTTTGTTAGAAACACATTTGTGTGTTTTCACTTTGAACTAATGCAAAGTCATTAGTGTTTCTTTTCAGCAGCTGAAGGAACTTCTGCACATTCTTGGAAAGAAGTGAGAGGAAATCAGACGTACAAGTAAAACGTATATAAAACGACACACAGAGGAAAATGATCCGATTCAATGAATTTCTAACCAAACGTCTTTACAGCTTAAAAAGAAGAATTTTATAGGAAGTTCCATTAGTTCTGAAGCTGTTTGAAATAAAACAAATCAGGATGTACTAAAAGACTAAATCAGACTGAAGACAAAACTTTGTCCTTACGATTATCTGTCTGTCACAAAGCTACAGCTACAAGCCGCACGCATCACACCACCACCACCGTGCTGAACTCTGTTTCTACGTCAGGTCACATTTTGCAGCGCAGGCATGGTTTTCTT